AATTGGCCAAACAGTATTGAAAGGAGTGTATTAAAATTTCCATTATGATAGTGGGTTTGGCAATTTTATTTTTCCTTTGTATGTTCTGAAGTTATTTTAATTTGAATTAAATAATTTATGGGTTTTCTAGTGATGATGCAAGTTTTCATTCTTGAGATGAACCTAATTTGATCATACATGTTAACTATTCCTTTTGAAAATCCCAGGATTCAATTAGTTAATTTCTTAAAGGACTTTTGTATATATGCTCAAAAAGAGATACTTACCTGTAATTTTCCTTCCTCTTACTTTCCTCCTGAATTTGTTAACAAGGTCATGCTAGCCTTAAAAGCAAATTTAAAAATGTTCTCACTTTTTATATATTCTAAAGACTGTAAGATTGGAACTTCTTATTCTTTGAATGTTAGAATTCATCTGTAAAGTCATCTTGGCCTAGGTTTCCCCTGCAGAAACATTTTAAACTATTGATTGATTTTCTTTGGTAGTTTTAGGACTGTTCCAAGTTTTCTATTTTATTTTTTGGGGGGGGGGTAAGGAGGATCAAACTCATCACCTTGCATTGCCAGGCAGGCGCTTATGCCATTGAGATAATCCCTGACCCCCCAAGTTTTCTATTTTAAAAAGTTTTTAAAAAGTTGTGTTTTTTTGGTATTCATCTACTTCACATGATTTTTCAGATTTCTTGCCATAGAGTTGCTCCTGAGATCTACTTTGTTTTCTGTCTCCATCATCTATCATTCATCAGTCTCACGAGAGGTTAGTTTTAGTCTCTTAAAGAACCAATTTTTGAGCCAGGCATGGTGGTACATGCCTGTAATCTCAGCATTTGGGAGGTTGAGGCAGGAGAATCACTGCAAATTGGAGACCAGCCTGAGCTATAAAGTGAGCTCAGTGTCAGCCTGAACCACATAGCGAGTCTCTGTCTCAAAAAGAAAAAAAAATATTTTACATATAGTGAAGTGTAAATATATCTTGATTATAATCTTGGAGTGTAAGTTATGTACGTAATTTAAAGCCTATCTTTTTTCGGGGCAGAGGTACTGGGGATCAAACTCATGACCTCGTGCTTGCCAGGCAGGTACTTATACCACTGAGCTAAATCCCTAGCTAAAGCTTGTCTTTTTTTTTTTTTTAATCGGTACCAGGGATCGAACTCAAAACTGCCTGCTTGTAAAGCAGGCGCTTATGCCGCTGAGCTAAATCCCCAGCCCTAAAGCTTATCTTTTAAAAACACATATAAGTTCAATTCTCAGTACCAAAAAAAGAAAAAACAAAAACCCATTATATAAAATCAAGCCAAGGGATAGGATCTAACTTCATAGTAGAGTCCTTGCCTGCCATGTGTGACATGGATTTGATCCCCAGAACTGATGAAAAAATGGTGGTGGGGGAGGATCTAATCTAGCATTGCAGCATTTATCTGTAGTTCCAGCTGCTTAACAGGCTAAGGCAAGAGGATCATTTGAGTCTAGGAGTTTGAGTCCACCCTGGGCAGCGTAAGTCCCTTTCTCAAAAAGATAAAAGCCAAGTGTGGTGGTACACACCTATAGTCCCAGCACTAGGGAGGCTGAGGCAGGAGGATTATGAGTTGAAGGCCAGTTTGTCTACGTTGTGAGTTCAAGGCCAGTTTACATTACAGTGTGAGACCTTGTCTCAAAAAACAATAAAAATTTTAAAAAAAAGTAAGACACATGTACAACCAGAGATAGTTGCATAGTGAACCCCTAGATTATCAACTATCTTCAGCAAATATAGCCAGGCCATTTCATTTATCTCCTTGTCTGCCTCCTACTAGATTATTTAGAAGTAAATCACAGACATTAGATTATTTCACCCATGAGTATTTCCATATTTATCCCTAAGGGCTCTTTAAAAAATATAACTAAAGGCCATATCTCTCTTTCAAAAAATCAATAATTTTGTTTTATTTTTTTTTAAAGGAGAAAAATCTTATTTTGGCTCATAGTTTAAAAAAAAATTAAACCAAATATGGTACCACATACCTGTGATCCTAGTACTCTGGGAGGCTGAAGCAGGAAGACTGAAAGTATAAACCCAACCTAGAGAACTTAGTGATTTAGCAAGACCTTGTCTCAAAATTAAAAATAAAGTTCTGGGGATATAGTTTAGTTCAAAGGCCTGAGTTCAATCCCTACTACCACATATATACAATTTCTTATTATCATGAAATATCCAATATTCCTAATTCTTTCTGATATTTTATATCACATACATATTTATATAATTGAGTCTGTTCTTTGACTCAATCCAAATAAAGTCTGTGTGATACATTTGGTTTTCATGGCACTTGTCTCTAATCATGGATAGCCCCTTCATCTTTTCTTATTCCCCTATAATTTATTTTGAAAAAAAATGTTTTTTTTTTAAACACTTTGGTTTTACATAACCTGATTTCATTGATGACATCCCTAGAGTGCCTTTTAATACATTTGTTAGTCTTTTGTTTTTTGAAACACGGTCTCACTATGCAGTCCTGGCTGGCCTTGAACTCACAGTGATCCTCCTGCCTCAGCCTCCCCAATGCTGGCATGTACCACCATGCCAAGCATTTCTTAGTCTTCCTTTCCTATGGTTTTAGTAAACTGGTAGTTATATATAGGTGGAAAAACAGCTGATCAGATTCTAATATTGTTTATCTTGTGTGTGTGTGGTGCTAAAGCTTCAACCCAGGACCTACTTACTTCCTTAGGCCAGTGCTGACTAAGCTATATCCTCACTCTGAACTATGACTTTTTCAGAAATTTCATGGCTATCTTGTGATTTCTTACTTAATTACATTGTAGTGAGAGAAATTGTACCATTTGTTTTGAGTCTGTTTAAATTTGTTGTATGAGGAAACAGGGAAGAAAAGAATTGAAATGTGTTACATATGTGCAGCAGTTCCTCACAAGGAGTGAAATAATTGTGTACTGAAAACATATGCTAGTAAAATTTTTAAAATAAAATAAATTTATTGTATGGTGTGATATACATCAATTTCTGTTTCTTATTAATTTCTTTTTTTTTTTTTTTTGTACCAACGATCGAATGCATGACCTCATGCGCGCCAGGCAGGCACTTACGCCACTGAGCTAAATCTTCAGCCCAATTTCTGTGTTTCTTTGTGCTCATAAAGATCATGTAGTAAAATGTTAGCTTGTGTGTAGTCTGTATTTTAGGTCATGCTTGTTAATTTGTGCTGGTCAAATCTTTTTTACCTGTATTGATTTCTCTCCTGTTATAATTGTGGATTTGCATATTATTCCTTAATAGTCTTTCTATCTATTCCTTTTTATACTGTCAGTTGTTGTGCTTTGTACTTTGGAGGTATATTCTACAGATATTTATTAAGTGCTTCTCTGCCAGCCACTGATCTGGTTGCTAGGGATATTTCAGTAAACAAAACAGACAGAAATCCCTGCTGTAAGTTAAGGAAGACAAGATAAAGAATGCCATGTAGTTTTACAATTAACTTCCTCACAAATTGAACCTTTTAAGGAAGAAGTGATGTTCTCTAGTAGTTTTTTAAGTTTTTAAAAGTGATATCAAAATAGTATAACAGCTTTTGTTGAGTTACTATTTGTTATAATTTTTCATTCTATTTTATCTTTCCTAAATCTTTATGGAGTTGTGGTTCCTTTAGTCTCCCACCTGGCCACTTTGTCCTGTTCTTTTCTTATGTTTTAAATTTGTTCTCTAAACAGCATATTGTAATTATTGTTTTAATTTTAACCAGTTTGACAATGTCCTTAAGTAAAGTGTTATTCTAGCTTTTAACATGGCCATGAAGACATACACTTATATTTTCATCTAATTTGTACATTTAGATCTTTCATCCATTCAAGTTAATTTTTGTATATAGTATAGCAATGTAGGGATCCACTTTTTTTTTTGAGATAGTTTTTCTATGTAGTACAGTCTGGTCCCGAAGTCACTGTATAGCCCAGGTTAACGCTGAATTTGCAGCAATCCTCCTGCCTCAACCTCCCAAGTGCTGGGATTACACCACCTTCATTCTTTTACATGCACACATCCAGTTAACCAGCATTATTTGCATAGTTATAAAACTGTTTGCAGCTGGACATGGTAATGTCTGCCTATAATCCCCGCACTCAGGAAGCTGAGGCAAGAAGACACCATGAGTTCAAGGCCAGTTTGGGCTACATGAGGAGTTCAAGGCCAGTCTAAACTACATAGTGAGACCCTGTCTTAACAAAAAAAAAACATCTCCCCCCAAACCCACCAAAGTACATAAATAATTTTGTTATTTGTTATATGTCCTTAGAAATATTTCCAATGACTTTAGATGTTTCGTTTTTTAAATTTTCATGAGTTACAGAGTTTCACTAGAAGTGGGTCAGTAATCTCTCTTACTGCCTTTCCAGAAGTAGGATCTGCTTTTCTTTTTTTTTTTTCTTTTTTGTTGCAATGCTGAGGATCAAACCCAGGGTACTACACATGCTAGGCAAGTACTGTAACACTGAGCTGCATGCCCAGCCCTTACTTTTAGTAGTTACTTTGGAAATTACAATTTGCATTATCAAAAGCCAACATTTATCAGTATATTTACTGCCATTCTCATAACCTAAAGACCTTAAAACTATAAGAAGTGTTTTTTTTTTTACCATAGAGTGTATTTTAAGTAGATATGTATACATATACAAGTAAGTGCATATTGCCGTGTACATATATAGAAAGTGAAACAAAAATTTGCAGATTACTTGTATTTAAGCTGCCTGGGTTCAGTTCCCATTTTTACTGCCGGTCAAGGTGAACAAATGCCTTAACTTCATCAAACCTGTTTTTTGAGCTACAAAGTTGAGACACTAATTCCTCCCTCACTGAGTCTTTATGACAGTTAAATGAGCCAATCTATGTAAAGTGCCATATGCGCAGTAAGCACAGTGCCTGATACAAGTAAGTGCTATAAAAGGTAGCTGTTCCAAGAACAAAAGCCAGGTATGGGAGGTGCAGTTTATCCTCCTGCTCTGTCCTGGCAGTTCCTTTGTGATGAGGGTGCAGGCATTTCTGGAGACTACATTGACCGTGTGGACGAGCCCTTGTCCTGCTCCTATGTGCTGACCATTCGGACTCCTCGGCTATGCTCCCACCCCCTCCTCCGGCCCTTGCCCAGTGCCGCACCTCAGGCCATTCTCTGTCACCCCTCCCTGCAGCCTGAAGAGTATAAGGCCTACCTTCAACAGCAAGAGGGTGAGCGAGGAGAAGGGCTGGGGGCGCGGGGAGTGGTGGTCAGGCAGATGGTAGGGTTGTGCCCCTGTCCTACTCTCACACTGGTTTTCAACAGACTCAAAACAACAAGAAGATAAAATCACAGAGAACTTACAAGACCCGGATTCCCAAACGTGGAGTGAGACCAAGTCTGGGGTGTTGCCCCCAAAGAGGGAGGGTAAGTCCTGCTGTCACCCATTCCATGGAACCAGCCTCTACTTCTTCCATTCCTCTAATCTTACTTTGATGTACTGACTGGTGGGGCTGGACTGCAAGGCTACCATAGACCCTAACCTCATCCCATTGGTTCTCTTCCTTTCTCCCCTCCTGTCTTTGTATCTCAGGTGTAAGCCCAGCCAAAGATGACAGTAAGGAATCAGATTTCTGGAAGATGCTTCATGAGCCAGAGGACCAGGCCCCAGAAGGGGAGGAGGCACAGGCAGAGGTGAGAACCAGCTTCCCAGCCACTTCTCTGGGATTGGGTGGGTCCCCCAAGTGGAGGCTGTTATGAGGTGACCTGTATCTGTCTAAGGATGTAGGGATATTCCTAGCACAGTTGCCTGAAGACCACAGTGGGCATGCAAGCTTTTGTGCCTGAGCCTGCTCTTTTTCCTCATCAGGAGCAGTACCTAAACCTTGAGGCTGCAGCAGATCCAGCTCCAGGCCCTCCAGATGGTGAGTCAATCCTTCATGTCTCCTTCACTGCTAAAGTGTATTTTAGGGTTGGCAGCTGTGGGGATGGCTGGTTGGGCTAAACACAGGAGGAAAGAAATTCCTTCTCTTGTTGTACTGGGTGGGGATTGAACCCAGGGCCTTGTGCACGGTAAGCAGGTGCTGTACCATTTAGCTATTTTCTTAGCCCCAGGGGGTTTATTTTTATCTGAATTAGTAGTCTTTGTAGACAGCAACACTGTTCGAGCACTCAGGCTCCACCACTTACTGACTTTATACTCCTGGACAATTTCACTTACCCATTAAATGTGGGGAATGAAGCTGAGTGTGGTGGCACACACTTGTTACTTCAACTTTCAGGAGGCTGAGGCAGTGGGGTGGCTGAGAGTTCAAGGCCAGCCTGGGCTACGTAGTGAATTCAAGGCCAGTGTGAACTGGGTAGCAAGACCCTGTCTCAAAAACAAATAAACAAACAAACAATGATAATCCCCATAGAGGGTTGTGAGAGTAAATGAAAATACAGCTATCATTTATAACAGACTGCTGGTAATTTAGTAGATGATAAATGGTTAATATTTATGGGAGGAGTAGAACAGGATCCAAGGAAGAGAATCCCAGGATCTCTTTTGTAGTCCCAAAAACTCATTTTGGTTTTTGCCAAAAGAACCTTAGAAACGCACAGAAGAGTGGACACTAGCTCTTATTAGCACACACCTCTCCTGTGAGCCACCTCAGGACAGGGCTTTCTGTCATGGGGGTTTGTTCCATCTCACTTACCAGACAGGTAGCTCCTGAAGGCAGAGATCATGTCTCCTTGGTCCCTCTGTGCCCTCTTCTTACTATTCAAAAGAGAATTTAAAGCACAACAGGTCTATGCTTCTTCTGTCACCTCAGATTTTCAGAACAATGTGCAGGTCAAAGTGATTCGGAGTCCTGCGGACTTGATTCGATTGATAGAGGAGCTGAAAGGCGGAACAAAAAAGGTATGATCCCTGCCCAAAGGATTGGTGGGAATGGCCTGGCTGGGAGCATTTGAAGAACTACCCCTACCTGGGCCAAATGGAGCTGACTCTGTCCTCCACTCTTTCTGAGTCCCTTGGTTCCACACCCTGCCCCTGTTTGCACCCCACCATGTGGTTATGAAACCCCAAAACTACCTATCTCTTTCTCCCCAACCCTTACCAGGGAAAGCCAGATGCAGGCCAGGAGCAGCCTGCAGATGAGGCTGCAGAGGCCCCTCATCAGGAGCCAGAGGCGAAGGAAAAGGGTGATGTAGAGCGTCCAAATGCAGTGGGAGAAGAGGACGATGAAGATGAAGACACGGATGAACGGCAGTTACTGGGAGAATTCGAGAAGGAATTGGAAGGGATACTGCTTCCGTCAGACCGCGAGCAGCTCCGTTCCGAGGTGAAGGCTGGCATGGAACGGGAGCTGGAGAACATCATCCAAGAGGTGAGTGTGGTGCTAGCTCCTGAGGTCCTGCAGCTGCCGCTTCTGCCGGATAGGACCAGAACAAAGGCAGTGCCTAGCGCCACTCAGGGCACCAACACGGTGGTTACTTACCTAATTTGAAGTGGGTGGTGAGGAAAGGGGATTGGAGATAAGGATGAGACCTGGGCATTGACTGTCCTGTGAGGTGTGACCTGCTGGCCTCAACTGCCCAGACCCTTGACTCCATCCCAACTTGGGCATTCCAGACAGAGAAAGAGCTAAACCCGGATGGCCCAAAGAAAGAGTCAGAGCGTGATCGGGCAGTGCTGGCCCTGACATCCACTCTTAACAAGCTCATCAAAAGGCTGGAGGAAAAACAGAGTCCTGAGCTGGTGAAGAAGTACACAAAAAGGAAGGTTGTCCCCAAAAAGCCTCTTCCATCACCCCGCTCCACAGGTGAGAACAGTAGGACAAGAAGGAGCAGCCAGGTTAGTTATCTCTGTCCCTTAGCTGGTGCTGTTCCAGAGGGCACTGCGTTCTCTCCATCCAGAGTGCACATCTCTTCCTGCCTCCTGGAAGGAGCTCCTCTGTTCTCGCTGTCACCTTTCTACCACTGACCTTCCTGTGTTGGTCACTCCTGCTTGTCCTTTGGAAAAGCAGCTATTCAAACATGTCTGTTGTGATCTCTGATTTTTCCTGTGTCCTCAGTGCCTAGCAGTCTGCCTGGCATATAAATGTGGACCAAACAGTGATGAGCCTGAGTGCTGGAAACCACACATCTGTGATAGATGCAGTGATCAACAGCTAGGACTTTGCTTTAGGAGAGGATCCAGCTGTCAGGGTAGCCAGCCACACTTGAGCCACCAGCCTGAATACTCTTGAAGTTACTCTTCCTTCTTGCATGCCTTTGTGTTCATTCCACAGGCATGTATAGATGTGGAGATCAGACATTCCAAATGGAACATTGCAGTTTCAAATCTTCTGTAAACATTGAAAAGTATTTAAAGTCACAGCGTACGTTCAGTTCCCAGTACAAAAAAAAAAAAAGTCACAGCATATGGAGGACCAAACCAGTTTTCCAGCCTGCACTTTAAAGTTCTTCGTCGGTGCAGGGGGCCTAGTTGTTGCTTTCAGAAAAGTTACTTCCTTATAGGTGACAAGTAGAATGACTGAGTAAAAGGCTACAGTTAGGGGCAGAAGCACTTTTTTTTTCTTTTTTTGAGCTCCAGTTCACATGTGTGTTCAGGTGGAATAGCCACCAAAACCAGTGGCACACTGATGGCTTAGAGAGAGGTGACCACCACAGCCCCTACCTCTGGAGTCACAGCTTTGCTTTGTCTCCCTGTGTGTCTCCCCCTCTAAGAGGAGGATCCTGAGCACAGAGTCCGGGTCCGGGTCACCAAGCTCCGTCACGGAGGCCCCAATCAGGATCTGACTGTCCTCGAGATGAAACGGGAAAACCCACAGCTGAAACAAATCGAGGGGCTGGTGAAAGAACTGCTGGAGAGGGAGGGAGTCACAGCCGAAGGTGGGCCCTGGAGGGCGGCTGGCTAAGAGCTGTTGGAAGGGCTTGCCACTGCGTGGAGGGGCTGGGTCACGGTGGACTGGAAACCTCAGCTGAGGACCTGGGGGGCAGGGGACCTGCCTGAGGCTCCCAGCCTCCTCCTCCTCCTCCTCCTCACTACCCACACTGTTTGTTTCTAGGGAAGATTGAGATCAAAATTGTCCGCCCTGGGGCTGAGGGGACCGAGGAGGATGGACGTTGGCTGACGGATGAGGACACAAAAAGCCTCAAGGAGATTTTTTTCAACATCTTGGTGAGACCCCCTACCTCAGGTCCTGGACTGCCAGCCCTCCTAGCCCGAGCCTGCTACATGTCCCAGAGTCACAGGGGCTTGCCTGGCCTTGCTGCATGTCACGCTTCAGTGTCCTGTCCTAGATGAAGCTGCCACTCAGGAAGAGCCCCATGGAGACTGGGTCTTCCTCCCTTGCCTTTCCCGACCGCCAGTCCTGGGGCTCTCTGCATATTGAAGCGGCTGGCACTTCTTTTGGTTCCCCATCAGCAACTCTGCTCATCCTCACCCTCCCACAGGTGCAGGGAGCTGAAGAGGCCCACAAGGAGCGCCAGCGGCAGAAAGAACTGGAGAGCAATTACCGCCGGGTGTGGGGCTCGAGAGATGGTGAGGGCACAGGAGACCTGGATGAGTTTGACTTTTGAGATACCACTGCAATGTGTTCCTGACCGACCCTGCCTCCTCCTCACCTCACGTCTTGATCCCTGTGAAGGCAAAACACCAGAGAACAGCAGAGCAGTGAGCCTCTGCCCTCAGCTCTGGGGAAGAGAGGACCCTGGGATAAGCACTGCTGCAGCTGGCAAGAGCCTCCTGCAGACCTCTGCAGGCCGTGGCTCCTCCCGGGCTCCCATGTGCCCTTCGTTTCCTCCTCGGCTTTCCCTGTTAGTGTCCCCTAACTTGTTGGCTCACTCTTCTTCCTGCCTAGAGACTCACTAAGATCCTGCATGGGCAGGGCTGGAAGAGTCGGGTAATTTAGCAGGCCCAAAGAAAGCACATTGCCCACCTGCTCTGTCACTGTTTGGAGTTGCTTTTCCCTCTTTCCTGAGATCACCATGGGATTTCCTTCTCCCTTGCCCTGTTCCCACTGTCCCTCCAATCTTCCTGAGCTGAGGCGCTTTCACTTCTGTTGCTGAGGAGATGGGAGACCCTTGCACATCACTTCCAAACACAATCCCGGCTAAAAGGGTGAGGTGCAGAAGCATCCCCGTATTCTTCAACAATCAGGTTTCTAAATAAAGAACTGGACCATCAATCCTTCTGCCTTTTTGAAGAGGGGGCAGGTGGGGAGATTTGTGCTCTTTTCAGAGGAGAGGGCACACTAATCCTGGCTCCACACCTCCCAGTGGGTCAGTGGAGCAGGGCTGCATAGAGACACTGGACAGCTGAACAAGCCAGCTGACTCGGCAAGACTTGAAAGTCCTTGGCAAGGGTACTGCCATCCCTTCTTTTCCTCATCTGTCCATTTCCATTCCTTTGTTTTTATTTTTTTAATTTTTTGCAGTGCCGAAGAACAAATCACTGCTAGGCAAGGACTACCACTGAGCTATACCCCCAGTCCAGTTGGTTGCTTTTCCGCTACCCCTGTCTACCCTAACTCCAGCATGCTTACCACAGAGCATGCACACTGTCCCAGCATCTTTTGCTGAACTGTGCCTGCAGTGTGTTCAGATTCCATCTGCCAGCCACACCTTCCCAGAAAAGAGCCACATTTGGCTGTGGCCAGAGAGAACTGCTGCCTACACGTGCCAGATTCTCAGTCTGCTGAGGGCAGCCGTGAGTCCCTCAGTGGCCTTCCTGCTGCCTCCCACCGTAGAGGGCTCTGGGGCTTGCTGGCTGCCCAGCTTGGAGGTATGTGACCTTCCTGCTGAAGATTCCATTGACTCACAAGACAAGGAGACAGAGGACATGGAATGCCTTGTCTCCAGAAGTGACAGAAGTCATATAAGACTAACTTTGCTGAATGTAGACTAGTGCTTATTGTGCATTATGTATTTATGTTTGTTTATTTTGGTACTGGGAACTGAACTCAGAGCCTTTACATTGAGCTACATCCCCAGTTCTTTTTTTTTTTTAATTTTAAGACAAATCTTGCTAAGCTGATAAATTGCCAGGCCTGGGCTTCAACTTCAGATCCTCCTGCTTCAGCCTCCCAGAGTCCTGGAAGATCTACATAATCTTGAGGACAGGGATGCTTCAACTGGACATAAATTTTAGAAACTGCCTTGAGGGTGGTAACAACCAGGGTGCTAGTTTAAATCCTCACCCTTCATCTTCCCTCAGTAGGGCCTGATCAAGTCATTTAACTTTTTTTTTTTGAGTCACAGTCTCTGTATAGTTAGGCTGGCCTTGAACTCACAGTGATCCTCCTGCCTCAGCATCCCAAGTGCTGGGATTACAGGTGTGCACCACCACATCCACCATTTAACTTTTCAAATGCTGTTTCCTCTTCAGTGCATAATAGTACCAGCCTTGTAGGGCAGTAGAGAGAACTGAGACACTGTCATGCATGACATCACAGAGGACCTGGCCCACAGTAAGCACACCAATTTATAAACCAGCTGTTGACTCTGGAGAGAGGAGCACTTGGAAGCACGAATAAAAAGCATCCCAAAAGGTCAGCTGAAGTTTTTGAAGCAGGAAGCAGGAGAGGCTGGAGCAGATGGTTCTCTTTGGTTTGACAGGGACAGAGTCTCAGCATGGACAGAGAAGCGATTCTGGAAACCTCACTGTATCTAATCATTTTGTATTTTTGATAATAAAATCCTTTTTACTTTCCTTTGGCTTTTGGAAAAATGCCCATGTAGGTCAGTCTACTCTGGCTGTGCTAAGGCAAACAAAGGGAGGGAAGAAGGGTGGTGGCAGATGGCAGCCAGGAGGGGGTAGTGCGAGGGCCAGGGGAGGAAGCCCAAGGCTAGCTGGGCGGCATGGATGTACAGGGGCAACAGCTCTTCTCCTCCCACAGTCCTGATATGACTGGAGGGCCTGCTCTTCTGTCACCCCTTCCATCTTGCCACAAACCAAAGATGCGGTCCATCTTTTAAACAGGACCAAGCAGATTACTTGGTGATAGAATTTGCTGTAGGTTTTGGTTAACCATTTTTTTTTTTATGGTTGTTGGCTAAGGATTAAAGGACCTTCCCACTAGCCCGCAGTTCCCTTCACGTGTAACTTCACGCCAGTGTCCATGTTGCTTCCCCACACTTAGATTCAGAGTTTTTGAGAACAGAGCTGGCTTTTGTCATGAGGAAGGAGGGTGGAGAGGAAGTGAGGGAACCTAAGGACCGAGCTGAAGGGCAAAGCGCCAAGTCCGCCAGCTGAATCTTCCTTAGTATTCCCCTTCTTCCTCCCTTTGCTGGGGCCACACGCCTGCATGTCACCACACTCACCCCCAAGTCCACTTCAGCCTGGGTCATGCTGCTATACTGGGTGCTCACCAGTCTCAGACTGTGCAGAGCAGCAGCCTCTATGTGACTTGGTCCTGGGCCTGCTGCGGCAACCACTCCTTTTTGTCAGCTTACTGGTATACCTGCAGTTCAGTGTCTTGGAGCTGCAGGACACCAGTGGTTGGAACCAGTTCTGCCCAAAGATGCTGGTGCCACCAACTGATTCATCAAGGTGGATGATATTTGATGGTGGTGTCCAATCTGTAGTGGATACTCACCAAACACCACCCTCCACCTCCTCTACCAGAGCAGACACTTTGAGCTGCACCCAAGAAATGAGACAGGTTATGTCCCTGAGCAGAACTGCAGCTCAGCCACTGTCAGGGTGATGACAGAGATGACAGAGCTTGCGGACATACAGCCAGCTGGGAAGCGTCTGCCAGGCGGTGTTTCACCCCTACCCTCCCTGGCACCTGATCATGGCCAAAAGAATTCTCAAGTCTTTTTCCGGTACCTGGTGTGCAAGGGGAATAAATGCTTACAGCAGCCCTCTTTAGGGCTGTCATACCTACCAGATTCCCTCTGAGCAGAAAGTGTGGGGATTATAAGTAAACAGATGCCACTGAGGGCAAACGCCCAAGGCCTCTAGCTAGGGAATGGAGGGTGAGGCTTCAAAATGAGATCCGTTTATGTTCTGTTTCTAACCCCAGTGACCTGTCTTCTCACCCCAGCCCCACAGGCCTATCCACTCCTAAACCCACACCCCCTCTCCAAGAATTGGAGTCATCTTGCAAGTATGACTTCTCTGCTCCCAGGATCCTCACATGTGCACCTCCAGGTCTATCTGTGTTCATCATATGAATCCCTGGGCATTGCCCTGCTGATGGCCTGGCAGGAGGCATCTCTGCCAAGCCCATTCCCACCTCCAGTTCCCCCCCTCGACCAAGGCCATACCCTGACCTGCCTCCTCAAGAACAGACCAGCAGCTCACCTCCTAGACAAAATCACTTCCTCTTTAATTGCTGTTTAAGATTCACACCACCTGCCTCTGAGGAAATGAGTGGGGGGCATCCCCTCTGCCCCCACCCTACTTCCCTCCCAATTACCTGGTCTTTTGCAAAATATTTTAGCCAGAAAAAAAAAAAAAAGACCGGAAACCACTGACACAGACGGTCCAAGGGCTGGGTTGGTTGAGGGAGGCATAGTTGGGCTAGGTTAAGTCCACCCCATCACCCCCTTTTGGGGGCCTAGGGGCCTGGAAAACGCAGCCACTGCACACCCTCTCAGCCCCGGCTAGGGGGAGCGTGAGGTTGCGGGAAGGGTCTGGAGCTGCTCCAGCGGGAGGGAGGGGCTGGACAGAAAGAAAGAATAGGGGAGGGGCCCCATTGTAGGGGTGCCCCCTACCCCAGATCACCACGGGGCTGCACAGTCACAGGTACGCAGTCACAGGCACAGACACAACCCGAGAGCACCCCGCCCCGCCCCTGCCCACCCTTGGCTTCCCCTATCCCAAAACACCCTCCCCACGCCCCTGCCCACCCCACCCCCATGTCGGGGAACAAAGCAATAAATTACAAGGCCCTTTCCCAGCCCCTTTAGCCAGCTCTTCTCCCTCCCAGGATTGCAGAGGAGGGAACCGGGCTCTTAGCTCCCCCTGGTCCGTTAGCTTCCATCCATGGGTAGGTGTAGGGGGACATTCTGATTTCCACTGCTCTTGGTCCCTTTCACGGAAAGGGTTAGGGACGCCCCCACCTCCATGAGCAGCAGGGGTCCTGCCCCTCGCTGCCCTTCTCCCCTTCACAGGGCAGAGAGATCAGCATGGAAGGAGTAAGGGATCCCTTATTGGCCCCAAATCCCAGGGCTAGCCCTCCACGTACGAACCCCTCCCTCTGGCGAGGCATCGCCCCAGGAACCAGCCTGGGTTTGGGCTCCGGCCATAGGACTGTCGAGTAGGCAGAGCTAGGTCTCTTTCCCGCCTTTAGGGGCGCGCGCGAGCGGGCAAGTCCAAGCGCCCGGCACAGCGATGGGGGCGTCCCTTCTGCAAACACCAGGCGGGCGGGCAGACCCAGAGCAATTCGAGCGTGAAAATAGTGAAGGGGTGTGTCGAGCTGGGGTCTCCATGCCTCGTTGGGGAGAGGGAGGTGAGTTCGTGTCTTCTGGGGAGGCGTGGGGGCTGTGCTCGCGTGGGGGTAGGAAGTGCTCTCGTGGGGCGGGGTGTGCGTCGGAGAGGTGAGTGGGTGCGTCTGTCCGGTGATCCAACCAGTGTGGTCGTGCCCGGCCCGCGCGGGGGTGGGGGTGTCTCTCCCGCTGCAGGGCCACTATACCAGCGCGACCGGGGCGTCGGCGCGACCCACGCTAGCGGCGCTGCTCCGGCGGCGAGGGCTGGGGGTGGCGGTGATGCTGGGCGTGGTAGCTGCGCTGGGCGTGGTGGCCGTGCTGCCGCCTTCGCTGGGACAGCCGTGCTGGAGGAGGATGTCGGCACACAGCTGGCTTCCAGCCTGGCGCGCGTAGAACAGCGCCGTGCGGCCCTGCGCGTCGCGGGCCGCCACATCCGCTCCATACTAGAAAGCGAGAGGGTCACGTGGCCGCGCGTCCCCAAGCGCACACCGCCTCCCCAAGGCTTCCAACCCCTCTGCCAGGGTCCCTCTGGCAATGTCACGCCCACTCGCGTACCCACAACAGCAGCTGGGTGATGACTACGTGGGCCAACTCAGCCGCCAGGTGGAGCGGGGAGCGGAGCTGCGGGTCCTCCCCGCTGGTGTCGAGCGGCCCGTGGCGCGCGTGTGCCAGCAGCAGGAGCACGGCGGCCACGTCCTGGGCCTGCACGGCGGCCCACAGCTGGCGACTCCACGGCTCCTCCGTAGTGCCCAGCGGTGCCAGAAACAGCAGCTGCTCGTACTTGGCGCGAATCCACGACTCCCGTTCCTCCCTACAAGACAAGGAGCCAACTGAAAGGGCTCTAGGGACCTCGGCCCTTACCCATAGGCCCCGTTAGGAGCCAAGTCCCCTGATATGTTCCTTCACATGTACCTCGAAGAGTCCTTCGTGGGCTTGGCACGGCCCCGAGTGTCACTCTCCCACACGCGGTTGGCCATATCGTTGCCAATGGCCGTCAGCACCAGGGTCAGCTCCCGCGGCCAGTCGTCCAAGTCGAGTGAGCGAACACGGGACAGGTGTGTGCCCAGGTTCCGGTGAATACCAGAACACTCGATGCAGATGAGTGCGCCCAGGTTGAGGCTGGCCCACGTTGGGTCTGGGGACGGGGACGGTGTGCGGAGGTTGGTTTCTGATTAGGCAGTGCAGATAGACACCCTCCTGCCCGCTGACTCCAGCAAACCACACTCCCTGGCCCACAGGGCCATCTGCCAGACCCCTTTGCTGCCCTCTTGCACTCACTGGGGGCCCCACAGTCCACACAGATAGAGTTTCCCTTGGCGTTCCGGATTGCCTGGATGGCCACAGCTTCACTCTGGCTGTCTGTCCGCAGCTGCAGAGGGGGCTGGGTCAGTACTGGCTGCCCCCTCCTCCTCTTCTTAGACACCTTTGCTCTCCTCCCACCCACTCAACCCCTCAAACCATTACCTTGACTTTGCTGCTCTCACAGCACTGCAGACTAGCGAGGATCTGACTCTCAATGGCCTGGACCCAGGCATCCCGCTCCTCGAAGCTGGCTGCCTCGAAGTGCCATGTCTGACCAGTGCTGGATACGATCAGGAACTCAAAGTTTTCCTCTGGGTGGGGGGATGGGATGGGGTCATGAGGGACAGCGTTCAAGCAGGGTCTGCCTTCCCCAAACCCTTCCTCCCTGATGTCCATCCCGAGCCCCTGGGAATGGGGCAGTAGGGGGAGGGGAAGCAGAGGGTGGGGGGTAGCAGGAAGCCCGAGCACATGCAGGGAGAGGCAGGGGCACCCCCACCCTCTGCACCCCAGCTGAGCACCCCTCCCAGCTCCCCACTTGTTACCTGCTTTATAAATATTTCTTAAACTACCAAAGGATTTTAGTTTCCACATTTTGCGCTTGGCTGGTTTCCCGAAGCAAAGGAGATAGAGATAGAATGGAGAGCAAAACAGAGACCAAGAAAGGAGAAAAAGGCAGATGGAGAGATGGAGAGATAGTGACAGAAAGTGCCAGAGACAAAGCAGGACAGACAGATGGGGAGAGAAAGCAGAACTAAAGTCAGTGGCCCCGGGGCAGAGTGGAGCGAAAGCCAAGAGCCATGAGAGGATGCAGATCTGGAAACCCGGTCTGAGCACCCGGCAGAGAGCAGGGGCATGGGGTTTTCACGACCAGAGAGGAGCCTGGTCTCTGCAGGGAAGGGAGGGTCTCAGTCTGAGTGAACACAGGGGAAGGGGACCAGAGCAGGGTGGGAGGTTGGGAAGAGAGGGCCCGGGGGCTCAAAAGGAGTACAGGGGCCTGGGCTGGAGACTGGGGGCCAGAAATGAGAATTACTGTGGTCAAGGATTGTTGAGGAAACTTGGCAGCCACTGAAAGTTATTGGGAGAAGAAGGTGGATGGTCAGAGTGGCTGTGGACTGAGTCATTAGGGACAGGTGTGTAGGTAATGGGTCATAAGTGGAGATGAGTGCAGGAACAAGAACTAGAGAGTCATCAGGAGAGGGAGGGGCTACAGATTTAGGGGAGTCACTGAGAACAGGGGCTGGGGACCACTGGGTAAAGGCACTGGCTGAGGAACGGGGAAGGACAGGGACGGGGTGCCATCCATTTTCCCACTAACTCGTGCGCAGTGCTAATGATAGCCAAGCATTCAGCTCAGGCACTTTCCTCCTGCTGCAGGAGTCAGGCCAGGGGTCTGATGTCAGGATGCGGGTCCAGGGTGGGAGTGGAACTGCCCATCAGGGTCTCACCTTCAGCCTGCACCGCTGCACCTTCAGTCTTCGATGGTGTGGTCAATTTTTTCCTCCTCTGCTTCTTCACCATGGGGGAAGGCGGGGGTTCCCGACTCAGGGGGCTCAGGTCTCCAGATGGGGTACAGTCTTAGAGAGGGGAATATAGCTGCCTCAGTTGTGCCCTCCACAGATTTCCTGATTTCTTGATAGCCTGTTTCTTCCCCTGAACTATCTTTGGCATTTTGTCCCTGTCCACGAGGTCCCCTTGGATCAGTCCTGGGGAGGTGGGAGGTGGGATAGATGAGTGGTTCAGAGTCAAACCTGCACTCAGATCCAGGCTCTCCCACTTATTGCCCTTCAGACCTTGAGCAAGTCACTCAACCTTCTAAGCCTCAGTTTCTTCATCTCTAAAATAGGGATAATAATCTTGACCTGATAAGGTTGTTGTGATATTACAATGTTACTCGCTCTTATATTCCAAACATTCCAAACAGTGATGGCTGATTAATATGCTGGATATTGTTTTCAGTTTGTTTAAACCCTGAAACAATCCTTCAAGGTAGAAATTACTGTCTCGGGGCTGGGGATTTAGCTCAGCGGCATAAGCACCTGCCTTGCAAGCAGACGGTCCTGAGTTCGATCCCCGGTACCAATAAAAATGAAAAAGACCAAAAAAAAAAAAAAAAAAAAAAAAAAAAAAAAGAAAGAAAGAAATTACTGTCTCCATTTTATCGATGAGGAAACCAAGGTAAAGAGAGGTCAAGTAACTTGCCCATGTGGCAAGCCAGGACTACTGAGGCAGCGTGGCTCTAGAGCCCCCATGTTTTAACTATTGTGATAGCCACAGTGTGTTTGGGCTTGGTGCTGGGCACCCAGCAGACACTCCATGTGTTCGCTCCAGCATGTATTCCAGTTCTAAGCCTCCACCCTGATTTCACTTCCCACCCACATCCCATTTGTAAGTCGTCTCTGTCTCTCCTTTTTTTTGGCACTGGGGATTGAACCCAGGACTTTGCATATGTTAGGCCTACTACTGAGCTACATCCCTCGGCCTCCAACAGCCCACTGTATCTGGAAAACGATGGATGGAGGGTAATCCCACTGACCAGTGCTGAGGGCTCGGGCCAAATTTCTGTCTGGCTTCAGCAGGTGCTTCGACGTCTGGTCTGGTGGTGGCTGCAGGGAACTAGGGCTGGGGCTGGGGCTTGGTGTGGGAATAGTGGCTTCTGTCAGAAGAGGAAGATGAAACCCCATGAACCTCTCTGTTCCTGGCCCCCTCTCCTATGTAACCCCTCTTTATCACTCGCTTTCCACTTATCCAGTGCCAGCCCCACTCCCCTCCTTCTCCACCCTTTTCTCCAGTCCTGGCTTCTCTCTTGCTCTTCTGTCATGAGCCCCACTCACCAGGGCCTTCACCCATCTGGACAGTGCTCATGTCCTTGACCAGCCCATTGATGCTGGCTGAAGGGCCAAAGGCAGAGATAGCCCTTGGGGGCCTCTTGCCTGGGACTTTGACTGTTGTTCGTAGCAAGTCCATCTCCTTGCCATGGGTGCTATGGATGTAATCCTGGAGGGGTACAGGGATTGAGAGTGTACAGGAGGCTGGGATCTCTCTGGGTGCTGGAAAGCAGTAACTAGTATGGGATGGGGCTCTGAGTGCTGACTGGACTGGGATGAGCTTCTAGGGGATGGATCCATCAGGCTTGGCCTAGCATTATCTCTTCCTGAAAGCATTCCCAATTTAGCAGGCCAGGGCCAGGCCCTTCCTAGGTGCTCTCTCACTAAGTTCCTGGGGAGATGAAATAACCTTCACTCTCAAGCATGGGCAAATGGTGGGCTCTTAACGTGCTTATTAAACTTAAGTGAACAGAACTAGAGCTTCCCAGAATGATACTCATGCTTGTCAGAGGCATGAGGTAGAGGAGGAGGGCCTACAAGGCTAGGCAGTGTGGTCCACTTTCTGCCACTCACATTAATGCTGGGGTGGTACAGTAGGAAGCCATTGCTGGACAGGGTCACATATTTCTTCTTCCATTCTTTGTTCAAGGAATTGCCACTTCGCTTTAGTAGGAAGCTCTAGAATATGAAAAGACACATGAGAGAGGAAATCTAGCTAAGATTAGCTGGCTCCAGCCTTCCCTGGCCCTGGGACCACTCACCTGTTTGATAGGGATGGCTCGCCCACTCCCTGTTGTCTCTCCCCGGCTGTCTAAGCTTCGCTTCTCAGAGTCACTACCCCGGCGATTCTAGAATGGTTATTGGGATCCATCAGATGAAAAATAGAGAGAAGGACAGGGAAGACAAATGAAGAAGGGCCCACCAGAGGGATCTGTGAACTAGGGAAGATGGGAAAGACAGGAGGGTAGGGATGTTTAATACCGCAAAGAGACTGGTCCTGCGTTTGGCTGCCCGGTGCAGGGACCCTGGGGTGCTCAATCCAGCCACTGCAGCCACCTCAGCTCGGAGTTCCCGGTGACCAACATTGGGGGAGGATGGAAGGGAAGAAGAGTAGTCGCTAGTGTGGCCCCCATTACTAGCCTAGGGACAAGGAAAAGCCAGCAGAGTTGAGCTACCTCTCCTCCACCAAGCTACCCTTACATCCAGTTATGGGGAATTGGAGACGCTCCCTGATCTCATCACTATTCACTGACATTATCATGCATAATGAAAATTCTGACTAGCATTGTCTAGAGTGCATTCAGTTTTGCAGACTGACTTTTCACGTATTATGCCATTCGATCTTTCAGATAACCTTGGAAGGTTAGGTGACTTGTTCAAGGACATTGCAGATGGCACCTCAAACCTGGCTGAATTTCAGCCCAATGCACTGTCTACAAAGTTATCTGCCATTTCCACCTGTTGCCAACTCCCCCAACATCTTTTAGTATTCTGTATCTGTGTTTGGATCCCCAGCCCCTCCCTTTTTGTCTCTGAAACATCAACTCACCTGCCCAGCTACAGGGGTGGAAGCAGCTGAGTGGCTTGGAGAGCTGGGCAGGGACTTGCAGGCAGCCAGAAGCTGTTGCTGTTTGCGCAAGGTCACCACCTTCTGAGCCACTGAGTGGAGGGGGAGAGGAAGGAGGTGTGAACAGGGCAGATTCCCAAGACTACTCTTCCATGCCTACTTTTGAGAAAATCCCAGGAGATAACATGAGCCCCAACTTTCACTGGTCACCATGCCACCGGTGGGCTCGCCAGTTTCTGTCCTGACTCCCACAGAGGCTAGTGCCCTATCAGACATTAGAGGTCTAGATACTGGGCCTCTACAATACTCCCGGCTCATAACCTCCCAGTTCCCACATATGCTGGTATTTCCACACTCACCCTCCTGGAAGACCCGATCCACATTGAGCCCGTAGGTTGCACAAGTCTCATAATAGCTGCAGCGTTTCATATCTGCGCACAGAGCCCTGGCACGAGCATCACCCACCACCCGAGGGGAGGAAGCACTGATCCTGTCTGAAAACCGAAAAGGGGGCAGGAATAGATGAGAGGCTCCTTCTCTGCTGTTCATGATTCCCTTTCCCTTGTGCTCCAGGTACATGGGAGGTGGGGGGTCTATCAATTTGTACATGGAATGGAGTGTATAAGCCACCAGGTTCTGGATCCAGCTCACAAATCCAGCTTTGTGTAAGGAGCCTGTGTGAGGTGTATGTGCATGAGTGTGTGTGTTTTCAAAGAATACTCCAGAGGTGAGGGAGCTTCCTGACAAGGTTTGAAAAATGTCTGAGACTCGCAAGTGATAAACACTCTACTCTGCAACTCAGTTGACCCGTCTTGAGAGTGAGAGGATAGGCACATACACCAGGAAAAGGCTGGATACCCATGGTAATAACAGGTGGGCTATTCGCTCTGCAGTGAGAAACCAGGCTGCAACTAACAGATGGAGGCCAGCATCTGCAGCGCAAGCATCCACACACAGTCCTGGTGGCTTGACACAGGCAGCACTGGAAAGCAAAGCTCTTCCTGCTCTGGTGGAGAGTCTCAGAGCTTCTAAGTCACAGAAAGGTTTTCTGCACTCTTGTTTTCTCCAGCATTTCCTTCATTTTCAGCTTAAGTTCTTTCTAAAGGTATCAGCCTGACTCAGCTGTAGGAAGGGGGAAATGGAAAGCTTTCTATCCGTACTGCTTAAGATGTTCTGTGTGTCCTGTGGTTCCATCAGGAAATGGCAGGGTATGAATACATGGCAGATGACATCTCAGGAGGGGGATAGAGATGGCTACTGTGACTGTCTTTTTCTCCTTGGTAGTCTTCTTTTCCCTACTCAGACCTTGGTACGTTTCATTTTATGACTACCTTATTTGGAGATCAGGCTCTCTCTAGAGGGTTACTGACACCGAAGTGGTCATTTCCACACCTTACCATGTTCACTCTCATGCTGGGTAATATCCTAGAGGCATCGAGGGTTCCCCTGAAAATAGCGCTTTTCCCAACCCCTTCTTACCTTGTGTCCCTACCAGTGCCAGGGCCAGGCCTCCTCGCCCCTCCCCACGAAGGGAGCTCAGCTGCCCATGGAGACGGCTCACAGCCTGGAAACTGTTCTCATCCTCCAGGCTGAAGACGAAGATAACAGCATCTGCCCAGCCTGAGAACTTGCGGGAGGTGGGAAGGCAAAGGGAGGGTCAGATAGGTCCACTCTTTTGAACGTTATGCAGAGGGAAGCCAGAGCCCTCTCTGTTGCCCAGTATCAACCGCAGGCAGCCTCCCCACCGTGTGTCCTCCACCCCTCACCTTGGCATCAGGAGCCCCAGCTTCCTCTCGGATCAGCACCAGATGAGTCTGCCCATCCACCAACATCTCTTTCTTGTACTGCTCACCTGTCCAGAACAGTTGAGGATAAACAGGTCAGAGATGACAGGTCACACAAATACTCTAACTAGTATGGCTTTATCCTTCACCTTAGTCTCCACACCTTCCCAGGTACTGGTCTTACTGGCCCCCCAACCCTAATCCTTAGCTTACTGTGGCTCCTAAGAACTCACTCTCGGTCTTTTCCAGCACCTGGTATGAACCAGTCAGGAATCGGTGGATGAGTGACGACTTCCCACTCCTGGTGTCACCCAGAACACCCTGAAAGTAAGGTTGAAAAGCAGAGATAAAACTGAGGAGAGGAAAGCTGCTTGGATCTGCTCAAGCCAGAGAACCCAAAGAGACTGGCAGTGTTAATTCACCCAAGCAGATCCTACAGGGCCTGGATGACAGATAGTCAGGAGAAAGCAACTGGGTAGAAGCATATTAAGAAATGATCCTGAGCTTGAAGTGGACTACAAGGTGAAGGTCAGCAGCTAAGGACCAGCTTTTTTGTGTTGTTTAGGAAATATATTAGACATACGTGTGTGTGTGTGTGTGTGTCCCTATTTTAGGCAAGAGAAGATGAAGGGGCAAAGGCCAGAAGTCAAAAATGAAGAGAAGCTTGGAAGAGAGCCCTGGACTAGCAAAGAAAAGAGCGTAAGGACTAGAGAATAAAAAGCTGCGCAGATGTCTCAAGCCCAACAATAGTGTAATGAAGGTAGTCTCCAGAGAACTGGAAAACTAGTCCTCTTTGCACAGAAAGACGACAGGAGAGAGGTGAAAGGAGCGCAGAGAACGCAGTGGGGAGAGGTTAATCATCCCTGCAGGCCAGGGGCCTGGGTTACCTACCAGACGCAGTTCAGGAATGGAGCGGCTCAAAGTCCATTCCTGGCTATTGATCACAGCCTCTACAACGGAAGAGGGGCGGTAAGAGGGTTGGCTCTGGTGCAGTAGGACTCTAGACCCCCAGTCACCCCTCCTTTCTTTGCAGCTCCCCAAACTCCGAGGACCCTGCTTTCACAGAGAGGTGTGTGAAACAGACAGGTCTGAGTGGTCCCTAGTCCTCCCATCCCAGCCTCTCCACACAGCTGTTGCTGCCGCTCAGTGGTTGCTTAGCAACAGAGCTAGCAAGACAAAAATACTTCAGTTGGCATCTTCCTTAAAGCACATCCCCAAACGCGGGTACTTGCTCCAGACTAAGAAAGTAGTGTTCTGACAGTGGCAGGTTCTTCCCTCTGGAAAGACCCCCTCCCCAGGGCAGGGCTGGACAGGAGTGAGTCTTCCTCAACCTCCATCACGTGGAGAAACTGAGGTGACAGCTGGCTCTCCCTCCCGTTTTCAAGGTCAATGGCACGGTGGCCCTGACTCCTCTTCACACCTCAAGGGGTTTTCCTTAGCTTCCCTCTTCCACAGCCTTCTCACAAGCTCCTCTGAAAGAACTGCGAGGCAGGGCTGCGTCCGTAGGCCAGAGAAGCCACGGACTGGGGGCACCGAGGCTCCTTCCGCAGGCCGGGGCCAGCCCCCACGCCTGACACTGCCGGACGTTCCCGGGGCGCCGCAGCTGCGGCGGGAACTCTGGGATCCGGAGCCATCTGCTCCCACCCGCTCCAGAGCCAAGCCCCGGGGCCGCCCCCGCTTCCAGACCGCCTCCTCTCTGGGGAGTGCGAGCCGAACCGAGTCCCTGCCTGTCTCCCCCAGTTAAAAAATAGTCATAAAGACACCCCTGGGAAATAAATAAGCAAAACACCACCTTCCCCGAACCGCCTCCCCGCTCTGGGGGAAGAATTGTCTCTGCAGCAGTTCCGCCCCCCTGACTCACACGGGGCCAGCCCCGGGGGTGCGGACCCGCTGCGGGGCGGGGGTGGGCCGCGGGGCGGGAGGCCTCACCCTGCCCGCTCTCGCTCCGCATTGAAATGTTCGGCACGTTCCAGCCCCCGCACGCCCGCGGGCGGCCCACTCGGTGGCCGTCGCGGGGAGAACACCGCGAGCCTGCTTCCGACACAGAATACCTGTCCCTGCTGAGGAGCTGCCTGCAAGGTCACTGGATGGCCACCTGCCCAAGTGCTCAGGGGAAACTGAGGCTTCTCGCCGCTTCTCCTTCGCTGTCCCTCTAGACTTCTCTGAGCGCAATTGCCTCTGTCACTCTAACCAAGGGCATCATCTCCCAGAAGGCTCGGTTCCGAGTCCCTCCAAAATCAAGGCACCTCTCACGTCGCACATGCAGCTGCTCACCCTCTTCAAAACCTTGTATTCTTTGCCTCAGGCCGCGGCAGAGGAGCGAGCCTGGCTCATCCGCCCACCCGACGGCCCACCCGACGGAAAAGCCTTCCCTGTTTTCCTCACGTCGTCACCTCCCACCCCAACTGAGCATTCCAGGCGCCCTCCCGTCCCGCTACCAAGTCCTGACCCTACTCACTAGGGGAGGCGCGGAGCTCTACGCCCAGCAGCTCCCTAGACCCGCTGCCAGAAGACAGGCTTGGGGCTCCGGGAGGGGGCCCGGAGCCAGGTGGCCCCCCTGTGCTCTTGGTGAAGATACCGCTGATAAACTTGAGCATCTTGCGGTCACGAGTGGATGCTCGGCCCCCCTCCCGGCCCCGCTTCAGACCCGGAGCTGGAGGCTCCAGAGTTATTGGAGGTGCAGGCCCGGGGGGCTGCGTGGAGGCGGCGGCGGCGACAGCAGCGGCTGGAGTCGGGGTGGCCGGAATGGTTAGCGGAGGAGGAGAGCCAGCAGGCGGTCCTGGGTGCAAGTCACTGTTGTCCAAGGTCTTGCTCTTGCCTTTCCGAGGGGACAGCTTCCCTCGGGCTCCGGCCCCAGCCCCGACCCCAGCAGAGGTCGTGGCTGCAGCGCCCCCTCCCCCTGAGGCGGCGGCCGTAGCGGCAGAAGCTCCAGTCCCGGCACTGCTCTTTGACCCCTTGACCCTGGGCTTGCCCTCGCTTTCGGGCCATGACAGGCGGCTGCCGGCGCCTTTGCCCCCGCCGGCTTTGGCTCCACTCGTGGTCACGGTCTTGCAAGGCTTGGGAGCCGGCGGAGGAGGCGCCACCTTGAGTCTCCGGCTCCCGGTGCCGGGGTGCGGAGAGGACGAGCCGGGGACACCGCCGCCCAGTCGGCCTTCGGGCTCCGGGCCCCCCCAGCTGGGGCTGCTGAGTAGAGGGCGCCTGGAGGAGGTGGGGACGCCCCCAGGCTTGGGGTCGGGGCTCAGACCCCCGGAGAGCGGGGGTCCGGGAGGGGCGGCCCAGAGGGACAGGCGGCGGCCGGGTGCAGGGGACACAGGGCGGGCTGGGCTGGCCGGAGCTGGGGACAGGGCCGGGGGCTCCGCGCCCCCCGCGCCCGCGCTGCTCGTGCTGATCCACAGCGCATCCTGCCGGTGGAAGAGGCGCTCGTGCCGCTTCTTGCCGGGCTCCTCCGCGCCGCGGGGACTGCCCGGATCCCCAGGCTCGGTGCCTCTGGCCCCGGGAGCACCGGCCGCGACTGCAGACGGAGAAGGTGGTGGCGGAGGAACCGACTCGAGCTTGACCAGGGTCAGCGAGATGAGGTAGGTCGTTGTCCGGCGCTGAAGCGCGCCCGCGCCCCGGCTCATGGGGCCCAGAGAGCCCCGAGCTGGGGAGGGGAGGGGACTCCCCCGGACTGCCTCAGGGGGGCCCGGCCATGGAACCGCCCTGCTCGCTGCCCCCAGTCCCCGGACCCCCCTGAGCCCCTGGCCCGGCTCCGCTGTCGCCGCCGCCTCCGCCGCCTCCGCTTGCGCCCCCCTCCCATCACATGGGGCGCCCCCTCCCCATGCTCCCCGCCCTGCGCCCCCACCCCCTTGGAGCCCCGGGACCTTGGTGCTGCTCCAGGGAGGCGCGCCGGACCGTGCACCCTGGCCTAGGTGGGGGCGCCGAGATGGGCGGAGGAGGGCGGGGAGGACAGTAGTGGGGGGCAAATGGGGGAGATGGAGGAAAAGAGGCAGAAAAGGGGACCAGAGGCTGGGGGAGAAGAACCGGTGCGGGAGAGACAGGGGTGGGAAACAGAGACTCAAGGGACAGGGGCGCGGATGCAGTCGGAGAGGGGGTCTTGAGGGTGGGAAGCTAGCGGGGCTGGCCGTGGGGAGGATTCGCAGGGGCGCGGGGAGGATGCTGGGGATGGAGATACAGGAGGTGGCGGGGGAGGAAGGAGGGAGCGGGAGGGGGTGGGAACCCTGGGGTCTGGGGTCTAGGAGGGGAGGGGGCGTGAGATCTCGGCAGAGTCCCGGGGCCTCGCCCGGGTTCGGCTGGGTCCGGATGCGCGCTGTGTCCGGGCGCTCCCCTCACATTGAGGAGGAGGCGGCCCCCGGCCCCCCCCACCTCCTCTCCCCCCCACCTCTCCACCAGCACCGCTGTCTGCGAGGGCGGTACAAAATCCAGGACTGGATTTCCCTCCCAAATCCTGGGCTGGATTTGCTGGGACTGGGACTCACCTTCTCCTACAACCTAGCCCCTTCCTATCGCCAGCCAGGTTGGGCAGCGACTTGTGGGAGCGACTGTCGGGGTGTGGTATTTAGGGGTAAAGGTGACAGTTGCCAGAAACGGAGAAAACTGGGGTCACTGCCAGTTCTAGGGGAGCTGAAGTGGGAAAGTAGGGAACCCTGAAATCCTTTCCCCAGGACTCCTCTCCCCTTTCTGTACCTGGATAAGTTCATTTTCTCATCACCCAGCTCCCTCTCCCACCCACATCTCCACATTTAGTGCTTTGGTGGGGCTCTGACTTGCGCTGACTGTCCCAAAGTGAACTTGAAAAGTGTTCCCCAGGGAAGGGGACAAACATGGAACTTAGCGGGGGATGGGGGGTTGCCTGCGGGGGAAGAGATATTAGGACTCAAGAGCCTTGACTGCTGGGGTGAGACCAAGTCCCCAGATCAAGGTAGAGGGAATAGAACTACATCTACCAATCTACACCCCCCATACCAAAATGCATCCAGTCTCCATAGCAACCAGAGCTCCAAGAGTGCCTCAGAAGCAGCAGGGATACACAGAGAGGACGGATGGTGCGTACTGTGGGTGGGGGCCCGCCAGGGGATGCTGGGTTAGTGAAGGCACTACCCTCACACCTGGTTACCCACCTGTGGGTATTTTGCCCCCCAGTATAAGGACCCCCTCAGTTGAGGCAGCAGCAGCTGGCCTCCTCTGAGTTTCCGTTTAGTCTCCTGAGCTTTATGGGGCAGCGCTTTTGGAAGGTTAAAGAAAGGTAAGCACAACCAATGGACACCATTTGCTCTGTGTTGCTGTGTTGCCCACCCCTCTAAAGGACCATGGAGTTCAAGGCTCTCTGTCCTGCAGCCTCACTGAGAAGCCTACAAAGGCACATAGAGAAAAAAAAGGCTGAGACCCCCACGGGGTTAGGTGGGCTGGGCTGGAGGAGATCTCCTGCAGTTTTGTGGACCCCTCCCCAGGATGTGGAGATTCCTCACTGTCCCTTGATTTGTCGTCCCACCCTCCTGACGCATCCTAGACTATAATAAGTGCTGCCGTGGGCGGCTCTTGGAGGCAAGAGCCCTCAGTTTGCTTGGCCTGGTAAGGGTGGGGGTGCTGAACCAGGATGCTGGGTGTCCTTTGGTCTCCCAAAGACTTGTGCCCAGTCCCTCCCAGGTCCTGTCTTGAGGTCAGCAGCTTCCCCCTGACTTCCTGTAGAACCAGGATGACACCAGTGATAGGCAGGAGAACCCTCACTAGTCTCTTCTGGAGATTGTGAGGAATTGTTGGCTCTGCCTTAATCTTCCTTCCTGGGATGGCCTGTTTTCCTTCATGTTCAATGGGAACAGAATCCTGACTCTTAGGGAAGTTGTAGAGCAAATTATTTACGAAGACTAGAACCTTGGACTAGAGGTATAACCCAGTAGAGAGCACTTACCTATCATGTACAAAGCCCTGGAACCCCTGGGTTCCATCCTCAGCACCATAAAAGGGGAAAAAAAACTAGAATCTTCTCAGCCTCTACCTACTTCACCCTCTACTTTTCCACACCTCTGTACTTTTCTCTCCCCCCAAAAAAGGGAGATTCTTTTTTGCAGGATCTCTCTATGTAGTTCAGGCTGGCCTTGAACTCACTGTGCAGCCCAGGCTGGCCTTAGACTGTAGGTGATCCTTCTGCCTCAGCCTCCTGAGTACTGGATTTACAGGCATGCATCATGCACCTGTAAGGGGAGATTCTTTATCTGGGCTAGATACCCTTTTCTCTCTGTGTGTCTGTCTCTGTCTCTGTCTCTCTTTCTGAGTGGGGCTACACTCCCTCTAGGCCTGCCTTTCCAACTAAGACTATCAGGGAACATGGTAGGTGTAGGTCCAATCAAAAAAAAAAAATGTGGGACAGAAGCTGACACAATGCTCAGAAGGGCAATGAGAAGAAGGTGCATAGAAAGAGATTATGCTATCTTACTAGGAACCCAAACCAATGGTTCCTTCTCCCAGTTATACTTTGGAGACCTCTCCCATGAGGAAGGCCTTCCCTGCATCCTCACTCCCTTCCCCATAAGCAGCTAAGAATGGAGAAAACTGAAGTGGCTGAAGAGATCAGGATCCATCTGACAGAGAACGTGCTTCAACTATACACCCTCCACAAGGGCAGAGGTTTGCTCTTGTGAGTTCTTTGGTATCTCAGAGAAGAATGAAATGAGAGCAAGCTGGAAATGACATCCAGTTCCACCAGTTCCTTAGCAGTGGGCCGTGTGGATGCAGGGACGCTTTCTTATTGGGGCCCTACCACAGGACTAAAGACTGGGGTGGGCAGGAGGATGTGGCTGATGGTGTTGCCATGGCAGCACTTCCTCCCGGTGTTGTCATCACTTGCTCTAATGGCACTAAGGAGGTAGAGCGGAAGGTGTGTGTGGGGGAAGACAGGAACAGGAACATGGGGAGGGGAGGAGACTAAGGAGAGTTCTGTGAACCTCTCTGTACTCAGGCTATGCAGAGCATGATGTTTAAATGATAGTGTGTGCCTGAGAGCCTGAGATACTCTGCATGCTCCCCCACCCCGTACTTCTGTCTTTCCTTCTCTGTTGTCTGTCTATCTCTATCTCTGCTTTCTCTCTCCCTCCCTCCCTTCCTCTCCGTCTCCGTGTCTCTCTCTCTCTCTCTCTCTCTCTCTCTCTCTCTCTCTCTCTCTCTCTCTCTGTTACTTTCTGTATCTAGAGAACAAGAGGTCACTGATCCTTAGTGGGGCCTGGGAATGAACACATTATCCAGTCCCAGAACCTCCTGCCCCAGACTGTTTCCTGTTCTGACTCCCTAGGCTGGACCACGTCTACCATGGGTCTGTCACGGCCCATCTTCCCCATACTCACCCACTTCATTGCCAAGAAGGTCAGCTAAACAGTGACCTGAATTTCATTTTCCTGGGAGAAGGATCAGAGTTGCGGGGAAAATATCTCTCATGTCATTTTCCATTCTCCCCAAATGTATTCTTCCTCAGAGTCCCAGCTCCATCTTGGGGACTAGGAAGTATCTAAGATATGACACAGCTAGCCCATATATGCACCTGCTGGTCTTCAACACATCCAAAGTGGGTGCTGATCATTCTCTTACCTCGTATGGTGCCCAGTGAGGTCTGGATGCTGTCCCGGAGATCAGGGTCACTTACTCTTTCTGCCAGTTTCCTGAGGCGGTTTAGAGCCTGCTTGGCTACCTCATGTCGTCTGATTTCTGCTCTCACTGTGGCTACAGCTAACTGCCTCTGGGCATGCATGTTGCCCAGACCTGTCTTGCCAGACTAACAGCAACCTCTGGCCTTGAAGCCCATGGCCCCCACAGAGCCCCACAGACCCCAAACCCCAGAAGGCCCTTCTGCTGTTCCCCAGAACTATTATTCAGAACTCTCCACCACAGCCCGCCCTTCCGTGTGTCAGCCTCACTTCCTGACTGGTGAGTTTCAAACCCACAGCCTGGGACAGAACTACCTTGTGCACCTCCCACTCCCTCTAGCGTTGGCCTATCTGCCCCATCAGCCAGGCCCTGCTATGATTCCCCAGCCAGGTGGAGGAAGAGTCCTTAACAAGGTCCCAGGGACCCCTGTGAGAGGTGGCTAATTAAAATAGGCGTTGGTTCTAGGAGAATGTGTCCAGCCAGGACTCACATATAATCCCAGACTCTTGGGAGATCTGAAAATTTGCACTGCATCAAATACACAGGAATCCACACACATGAACTGCTACCGTACAGCCCTGAATTGTAGTGCACAGCTATACTCGCTACCCTACTGACACCTGCATAATTATATCTTGCATTGCCACCCTCCCTTAGTCAGCTATCCACTGCAACCAACTCCTGTTTAAAAGGCAACATTAGTTATGGGAAGAATGAGTTATAGAGAAGGAAAGTATCCTATAGCCAGATACTACTATGAGCTATGTCAATTGCTTTTATAATAATTAACATGTATATAATATTTAGTAGTTTACAATATAACTCAATATATATTACCCTTGTGACAGACACAGGGGTAGAGTTATTTATCCCCATTATGGAAAAAAGGAAATTGTGGCACAGAGAGGCTAATTACTGGTGAAACATAGATATGGGTCTAGGTCTCCTATAAATTTTTATTTTATTTATCTTTTGTTTCAGATAGGGTCTAACTATGAAGGTCAGGCTAGCCTTGAACTTACTATATAGCTTTTTAAAAAAATCAGTACCAGGGATCGAACTCACAACCACACACTTGCAAGGCAGACACTTATGCCGCTGAGCTAAATCCCCAGCCCCTACTAATAGCTTTTTTGACAAACACACAATCAAGATGCTTGCCAATCAGTTCTCCCTAATACCATTGTCTTGCTCTTAATTTAAGACCTGAAAGCAAAGAAAGTAGTCGAGGAAGGAGAAAATGGACACTGGGGGTGTAATTAGGGTTGGTAGTTGTAGCTTGATTTAATTATTTTGTTTCAAGGCTTGGACCTCTTTGGCCCTGCCAAATTTCTCTTCTCCTGGCATAAATCGATAGTAATTTAGGAAGGACATTTATAAACATGTGAATGTTCGTGTAGTTGAGATATAAAATGGGATTGGACACAATCTGTTAGATGGCCTGAACAGTAAGTAGTACCTAAAACTGAGTATTCCTATGAGCCACATACAGCTTTAAGCATTCTACATATGCTTATTTATTTATTTACTTCAACAAGGTCTTGCTGTTTAGTTCAAACTGGCCTTCAGTTCAGTGTAACCCAGGATGGCCTCAAATTTGTGCCAACCCTCTTGCCTCAGCCTCCCAAATGCTGGGATTAAAGGGGTGTGCCACCACACATGACTCACACTAACTCATTTATTCCTCATTACAATCCAGAAGTCGTTAGAGGTGTATTGCTAGAGCTAAGTGTCCTATGTAGCCCATTTTACAGATGAAATAGACATAGAGTTCGCAGTTAGTAGGGGGCAAACTTTGAATCTATGTAATCTGATTCTAGCTATAAAACTATACTATTTTAGCAGCCACACAACAGAATCATTCTATGTGAAGGGTTCTTTTTTGTTTCCACTAAAACTGCTTCTTCTAGGAGGGAGAGGGATTACCACTTTGCCAATTCCCACGAAAAGGGCAGACTGAGCACTTGTGTAATAGTGAACAGTTACAGTATTGAGCAACCACCTCCTCTGTAGAGAAAATGTGGAGACTCCTGCTGCTTCTTGTCTTTGTATCTCAGACTGCTCCTTTTAGATCAGTTGTTGCAAGCCAGGGGTCAGGTTTGTGCTCTGAAGATGCTGACCACACCTCTGGGGTGTGTATGTGTGCGTGTGTACACCTGTGGCTTTATCAAGAAGACTGCGACGGCCAGAGGCTGCTGTACTCCACAATGAATTTCAGGCATAAAGGGATCTGGAACAGAACATGTGTGCTGGTAACACACAAACGTGGTTTTGGCTGTTGCTATGCCCAACCAGGAATCTCTGTGGTCGGGTCTGAGCTCAAAATTGAGCTCTTTTGGGTATTCTCGAGTGTGACACAGTAACAACCAAGCGATAGTGTCATCGTCATCATGAGGTCACCGCGGGACAAGGGGGAGAGGCAGGGAAGAGTCCTCCTTCTAGGGGCGGAGCCCTTTCTGTTCAGCTCTGGAAGCCCCTTTTTCAGGGCCTGAATTTAGGACCCTCACTCCGAGCTCCAGCCCCAGCCTTTATTCTTTGAGAGGGGGCGGGGGTGGGCTCCCTAAATTTGCCCAGGCAGGACTTGAACAGAAGTCCAAAATGAACAGAATCCCAACTGCTGGGATTACGGTGTGCGCCTCCCCGCTGGACTACTCAATTTCTCCATAGCCTCCTCGCATTAGCTCGCTCAACTCTGACCACAGAAAGCCCGGTTTTCAATCCGGGTTTCTAAAGTTTAGGCTCTGGGCAGTCTGAGAACGGCTACAAACCCTACCTCCTGGTTTAAGTTTCGTCCAATGAAGAAAGTGAGGGAGGAGCCGAGAGGCGGGTTGGTGACGTAATTCAGATTGACTGGCATTCAAGCCATTGAGGTCCTGGATTAGCCTTAAGTTTCGCCAATCCATTAGCAGGGGTGGGTCGCTGCAGACGCAGACTTGGTTTGGCTGGCCTTGATTTAAAGAGACAGAAGCTGTGGCGGTCTTAGGAGACGGTCCCCAGTACCCTCCCCCAAGTCCTTGGGATCGCTTGGGTCCCCAGAGCTGGGGAGATGGTTTGTGGTGGCTTTGCCTGCTCCAAGAATGCGCTGTGCGCTCTCAACGTGGTCTATATGGTGAGGTTTTGGAGGTGGGGGTAGCTTTAGGGTGGAAAGGCGAATGGGGAGAATGTCCAGGGGACTTCCGGCAGGGAGAGGGGTGTACTGGGGGTTCCGGGAAGATTCCCAGGCACTTCCGGCGAAGAGGGGATTCCTGTCAACTTCCGTGGGGAGGAGAGACTTCCGGTGATGAAGAGGCTTGTCTGGGGTGGGGACTGTGGGTATAAAATCTCATCTCTCACTTCTGTGAACCAGTTTCTTCCCAAAATAGAAACGACGGATAATGCTGAGGGTTCCCATAGTATGTTTGAAGACTGCTGACCTTGCCTCCTCCCACTGCAGCCTTTGCAACCTCCTTCGTTAAGACCGTCCACTTACACCCCGCTTGATTGTCCTATTTTTGCCTCAGTTCCTTTGTATTAATCTCTGCTGGTGCAGCATTCTAGAATTCTTTTGAGATGTAGCCTGTTTGTTTCCTGTAGCTGGTGGGCTTGTTGCTCATTGGAGTGGCTGCTTGGGGCAAGGGCCTGGGTCTGGTGTCCAACATCCACATCATTGGAGGAGTCATTGCTGTAGGAGTCTTCCTTCTCCTCATCGCAGTGGTTGGACTGGTGGGTGCTGTCAACCATCACCAAGTCCTGCTATTCTTTGTATCCTGACCTGAAGTGATAGGTCACTGGGGTTCTTGGGAGAGTAGAGTAGGAAGATAGCTTAGAGGATTTAAAGGGTCTTGGGAACATTTCTTATGCCCTGCCCTACACCGGAGGCCACAAACAAGGACTAGTGAATCTGTTCTCAACTTGACATAATTGTGTAATTCCTGTGAATGAGACCTGTTATTTTAAATGGAGCATTAAAGAATCTACATATTTTTCCATAACACTCCGGCTCAGTATATGATCATCCTTGGTCTGGTCTTCATCTTTCAGTTTGGAACTTCTTGTTCATGTTTGGCTATTAACCGCAGCACACAGGTAAGAGGATACCTTTTAAATACTTGACAGTTGTCCCCAACCCACTCCTGCCTAGTTCCCTTAGTCTGATCCTAACTACCCCAAATCATCCCTAGGTCCACTCCAGACTTGAGCCATTTGCTTCCTCTGGGATGTATGGGTAATTCATGAGAATGCTTTAGATAGAATCTGAGAAAGCATTTATTTTCTATAATCCCAACACACTGCATTTCTGAGACATACTCTTTGCTCTAATAGGAACCTGCACTTTAACCGAGATAAATATGTAGGGAGATTAACTTCCCTTTGCCTGTGTCCTCCAGACAGATGTCATCAATGCCTCCTGGTGGGCCATAAGCAACACTACCCGGCATGAACTGGAAAGAAGTTTTGACTGCTGTGGTTTGTTCAACCTCACAACCCAGTACCAAGATGATACTTCCTGCAATGCAGTGAGTTGGGAGGTGGGGGAACAAAGCAGAGGAGGTAGAAACTAGTTAAGGACAGTGCCCGAATTGGCATATTTAATTTAAATGACATTTGCCTCTCTAGCAGCTCTCTTGTGTTGATATTGTTGATGGAAGCAAGGCTATATAGAATGGTGATTTGACAAGTGAGATTTTAGTCTGTAAGACACTGGTCAGATACTAGTAAATAAGGGTCATTCACCTTAATTATCTACACAGGACAAGTTAACAACTTTGCATTTTTTGGTATACTTTTCACCCTCAGCTCTGCAGGAACAGAAGCTCCACATGCCAGATGTGTGGACAAAAGTTTCTTAGGCATTCAGATGAAGCTCTAAAAATCCTAGGGGGTGTCGGACTCTTCTTTAGCTTTACAGAGGTAATATTCTCCAGTTCCTTCATGTACATGTGTCCTTTGTCAGCCCTCTCTCCCACATTAACAACTGATTAGCACTCTTTCTTTCTCTTTTTTCCTATAGATACTTGGTGTCTGGCTAGCAATGAGATTTCGGAATCAGAAGGATCCTCGAGCTAACCCCAGCGCCTTTTTATGAGACTTTGGATCTTTTTGACTTCTTTCCTGCTCTCTCAACATTTTACTTCTCCCTTAAGGAAAACCTGGAGTCTATATCCTTTGAGAAAAAGGAAAGGCCCTCTGCCACATACCCTAAAACTGAGTGACTGACTAGGCCCTTCACATGTTGATGGGAATAAGAAATAGAAACAAAAATTTCATCCTCCTCTCCCACGTGGATGTGGACAGCTCCTGTGAATGGTGCCTGGAGTCATTTATAGCTGTTTCCCCTCTTTACTCTTCTACATGCTGGACCACCTCAGCATACCTGACTCCAAGGATCAATCAGGAATAGAGCCCAGAAAACTATGAAGAACTCTTAGATGTATGGGAACTTGAGGAAGTTCGGTGAATATAAAAATAAATCCCTTTTAAGCTTTATAATCAAAGAAGCACCTTAATTTCTCTTTGCCAGTTAAGGGGCTCCACTGACTGCCTAGGCCCTGTGTAACTTAGGGAGAGTATTTAAGGTTCTGCAGAGAGGTTCTTCCCTTTGATTTCTCTCCTCTCCCTTTGGCAAAGCCAATCAGAGAAAAGAAACATTAAAAAAAGAAGACAACATTTTTTTTGGTCTTGTTTTTGTTTTCCTGTATAAAAAAAGAACCAGTATAAAGGTAAGGTGGGGGAAGAAATATACCCCTTAGTGTAGAGAAATGGGGCATAAGATTATAGACCTCAAAAGGAGGGTGGATGGGGAGTATCATTAAGGCAGCAAAATATTCTCTGTAAAAAACTGCAGGCGCACCACAGCCTCAGAGACAATGGCAGAGGTCCCCTTCTCATTCACTTGAGTGTTTTCTCCACTCAAGTGTCCAGAAGGGAAATGGCACCTTTTCTTCCTTCCATGGCAGCCACTCCACTTTTTATTCTGGGTCACCTTCTTCCTTATGTAGGTAAGAGTGCTGCAGGGCTCGGAAGGCAGAGATTCGCTTGTGTGGGTTAAATGTCAGCATCTCCTAAGAGAACAGGCAAAGGTCAGAAAACCATGGGGGAAAAGCCTGTTGCCCACATCTACCGTACCTGGGGAGGGCTACTTTCTACATCACTCTTTGTGGGTGATCATTCACAGCGTGATGAAAACTGCAGCCTATCTACCAAACAGGTCTCATAAACTGGTAGTCTGGGCCCTTGTGTGCTATTTACTCCGTTTCCCACCCCAACCCCACCCCACACCCAGGCCTAATACCAGCAGTAGCTGTGCTCCAGACTCTTCCATCTCAGGTACCACTGACTGTACTGGACGAGGTCCTCTGGGGGAAAAGGCTCCTCGGGGTAAAGATACATCTCGTGGCCAGTCATCCTCTGGAGGCAGCCCAATCAGGCTGTGATGGGAACAGAACTCTGGTCAGTTGGGTCCTCCAGCTCCCACCCCCAGATGTAAACTCAGCAGAAACAGGATTCAGAATGGAAGACTCTTCCCTTGTTCATGACCACTTACTCAAAGATTTTGCCCAACTGGTCAGCTTCAGAGTTTCCACAGAAGAGAGGTCTAAGGAGAGAAAGCGTACAGAGTAGCAGTTATTTTCCAAAATAATAGTGAAACTACTATTGTTAAATAGAGAGTATAGAGAATAAAGACATAACCTGTGTAATTCCACAACATTTCAGAGCTTCTGATTGTGGGCAAGGTAGTGGGGAGTACTCAAATAAAAGAATGGGCAGGGTATGGATGTAGTTCATGAACAGAGAGATTTGGGGAACTCAAGATGGTTTAAGGTTTGGGTCCCATACTTTCGACGAAACATCTCTGCAAAAATACAGCCAACACTCCACATGTCCACTGGTGTTGCATAGGTAGACTGCAGAAGAACTTCAGGAGCCCGGTACCAGAGTGTAACCACCTAAAGAGAGCAGGAAAGGTGCATGACAGCCATCTTAGCTACTATGAATCACAACTACTTAACTACAGATGTAAAACACAGGACTTCTCAACTACCATGCACAATCAATCTATCCTCAAGCAGAACCCATTGGGCTACCCTCTTTTCACTAACCACCGGTGTAAGGGCCATCTGGTAGCTGTAGATTCGGGCTAGGCCAAAGTCTGCCAGCTTCACAGTTCCACCACTTGTCACCAGAATATTCTCTGGTTTCAGGTCTCGGTGAACGATGCAGTTGGCATGAAGAAAATCTAGGCCTCTTAGAAACTGGCGCATCAAATCCTGGTTTAGAAGAGAGAGGTACAGACTTACTGGAAACCAGACACCATGCCAGAAATCCCATGTTACAGGACAAAGGTCCCACTCCATTTCTCACTATCTACCCACTCCAGTTACCTTGATGGTTTCAACTGGCAAGCCTGGTGGCGGTGCTTTGTCGAGATACGTCCTTAGGTCTTGGTCTACATGCTCAAACACTAGGGTCACTTTGATCTCCCGGTCAGTTCGAGAAGTGGCACAGACATCCATCAGCCTGGTTTGAATTAACGGTCACCCACTGATCAATCCCCTTTGATCCAACATGTTTTGAATTTATTTCCTCAGGGCAGAGTCCCCACTTTCTCTCCTGACCACACAGCCTACTCAGAGGTTATTTTTTTCCCTTTACCCCCTGCCAACCCTCCACCTTCTCACCGGACAACATTGGGATGCTCGAATGCCTCCAGCCGCCTTAGCAAGGCCACCTCACGTACTGTACTGATGGGCAGGCCTCCTCCAGCTCCCCCTCCATTGGGTACTCGCACACTCTTGAGGGCCACGAAGTGGCCACTGTGGGGGTCTCGAGCCTTGTACACGGTCCCATAGGCACCAACACCAATTTCAGCCACTGGCTCATATCGAGAGGTAGCCATTCTCAGATCAGGGGAGACCCTATAATCACAGATATTTGTACTACCAAAAAGTTCCTTCCAGAGTTAGAATAGTACGAGCCTGCAGCAACAAAGTGGCTCCCACAGAAAACAGCGCAAAGACCTCATTACGACCTCCATATTCCCTTCTCAACTTTCAAGGAGCTGTCAGGGTAACACAACGACTCTACTACCCACCCCCCAACTCCATTCAGTTCCACCAGAAAAATGTTTCCCTTAAAAACCATTGTAGTCCACACAAATGAGATCGCCCATAACACACGACCCGCATCGAAGTTTCTATACCCGTCTCTAACATTACACCTCCCACGACTACAAAGGCCCCTTTTCCCGCCCTTGGCCAACCCTTCCAGGGCCAGCCCGAGAGGCGCACGCGTGGGAAGCCATTGGGGGGGCGGGGACCGGCCCCCCATTCCAGGGAAGGGGCTGCATTTACCTTACGCCAAGTTGAGAACTTGCGGGGGTGGCCCGTTATCGGGGCCCCGGAGCCAGTTCCCACCGATCCATACACCAGAGTTCGGCCTGGGGCAGCTGGACACTTCAGGCCGGACCATAGACACAGGCCGCAGGCTAGAGAGGGCCCCTTACCCCCACCCTCACCATGTGACCAGCTGCCAGAGAGGCGCGCGGAAACTCGGGGGGCGGGGCGAGCGCCGGATGTTCGGGACATGTGATCACCACCCATGCGCAGAGGAGAGGTCCGAGGGGTTTTGACAGGGAGGAGGCAGTGAGACGAGGGGCGGAGGGAACCTGGAAGCCACGTGATCTGTTGCTATCACACGTGATCACTGGACATTGCTCGCAGGAGCAGAGGTGTGGTTACGCAGCGGGACACGTGACTGCCTGCCAAAAAAACCAAGACTGCGCGGGCGGGGCAGGGTGGAGCCCAAGGCGGTGCCATAGCAACCTGGGCCACCCATCTGCCAACTCCGGGCTGAGGACTGAGCTTCAGCGCTTCTTCAGTCTCGCTATTTGTCTGTCTCCTTACATTGAAAACCTGGAATTGGGGTAGCAGTTGCGTTGAGGGTGAGGGGAACTAAAGCGAGGCTATCACCTTTTGGTTCCATCGCCATTAAAAAACGTGTTCTCATTTGTGTCTTTGTTTCACTCATTCATTCAAAAAAGATTTTACTAAGTGCTTCCAGTTTTTGTGGGTTTTTTTTTATTTTGGTGTCTCAATCAGAAACCCTTTGAATATTAATAAGGCTGTCTGCAAAATGTAATCAAAATCAGGTGTGATGGCTTATGCCTATAATCCCAGCACTCAGAAGGCTGGGGCAGAAGGATCTTTGCAAGTTCAAGACTAGCCTGGGCTACAAAGTGAGCTCAAGCCCAGCCTGAATTGTGTAGTGAGACCCTGTCTCAAAAGAAAAAAAAAAAAAAAATGTAGTCAACAGTGTGGTCTCATAAAATAGCTGTGCGTGGCGGCACAGTTCTGTGATCTCAGCACTTGGAGGCTGAGGCAGGAAAATTGTTGCAAGTTGGAGGCTATATAGTGCGTTTAAGGCCAGGCTAGATTATAGCCAGACTGTCTCAAAACAAACAAAAGGTAAAATAGACAATAACTATGTGAGGACAGTGTTAGGATTAACAGATAGGCAAAGCATAGTGTCACACTCTTGTAGTTCCAGCACTTGGGAGGCTGACACAAGGCTCATCCTGAGTTCAAAGCCAGCCTGAACTACTTAGCAAAATCCTCTCAAAAAAAAAAAAGGGGGGCTGGGGATTTAGCTCAGCAGCATAAGTGCCTGCCTTGCAAGCAGGCAGTCGTGAGTTCGATCCCCGGTACCCATAAAAATGAGGAAGACAAAAAAAATAATAATAATAAAAAAAAAAAAGGACGAATAATATAGGTAATGCCTTCCATTCTCCTAACTTCCAACTCTCCTAGAGGAATTAAAGCACAGACCAGGTGCCATGAGGAACAGAAATTATTAATGAGCAAGAGTTTTTTTTTTTTTTTTGGTGCTGGAGATTGAACTCACAACCTCGAGTTTGCCACACAGGCACTTATGCTGCTGAGCTAAACCCCTGACTCTAAGTGTTTGAATTTAAAGGTTCTTTTCTGCAGTAAGATTCTGGATGCGTGTGCAATGTCACATGCAAGGAAGACATTACCTTCAGACCATTACACTGTATGAGGATGAGGTGGCCTTGTGCAACTCTTGTGATTCCTCGGAGGTCTTTGTGCTTTCTTCTTTTTCCACAGTGTAGCTTTCTTAGCCCTGATCTCTGTTCAAAACAGCCGTTTTTAAATGGCATTATCCCCAGACATCTTAGGTGAACAAAAGATTTCCTTTGTCTTATTGGCTCCAAATTCTTTATTATCACCCCATCCCTTGGAAGTTTGAAAGTAAGGGATTACAGTTTCATTTATGAGAAATTGTCTAAAATCTGAAGCCATTTAAAATTTCTTTTTGGCACTGGTGATTGAACCTAGGATCTTGTGCATTTTAAGCATCTACTGTATCTCTTAGCTACATCTCCAGTCATAAAATCTGAAAACATTTCATTATCTTGTTTGTAACTCTTTCCATCTTGCTTTCTTGAACCCAGGGCCTCACACATACTAGGAAAGCACTCTACTGAGCTACGTCCTCATCCCCATTTTATCTGGCTAAGAATGTAAAAGTTCAGACTTGAAGATAAATGTAATTCATGATTCAAGGCAAAATGGAAGACACAGTAGGTATCTCTCCATTTTTTCATTCTGATACTTGTAGGTCTGAGCCCGTGCTGGCACAGGTAGCTGAAACAGTAGTCAGAGAATCTACAGCCCTGAATTGGCTAAGGGTCTGGAAAGTTGAATATTTTATTGGCTACTTTGCTGGGCTGGTCGGTTTGTGAGCCTTCTAAAAGGCTGTAAGTTTGTTACACTTCTGCCTACATCAGTAGTTTGCACCTCAGCCTCACCTTTCATATAAACCCACTGCATTTTATGGTCTTTAGAACAAAAGCCCTGCTCTAGTGTGCTTGAGCCTCAGCCCTTTTTTCTGATTCATTCATTTGGCCATCCAAAACAATGTTAATGCTTCATGAAATCATTAGTCTCCCCCTATCACTTTCTATGGAATAGCCTTAATTTAGCAGTCTTTGGCTCTATCCCCTGCCTTTTGTTAATTAATTTTTTTGTAATTAATTTTTCCCAACCATTTTTGACCTAGTGGGCTCCCCTGGAATCTCCTCTCCCTCAGCTTTGCAAAGATGACAGGGAGGATAGTTAAAGAAAGAAAAAACGTAATAGGTCCCGCAGAACTGGCTTTCAGGGTCAAGGACCCGTAAAAACAAAGAACTAAGCGTGTGTGCCTGTGTGGTGTGAGGTACAGTGGAAGAGAGGAAAAAGGTACCAGGAAAGACACGCCCATCCCTTTAACACTTTCCCTTGCTCTCGCCACCCTCACACTTTAGTCAAATGCTGTTTTCTCAGACAATCCAATTCCATTCCTTACACATTCATTCTCTTCCACAGCCCTACAGCCTGCATACTTTTCAGTCCTTTGTGTAAAAGTGTTTACTGCTTTAGTCCCTTGCTCACCTCCCTCACACCTCGGACCCTTCCACAGCTCTTTCTTTGCACACTCATTTTGCACAAGTCCTTTCCGGGTACACCTGCACCGCCGACCACTTACCTTCCAGTCTCAACCCCTCTGCCCCCTACCCTTCTACCGGCACCTCTTCCCCACCCCACCCCACCCCCGCGCACTCTGCCCTCCCCCGACCCCTCCCCTTCCCTCCCCCGGAGCACACACACTCGCCCCGCCCCTGGGGACCCCAGCTTGTGCGGAGCAGGGCGGGGATGCGCAGCCGCGGCCCCTTCTCCTCCGCTCCCCCTCCCCGCCCCGCCCCTCCCTCCATCCCTCACCGGCTCCCCGGCGCCCGCCCCGCCCGCCCCGCCCGCCCGCCGCTCCGGGGGGGTCTCCGCCGCCGCCGCCGCCGGAAGGAGCCGCCATTTGCTACCGCCGAGCGCACGGGCCGAGCCGAGCCAGATCCGGGAGCCGGAGCAGGACTCGGGCCGGGAGGTGGGCGATGGGGGGCGGCCCCGCCGCAGGAGGACCTGGGCGCGTAACCCCGGGAGCCCGGCCCGCTCCGGACCCAGACCCGCGGGGCGCGGCGCCCTGAGCCCCCTTCCGAGCTCGCCCCCTGCCCCGGCCATGGCCGCCCGCGCCGCCGCCCCCGGGCCGCCAGCCCTCTCGGCCCCGCGAGCCCCGGAGCCCCGGCGGCGGCAGCACTGAGCGGCGCCCGCAGGCCCGAACCCCGGCGGGCTCGGCTGGAGGCGCGCGCTCTCCCGGCCCGGTCCCGCCCCTCCCCCGCCCGCCGCCCCTCGCCCCTCGCCGCCGCCCCCCGCCCCGCGGCGCCCGGACGATGCTCAAGTCCCGGCTCCGCATGTTCCTGAACGAGCTGAAGCTGCTGGTGCTGACGGGCGGGGGGCGGCCCCGGGCCGAGCCGCAGCCCCGAGGGGGCGGGGGAAGCGGCTGCGGCTGGGCGCCCTTCGCCGGCTGCTCCTCCCGGGACGGCGACGGCGACGAGGAGGAGTACTACGGGTCGGAGCCGCGGGCCCGGGGCCTGGCCGGCGACAAGGAGCCGCGGACCGGACCCCCGCCGCCGCCCGCGCCGCCGCCGCCGCCCCCGGGTGCGCTGGACGCCCTGTCGCTCAGCAGCAGCCTGGACAGCGGGCTCCGAACCCCCCAGTGCCGGATCTGCTTCCAGGGCCCGGAGCAGGTTAGGCCCGAGCACCTGGCGCGCGGGAGGGGTGGGTGGGGGCACGCACCTGGGCCTCCGAGTAGATCGCGAGCCGGGGGCGGGGCTGAGGGGCTGGGCTGGACGCGGGACCCGAGTGGGAATGGGGTGATGCGGGGCGGCTGGGGAGAGTCTTGGAGTGTGTGTTTGGGTTGGGCTCCAGGGTCCCCTGGAAGGGTTGGGGCTTTGTCCTGGAAGGGTTCAGGAATCCTTCGTGCCTATGAAATCATGACGGCTGTTGTCACCCCACCCACACCCCTGACCACTAGGGTTGCCATTGACTGAGGGACCTGTTATTCTGGGGGTGAGCAGCAAGGCCAGTTGGTCTGTTCCTACCTTAAGAAGGACCCAGCCAGCACCCTGCCTCACTATGTCCTGGTGGTGCACTTGACACTTGCCATCTTTGCAAGTTTCCACTTTGTTCCAGAGAGACTTCTTTGTTAAATTTTATGGGCAAAGTTGTCCCAGGATAGTGCCAGAGGATGTCTCTACGTAGTGAGAAATGACTCCTTGATAAAGGCCGTGTTCCACTCCTACCTTCATGATTTCTCCCCTTTTAATACATGGAAACAGAGATCCGTAATCAATCCCATTCTCTCAAGTCTATGAAATATTACACAATACTTTAAATGACGAGGTGTGGGAAGGAAGACATGGCTCAGAAGCTCTGATCCTATCTTCCCTCCAGATTCTAGGGGAAAGCCTTCCCTTTGGGCAATCTTAACGATCACTCCAAATTTTAGGAAAAAGAGAAGATCCTGTCTTCCCTCCAACTCCCATTCCTCATCTCTTTGGTATAGGAAGTTTTCCTTGAGCTCTCACCTACTTTACCGCTGCAGCCTTAGCCTCTTGTCCTGTTTGGGGTGAAAGGCCTGAGTATTTTAAGGTGAGAGAATGACTGACCTGAAGAGGAAGTTTTCCTCTCTAGGAGCGAGGCCCAGTGGGGTTCAGGTGGTGATCCTTGATGGACCCCTCCCCGCTCTTCCTCCAGGGGGAGCTCCTGAGTCCCTGCCGCTGCGACGGCTCAGTGCGCTGCACACACCAGCCCTGCCTCATCCGCTGGATCAGTGAGAGGGGCTCCTGGAGCTGTGAACTGTGCTACTTCAAATACCAGGTCCTGGCCATCAGCACCAAGAATCCACTGCAGGTGAGGTGTAAGGAGAGAATACAACCCAGGTGAGGCAGGGTCTGTCAGCCCTCAGAATCAGAAACTGTCTAGGGAGCCTGTGTTATCTGTTAATATTTTTCTAAAGTCACTCCCCACCCTGCATACACCAGGCAGTCTCTTGTCTGTAAATTCTTCCTTTATTCACAAAGACACTTGTAGTAAGTCCTGTGGTAGACACTGGGACAAAAGAAAAAAAAAAGTTGATGATAGCAAATATAGAATTTTCTCTGTCTCAAATTTTAGAGTAACTCTTTTTGTTATTGGATATTTATTTACTTTGAGACAAGTTTTCACTATGCAGTTCAGGCTAGCCTTGGACTCACTTGTAGAGAATGCTAACCTTAAACTCACAGAGATCCTCCTGCTTCAGCCTCCAGAGTACTGGGACTACAGGTGTGTGCCACCACACCACCCTTTGTTGTTGGGTTTTTGTTGTGGTTCCTTGGTTTTTGGTTGATACAGGATATTGCTATGTAGGGTAAGTTGGCTTTGAATTCAAGACAATCTTTCTGCCTCAGCCTCTGGAGTGCTGGGATTACAGGTGTGTGCACCATGCTGGGTTTGGAGTAACTTATCACTGTTACCCCATTTTGCAGATGAAGACATTAATGCACTAAGGAATTTTAAAAGGCCCAAAGCTAGCTAGTTAGTGATGGAGTTAAGTGTGGAGTTTAGATTTAGATGTTTTGTCTTAGATCATGCTTGTTCTAGAATAAGACAGACAGCTGAGCATGGTGGCACAGTACTCTAGGAGACTGAAGCATGAGGATGATGACAAGTTTGACTCTGGCCTGGGTACTTTAAAAATAAAAAAGCTGGGTTTAATCCCTAGTACAGTCAGTCAGTAAATAAGACAGACAGTAGTGTTAGATAGTTGCTTTATTTTAGGTTTGACCTGAGCACAGAGGAAACACGTTAATCCTGCCGAAAAGAGTGTTGGGAAAGAGTCCTAAAGCCCCCTCTTTAGAACTCCCTATTACCTGCTTTCCATCCCTTTCTGTGACTTTTTCAAGCCCTTTCTCCCCCACAGTGGCAGGCCATCTCCCTGACGGTCATCGAGAAAGTACAGATTGCTGCCATAGTTCTGGGCTCACTCTTCCTCGTGGCCAGTATCTCCTGGCTCATCTGGTCCTCACTCAGCCCTTCAGCCAAGTGGCAACGGCAGGATCTGCTCTTTCAAATCTGCTACGGCATGTACGGCTTCATGGATGTTGTCTGCATAGGTAAGGGCACCTCTCTTCTCCCTAACCTGTTCACCATCTTCCTCTTACCACTTTACTTCCTAGCCTGTTCCCTCAGTTTCATGTCTATGTTCTCTGCTTTCACAGGCCTTTAAGGCTATTCTGAGGCTGTTCCTTTCCCTGCTTCTCAGGCTTCTTTGCAGCTGTGTTTTCTCTCTCTTCACAAATGCATGTTTAAGACTTTCTTGCCTGGGTTTTGGCAGCACTTGACCCTAATTTCTTATCCCTCTCATTCAGGTCTCATCGTTCATGAAGGTTCTTCTGTCTACCGAATCTTCAAGCGATGGCAGGCAGTGAACCAGCAGTGGAAGGTCCTGAATTATGATAAGACCAAGGACATAGGAGGAGATGCAGGGGGTGGGACTGCAGGGAAGCCAGGCCCCAGGACCTCACGGACAGGCCCTCCTGCAGGGGCCACCAGCCGTCCCCCAGCTGCCCAGCGCATGCGGACGCTCTTGCCTCAGCGCTGTGGTTACACAATCCTGCACCTTCTTGGACAGCTGCGGCCACCAGATGCTCGTTCCAGCTCCCATTCTGGCCGAGAGGTGGTCATGCGGGTCACCACGGTCTGACCTGGACTCCAGGAGCAGGGATCTTAAGTCAGCACATCAGCCAGCGATGAGCTCTCTTGGCTGCTAGAGGTGCCACATGGACAAGGTGGGGCACAGTGCTGTCACCACTGAGGATCTCTTTGGGCACCTTCAAGCTGGAGACATTTTCTGGCCTGTGCTGCCCACTGGGTAGAGACACCTGGATGGCATTCCAGCCCCCACTGACAGCTCCTCATTCTCATCCTGAGGCGGCCAGTGAGCAGGAGGGGAAAGCAGCTTTTCTTCCCTGGAAAGAACCGTCTTTACCTCAGCTCCTAGGGCCTTCCAACTCCCTGCCTCCACCATGGTGACTTGGTGAAGGGGGACCAATGCCAGAAGAAGGGGCTGTAGACCCCCATTCCCCACCCCATGGCCACAGGGCATCTGGCAATAAGACTAGTATACATTGACCTCCCATTCCCTGCATGAGGGCGGGGGACTTCCCCTTGCTCCACCCCCCATTGCATGGGGGAAGGGCATAAAGAATCATTTATATGCACATGGAGACTCCTTTCTCAATCTGGGGCTTTTCTGGACGGTTAGAAGGTATGGGGAGGTTTCTCTGCGCAAGTTGCATGTCTCAAATGCAACAGTGGGTTCTGAGTTGGAGGTGAAGACTCCCACTTGCTGGTGAATAATTCACATTGGCTGCTAGGGTTAGTGCTGAAAGATACCCAAGGAGGGGTAGACCTGCCCCCTGTGAGTTGTATGATTTAGAAAAAACATCTGTCAGCAATGGTTTTCCTGTCTACCTCATAGAGTTGGAATGGGGATAAATGAGAGACAGGTTAGATCCAATTGCAAAGAAAATAATGGCATTAAAAAGATGGTCTATTTCTATATTTGTTATACCAGTAGCTGGTATAACAAATTCCAAAATGTGTTTTTCATCAGAAGTTGCATAGAACATTGGAATTTTGTGTTGAGTGACATAATGATATGGAAATAGAGAAAGTAGACATTACAAATGTTAAGGATGGTGTTATTTGTAAGAATGAGAACTCCTATGACTCTTTAAATGTTGGAGCCTAGGGGAATGTTAGAGCCAACTGTTTTGAGTTCTAGCCGTCCTTCCCAAGTACTGTGCTTACCCAGAAAGTGGTATGAAGTGAATGTGGACTCATTCAAAATGAGTTGGAAGGATACTTCCTAATGGTATGCTTGTATATTGCCAATTTAAGCTATTTCTATGGCAGTTGAGGTTCACAGGGCTGATCCTGGTGTTCCCATCGAGTAGTATTAAGTAAAGCTATTATACTGTGCTACTTGGAGGTAGCAGCATATAGGGCTGTTTATAGAGAAAAGGTTAGGAAGGCTGGTTGGAAAGTGGCTCATCGGGCTGGAGGTGTAGCTGAGTGGTAGAGTTCTTCCCTAGCATGCACAAGGCCTTGGGCTCGATCCCTACCACTGGGTGGTGAAAAGTGGGTCAATCTGAAGCTGGTCTCTTTTCTTGTGAAGCGTGGGGGCTGTGTATTATATGAATGATAGTGTCTTTTAAGTTAACCATTGGCAATTAAAATAATTCCTTCATACATTGCTAAAATCAGACCCAGAGGCCTTTCTTACTATTGATCTTTCTCCGAGGGAGGTTTCTGCTCTGTCTGTTCCTTTGGGATGTTTTGGAGACAATGCTGCTTTTCTGAATGCCCACATTGCTTTCTTGTGTATAATTAACCTTAATCTTGCCAGAAAAGGTGGGGTGGAATGGTTGTGTCTTGGCTGCTGTCCATGGTGCTGGCACCTAGACTTGCTTGAGGGTGTAGGAACCAAAGTTGGATTGGGGTCTAATTCACCTCAAAGTGTGGGAGCACATCACTTCCAATATTTGAGGGTATCAGAGTAGAGAGGGAACTAAAGCTGAATCCATCTTCCCTGTGGGAAGCTTTCCCCAGATACACAATCCTCTGTGCTCCCCACCTGAAGAGACAAAAGGGTTAGGAAGAGCTGGTGGGAACCAGATGGGACAGTGAGTGCTAATATTTATACTAGCCCATAGGTCTCAGGTAGATGTGACACACATGGAGCTTCTGTGCTAAGCCTGGGCTGTCTGCCGTGAGGGGTCCACATAGGACCTTGGACGTACTCAAGAACATAGTCTTCATTTCCATTCTGGGTTCTACAGCCAATATTATCCTTGCTCCATCAGCACTAATGGAGATCTTGGGGTGGGGGTTGGGTACATATCAGTGTGGTCTTCTCCTTCCTTTTCTAACTTAAAAGAGACCTTTGCAGGAGGGGAGTCATAGGCGCTGCTACTCTCTTCAATTGGGCATTCCTTCCTGCCCAGTGGGAAGTATGGGTGGGCAGAGTTCTTATGACCAATTCCAAGGGAAAGGATCCTATAGCAGGCTAAACTTTAGTTTCCCTTAAAAACCAAATCTACTAAAAAGTCCTTTAGATCCAAGTTGAGTTTGGTGATAAAAAGAGTAGAGGTCGAGACTGAATAGTAGAGGAACTGAAAAGAGGCACAGTAAATATACAACCTTATATCTCTGGATAAGACTAACATGCCCTACCCCTCTAGACCTTGCATGGTTTGGTCCCCCACAGAAGATCTGGTGACTGGTAGAATTTCTGTGGTTAGGCACATATGTCTAAGACAAGGGGCAGAAATGGTGTGGATGAGCAACAAGTGTAAAGTGAAATCTCCATCTTTAACCAGCTAATTTGAATGGGGGGGCAGTAGAAGAGGGCAAGTCCAGACACGGGTGGGGGCGGTAATGTGGAATACAAATCGAGGTGTGCAGAGTGCTGAGAGATTTATTTGGAAGGAAGATGAGTTAATGTGTATACATCATAAGAGCACAGTGCCTAGCCTGGTGGGAAGGGGCAGAGAGTGCTGACTCAGGAAACAGGCTGCTTTGGCCCACCCCGCTTCTGCCTGGGAGCCCCGGGGCTTCTGGCTACCCTCACACTCGGCTTTCATCCTGTCTGACTCCACTTTTCTGCTTTTTTTTTTTTTTTTTTTTTTTTGTCTTTCCTGAAGGAAATTATCTTGAAGTAACTTTTCCAAAGAGCGCAGAGTGCCCTTATAGGATGTCCTTCAACTGGGAATTTTATTACTAAAGACTCAGCGACCTCTGCCCATTTCTGCAACCCACTTTACCTAGCTCCCCAACCTATTTTACAACTTAGAGCTCTTGCCATTACTTTTCACCACCACCCCCTTAATCTCTCACAGGAAGCAAGAATAGACTTGGCTGTTCCCAGTACAGACAGAAACATGTCTGGGTCTGTGTCACAAAGGATTCATCCAGGCATCCAGACCTCCCATTGTTATGGGAATCACTTCCAGGACCTAAGAAACCAAGGTGGAGAGGGGGATTGAGATCTTGCAGGAAGTATGAGAAAAATAAGCCCAAAGTCAAGGATGAAACATTTGTTTTTATTCCAAAACTTACAAGTATTTAAAAAAATACAAAAGAAGGTAGAGGTCTAGACAAGGACAGGCCCAAAGATGCCTCTGCCTGGGAACTAGGTGGAAGGATAAGCCACTTATTAGTTATCAGAGAGAGCTGGGGATGTAGCTTAATGGTAGAGTGTTTGCCTAGCATGCACAAGGCAGAGTTCAATCCCCAGTACCACAAAAAATAAAAAATACTGGTCAGAGAACCAAGGAGATTTAGACAAGTGCTCTACCACTGAGCCACATCCCCAGAAACCAAGGAGATTTTTTTTTTTTTATCTTCTTCTTCTTCTTCTTTTTTTTTTTTTTTTGGTCTTTTTCGTTTTTACCAGTACCAGGGATTGAACTCACGACTGCCTGCTTGCAAGGCAGGCGCTTATGCCGCTGAGCTAAATCCCCAGCCCCACCAAGGAGATTTTTAAAAAATCATAAACCTGGGGGCTGGGGATTTAGCTCAGCGGCATAAGCGCCTGCCTTGCAAGCAGGTGGTCGTGAGTTCGATCCCCGGTACCGATAAAAAGGAAAAAGAAAAAAAAAATGTAAAAAAAAAAAAATCATAAACCAAGCTAAGCCAGGTCCCTATTGGGTAGATGAAGAAAGAAGTGGGTAGACAGCCTGGTGTGCTGCTTATCCCTTCTGCCACACGATCCAGATTCAATGTGAAAATGTGTGTGGTTAAAAAAAAAAAAAATGTGTGTGGTATCACCTAGTCAAGATAGCCCCTGATGGGATAAAAATACCAAATAATAATGCATCCTTTCTTTCAAAGAGGACACCTGCTTAGAGGGAAAACCAATCAGGTACAGATCAGACATAGTTACTTGGCTTATGTACAATCGATGCTTAGCTAAAAGCATCAATGAATTCAGTAGAAGCACCAAAAGAGTGGTGGTTGAGTCCTTCAGTCCATCCAGCATTGTGAGTTAAAGTCTGAGTTGGCCTTTGAATGATGCATATATGACCAGGAGAAGGGCTGAGCAGGTGCAGTGAGCATGTTTTTTTTTTGGGGGGGGCACTATTGAGTCAGGTCAAATTCATATTTCAATTCGCCATGACTATTCTCTACACTTTAGTCAGCAAGCCTCAAGGGAAAGGTGAATCTCTTGGTCTTGTGCTTGGTAAAGCCCTGTGATGAGAGAGAGGATGGCAGCTTCCTTCTAATAGCTATCTGTCCACAAACTGTAGATTGATGCTTTTTTCAGGTACCAGGACAGTTCGGGTCATAGGTCTGACAAGAGGAGCACCTGGCTCGGGCAGCACCTCAAAATGGGTCAGAATCTGGAAGGGGAGAAAGAAGGTTATTACTATGAGAAAGAGATCCAGAATGGTGGAATTTACTCATGAGGCCCATTGTTAGTGTTAAAATGGTCAATGTTGAGTGGCACCTGTGGCCAATAAGAGACTTATTAGTCAATGAGAGTAACAAATCATGAAAGGGAAAGATAGTCCAAATATCTTTGCTTACAAAGCCTATAATGGGATTGTTATATTTCTGAAGATTAGGTCTGCTGGGTCTTATGTATTCCCATGCTTATGAGAGGACAGGCGCTCACAGCTTTAAAGGGTTTGGGTCTCTCCAGCCTGGAGATTGGTATAAAGTCTAAATCACTTACCTGGGCCAAAGCCATTTGCAGCTCAAGTTCTGCCAAGCGTCTTCCTATGCAGCTGCGCTTGCCAAAGCCAAAGGGAAGAGATGCAAATGGGTGGGGGGCTGGGCTCTGCCCCAGCCAGCGAGCTGGACGAAAAGAATTTGGCTCTGGGAACTGGGCAGGATCCCTCGATGTAGCATAGTGACACAGAGTGACCAGCGTCTGGTGGGAAGGACACATACTTGTCAATTTAAGCCCAGGAATCCAGGTGGGAGAGGGGATTGAAGAAGAGGATGTATAGAATAGGGCAAAGGAAGGCTCTTCTTGGATGTAGGGAAGTTTTCTGGGGGATATTTTTGGAATGACCTCTCTGCTGTCCCTTTCTATCCCAGGGAGAAGCATTCAAGTCAGTAGTGTTTGAAGGGCATTGGGGAAATGTTTGAGACCAGAGCGGGGACCTATGATAGTGAGGAGTGGCACAGAAAAAGGGGCTCATCGGTTTTACTCACATTTTTGGGGATAACATAATCACCCATATGAATGTCTTTGTCTGGAACACGGGAATTTCCAGGCACCACAGGGTACAATCTAAAAGAGCCAGAAAGATGACACTGGGGGCCACAGCTTCCTCTTTCTCATCACCTCTACTTCCAAGCCCACTTTGGTCATCCTTCTCTCCTCTCCCAGCTTCTCCCCACTGTCTGTTTCCCCGTCCTTTGCCCAGAATCTCCTCTAACTTGGTGCCTCCTTCCTCCTCACCTTAGCACTTCCTTCACCACGGCCTTCAGTAGGGGCAGCTGGGGCAGGGCAGTGGCTTGGGAGTAGGCACAGGAGCCCTGGCCCAGGGCAGATGTAATCTCAGAGTGGAGAGCTGTCTGTACTTCTGGATGCCGAGAGAGCTCGTACAAAGCCCAGGAGAGTGTGTTGGACACCTGAGAGGACAGGTGAAATCATCTGTAGTGTTAGGAGAAGGGCCAGTAGATGGGGCAGAATATGAAGCGGTCTGGGGCCAAGCAGGTGCTAATCCAAGCTGGTCTACATAGAGAATCTTCTGAAGCAGGAAAGTGGCCCCAGAGACAAGAGAAGCTAAACTCTGGGAATGGGGCTCTGAGCACGCAGTGGGAAACTTACTGTGTCCACTCCAGCCAGTAGTAGCTCTGTCACATTCCCCAGGATGGACTGGACAGGCCACTTCTCTCGGAAAAGAAAATAGGTCAGATGTGCCCCAGCCAGCATGTCTTCTTCCTCAAGCTTTCGCTGGTTCCTCCTGGCTGTTTCGGCCTCTCTCCTCTCTACATGCTGCTGGGCTGCGCGGAAGGACACTGATGTCACTACAGGGAGCAGGCAGTTTTTCACTCCCCATGCCTACTTTTCTTCTGTGCTTTTACCAAATGCAAACATCTGGTCCCAGTCTCGGCAGAGGCGATTCCAGGGTCCGGGCACAAAGTGATGCAGCCAGCTGGGCATTGCCATGGTCAGCAGCGTGGACACGAATACTGAGCCGACAGCGCGGATGAAGGACTCTGTATCAGGGGGCACTTCAGCCTCCAGGCAGCCCAGACGGGAACCCAGCAACACCGCGGCTATGCCTGGCCGGAAGGGGGCGCAGTTAAGGCACACAGAGACCCGGCCGGTGTTTCCCACATTTGCCCCCCACCATGTTTTAGAACTCACCCTCAAGTCCAAACTTGTAAAACTCTCCTGCCACATTCCGAACCAGGGCGGGCGGCCCAGTGCTGCGCCCCCGCTGGCGCTTTAGTAGACGCACAAGGTCACAGACCACGGTGTCCAGGGTCCCGGCATAGCCAGCGGCCGCTTGAGGCCGGAGGAGGAGTGGGGCCAGGAGGCTACGCAGTCTCTGCCATTCTTCGCCTTCCCTGCGCAGGCGGGGAGAGAGGGACTGTCGGGGAGGTGCGTGTGCTGAGATGGCTCGACAGGGCTGGCAGCGGTGGATGGGGCACACGTTTGGCAAGGGTGGCCGGGGAAGTACGGAGTCTGATCTCTCGGGATCCCGAAACTTGCCCTGGCCTGCGCCCATCTTCCACCCCTCTTCCTCTTTACTTGCTTCCTGCCCTTGGGTTCCCCGGGTAACTTGAGGCACAGAATCTTACATTCAGTCTAGATTCTGATACCTTCGTCCATTTCGTCTGTTGGGTAGGGTGGGGCAAGGGCTAGGCTTTATCTGAGTTTGGACGCAACAGAATAGAGAATCCCAATCCCGAGATGCAAGAAAGTTGAGGTAAATAGAGACTCTTCCTGTAAGCAGAGCGACAGACTGTGCCTTCGCGACCCGCCCCAGGAGGGGGCTGCTGTGGGGACATGGGCTCTAGGGACAGAGAGGACTCACGCGGTGAGAAGTCCACACGCCCGCTGGTGGCGGCGACGGTGCTCTGCCCAGGACGAGAAGCTGCAGCGTTCCGGTCGGGGTCCCTCCTGTCGCAGGAGCTGCTCAATGAGCTCAGGAGCGGCCACGTATACTGTGCGTAAGGTCCCAAAGCGGGCCGACCACACTGGGCCGAAGCGAGCTGCACCCTGCACCTGGGGAGAACCGGTGCGGCGGACGCTTGGACACGGCTGGGGCTCTTGGCTGTGCCAGTGTCGAGGACGCTGACTAGGCTTGGCAAGGAGAGCCTCTCGAGTGCCCGACTAATGTAAACTGTCTGATGCTGTAAACTCTCTCAATGAGTATCTGCATAAACCAGATATTTAGAACCTCTCTACTTACCTGGGTTGCGCTGCGATGGGGAAATTCCTGAAGGTTCCTCACCTGGACTGTCCATCTTAAGCTGAGATCCCAGTGAATCAAGAGTGTAGCTTTAAGTCAAACAAGGGGAGAACACCCTCCCCCCCTCCAACCTCGCCCTTTCTTCCAGGATCTACTTGAACCCTCTGCTGGGTTTTGGGGTAGACTACTGCAGGTGAAGTCACCTTCCTGTCCCAACACACCTTTCCCTTCATTTATGAGTATCACTGCCAGCTCCCCTCACCACAATTCTACACCAGTCTACTTTCTGGCACTTGGAGTTTCCCCACAGCTCTGGGTCTCCGGAGTCAGAACGCATCCCCTTCTACCTGCAGCTCGTGTAGCCTCGACAGTCCCCCTTTGCAGAAAAGTTCAGTCAGGAATCTAGGCATGGAGGGTCCTGGGATGTCTGCCAGGTTCCGAGGTGCTGAGTCAGAGACTTTGGAGTTTAGAGAGGCACCCAGCTCAGGTGCCCCGAGGACGCGATGCAACAGTCTGGAGGTGAGCTTGAGGGACTGGGTCATGGTCCAGTTCAGGGAGGCAGTGTGAGAGACTGCTTCGCAGGGGCATCTTGCCTGCTTGCCTAAACCCCTATTTAACGCTTGGGTGAGGTAGCGATCACCCCCACTCCCCCCTCTAGCTCCTCAGCCAATCCCTTGCCCTGAGTGGTCTGTGTTTGAGATTAGCACCCAGGAATGGTAGGTGGGACTGGCATTGACTTCTTGGCGCCTTAGGATCTCATGTTGCAATGATGCTCATGGGAGGTGTGGCCTGTTAGTTTCTCTGAAGCTAGGGCCCTAGGTTAGCAGCTGAAGGGAAAGGTGATTTAGTGGGGATTACAGAGTATGACTCTGGTAATGCCACCACTCCCCGGGGAGCTGAGCTCCTTCAGGCCCATCCTCTGGCTCCTCCATGAAGTATGAGGCATCCCTACATTCTTGGCTCATTGGACCACACCCTCTCCACATGGGAGCAGAATGTCCTCACTAGTCAGGGCTCCCCTTTCCCTCTGCCTGACACACACTGGACAGATGGTAGGTGGGTTAAAATACCTCCAGGTGTTTGTTTCTTGGGGAGTTTTTTTTTTTTTTTTTTTTTGCACTGGGGATTGAACTCATGACTTTGCATTTGCCAGGCAGATGCTTATGCCACTGAGCTAAATGCCCCACCTGAGAGGATTTTCTTGGCTCAACAAGCTCTCTCCTTCCAGCCAAGAGAATTTGAGGCTTGAGTAACAGAAATGAAGGAACTTTTTGTAAGTACACAAGTTTGGATATTATCTCTAGGCCACCAGATGACAGGAGAAGGGCTAAGTGCATGCTTTGAATCACTAGCTATCTCAGTCTCCTCTGGGAAGCCTTCTGTTCCCCGACTCTTTCCACTTTTAGCTTAGATTACTTGATAGTTCAGCTCTCTGCTTCTCACCCCTCACTTCCTACCCTTACTAGACTTTCTGTCAGTTAGCACTGAAGTTCCAGAATCCAAGGACAACATGGGAAGAGAGGGTCTCCACTGCTTTACTCTCCCAGGGACCCTCCAGAGACAGCAACAATAAATTGAGCACAGAGCCAGGCATGAAAGTGCACAATTGTAATTTCAGCACCCTGGGAGGCTGAGGCACGAGGATCACGTTTGAGCCCAGCCTGGGCAACTTAGGGAGACTCTGCCAAAAAAAAAAAAAAAAAAAAAAAAAAAAAGCACAGATTGCCCAGGTCAAGTCTTAGGCAGGGAGAATGGAAGGAGGCACGTGATACACACCCTAGCCTTTCCTCAGAAATAGCAACAAGGGCACGTGTGCACACCCATGTGTTATCCCTAGAACTGCAAAGTAAACACAAGTAGACAGGGAATTTGAGCCAAGCAGTTTAGACAGTGGAGCACTGCATTCCTTACTCCAGCTGAGAAGGGAGTGCTAAGGGACAACAAGACCCCACACCCTTCTAAAAATCCCCTCAGGTCCAAGGTCCTTCAGAGTCAGCTTCTTTTCTTTCTACTGGTAGTGGAGGGACAAGAAGCTGTGAGGAGCTGAGAGTAAGTGTGGATATAGATACTCCTAACTTCTTCGAGAGACTAAGGCCTTCCAACTCCACAAATCTCTGTTGGGAGGGTCAAGAGGTTCTGATTTTCTTTGCAGTTCTTTAAGATGGGATACAACTAAGAGAGGGTAATCAGTGACCAGGCAGGGTAGGATTTGGGGTCAATGCCTGGAGAGTGGGATCCTGTATTCTTCGGAAGATGGCTGGGAAATTCTTTCCTCCATTTCGTCGAACTTTCTTCCCCTCTTCAGTTGAAGTACCTAGATGTCCCACAATGGGGTCTTCACTCTGGAAAAGGAAGGGTTCAGTAAGTCCTTGCCAAACTTTCATGCTGCTCTGGGTCTCTGTGGACTCCGACCCCATTCTCCTGGCGCTGATCTAGGTTCCAAGAATATAGAAAAGGGCCTACATCTTTGCAAAGATGGCCCACTTACCAGCTCTTCCAAAGGAACACGCTCAAATAGAGGGTGACCTTCAAAATGGGTGCACATCCAGTGGTGTAGTTCCAGCACATCAGTTATGGTGTATACCAGCCCCTACATAGACGAAATCATCCTTCACAGGGACAACATGCAACTGAGCAGTCCAAATGGACTCTCAATTAATTCTTAGTGAAGGGTTCCTCAGTGGGCCACTCACCCCAACTCTCAGCACGTAGGCATATTCCGCTAGCAGTGTAGGACTGATGATTCGCCATTTGTGCTTTGTCCGTTTGAAATGGGGGTCAGGAAAGAGGAAGAACATCTTTGTCAGCTGTGAGACAGCACCAACAGGTTTGTGAGTACCTGGCCGAGGCCTGCTTGTCTACCAGTCTACCCAACCAGGGCCTTTCCCCACCTGGCCCTTGCGGAAGAAGTTAGGAAGGTGCTTCATGGCATTACTACGGAGACAGGCGATGTTCTGGAAGCCGCCTCCAGGAGCTGCACGTAGGGCCCGAATCCTGTCTTGTACATAGTCTGAGACCTTCACCCGGATCTCCAGGCCCAGAATCAGTGTGTCTGGGAACAGTGGTGACAGTTCCACTATACACAGAAATAGCAATGGGATCATTAACATCATACTTCCAAGGTGTACAAAGCGGTCAACTCAGGAAAGGAGGCCTAAACTGAAACCACCAAAGTCAGGAGTAAGCACAGAGATACTATGTATAGTTTTCTGCTGAAGAAAATGCAGGAGAGACACAAAAATTGACAGGACTAGGATGGGAGGACTGAAACTATATTCATAATTTACAAGTGTTCCAGTTTTTTAATTTTTTAAAATTTTGTTTTGTTATTTTTTTGAGACAGGGTCTCACTAAATAGTCCAAGATGCCCTTGAACTAGCTAGGCAGTTTAGGTTGACCTTGGACTCTTAATATTCCTACCTTAGTCTCTTACGTACTGGAATTACAGGTATGTGCCATTAGCCTGGCAGTTTGCTTTACAGTTTTCACAGTGATTTTGTACAGTCTTATTTAATCCTTATAATTCTGTGTGATAGACTGTTAAGGGAAGAACACTGAGCTAGAAATGCTCAAGATCATAGATCTAAGAAAGAAAGCTGGTAGTAGTGATGCATGCTTGTAATCTCAGTACTTTAGGAGACTGAGGCAGGAGGATTACAGATTCAACCTCAGCCTGGGCAGTATAGCTAGAACCTGTGAATTGAAATGCATGCCTGGGACAATACTTACAAGAGGAACCAGAAAAACATAAGAGCAAAGCAGAAAGAATATGCTCTTGTGAGGGAGATGAGCTGGTGGAATCCCTGAGAAAGACAGTTCAGGATCACTGGCCACAGTGGCTAATCTCTGACCCTTGTGCTGACTGGCTCACTGACCCAGCACTTGGCAGGTGAAATGGCTCACGTAGGAACCGAGGCCAGACAGAGCAACCCAGGTTTTAACAGCCATTTAAGGCAACCCCCTCCCTTCTTGAGGGTAAAGGCCACAGACCCAGGGTACAGAAAAGATGGAGACTCTTCACTTTGATGTCATCAGTGTCTGTCCAAAGAGGAAAGTTCAACTGTGGCTTCTACCAAAAACCTGCTGATGGAGCAGAACCTAGATTTTCCCTCACTCCAGAGAAAGGGCCAGACCATTACCTAACAGGCCACCATAGCCACAGCCTATGTCTGCAAACTCCACTTGGGCCTGAACTCGTTTTTCCTCTGAATCCTTTGGGTCATCGTGGCTTTGATTTTGATTGAGTGGAGCGAAGAACTCTGGGTATAGCTCAGACCAATCCATCTCTTCTGGCTTCACAGGGCTATTGAAAGGAGGAAAAAAGTGAGATGGTTGGTCATGCCATTGCACAAGTGGTACTGCATGTATGTGGGTGGCTGAGGGTAGGAGGTAGACGGGAGGAGGGTTTCTTAAAAATTCTAACGGTGGGCCTGTGGCCTCAGGAGGTACAACGGAAATCCCTCTAACACCCAGCGTAAATCACAGGCCCATCTTGAGGCTTATGATTGCTGATCTTTCCCATCACCACTTTGGGATGGCTATAACCCTGGCTGGGCAACTCTCCTTTTTGGGGCGCATGTGGGCCTCAGGCACTGTGATCCAACTTTATTAATGTGCTCTGTGGAGAGAGGATGAAGGAAGGAGTGGGAAGGATTATGTGTATGTCTGCCTTTTAAACTCAAAAATGAAAGATGGAAACGATTATCCTCTTCACTCTAGTTATAGCAACAATTTTCTTTTCTTAAACTTGGCACTGCTCCCCAAACTTAGGCCAGAATGCCACACCCACTCCTGACTGGTCAGCTCCGCCTTCTGCCAAATCTCCGGACCCACCTCCTATATGTTGTCACCCTGAAGATCCTCCTCCCAAAGCTTCCCTGCACCAACGCTCTCTGGGACGCTGGGAAAATCTCGCCCGCCCTCCACTCCCGTTCCCTCACTAGCGCAGCGTGTGGTCCGCCATGGGGTTGGAGTGAGCGCGTTGCCGGTAATAACGCTTCTGGGGCTGCGGAGCCTCGGTTCCCACTGTAGTCCTAGTCTCAGTTCCCGCCATGATGCGCGACCCGGGGTTCGACGGAATCCACGTGGAGACTGAGGCCCGAGGCGCAAGATGATGACGCATTACGCACTCAGAGCAGACCCGCCCCTTAAAGACCAAGCGAATTGTAGTGGGGTACGCCGGGAGGCCCGCTAGGGGCGGGAGTGAGGTAGGTGCCCAGCCTCCTCTCTTGGTTGGCTTGTGCTAGGTCTGTTTACCACGCTGGCTGCATGCGCCTGTACACCCCACAGATGAGAGACATCTGGGCATCCTCTCTGCTACGGTGCAGCGAAGCATCGTTGCTTTGGCCCGAATTCGAGCCAAGTCTGCCAGGTCTGACCGGTGCGGTCCTATGTGGGGCCTGTCAGCGAACGCTGAGGACCTGGCGAGAGGTGCAGCTCCTCATTCCACACACAGGAAGTTCAACTGGAAGAGGGAGGCCAAACTCGGGGGGTTGGGCTTAGTGCTACTGCACAGTCGAGAACCCCAGGTCCGCAAACGCGACCTCTTCTCACACCCGGGACCCGCGCACCCGCCGCGATACCCGGGCCCTGTCTCTTGTCCGATGGCCAACCCCCGCCTGGATCCAGAATCAGAGCTCGACTCGGTGTTCCCTCGGGAAGTCGGACTCTTCGCCGACTTTTACTCGGAGAGTAGCCGGTTTTACTTCTGCGGGCACGTACTAAGCATCACGCAGAACTTTGGGTCCCGCCTCGGGGTGGCGGCTCGCGTGTGGGACGCGGTGAGCAATGGGCTCCTCCTGGTGTGGGTCTCCGGGGTCTAGGCTCTACCATATGGAGCCATCTTCACGACAGTCTTTTCTGCCTTTTTGTCTCCCTTAGGCTCTAAGTCTGTGCAACTATTTCGAGAGCCAAAATGTGGATTTTCGAGGCAAGAAAGTGATCGAATTGGGCGCGGGTACGGGCATCGTGGGAATCTTGGCAGCGCTGCAGGGTGCGTGAGCTGGCATTGTGGCGGGAAGGGGGGGGTGAGGGTGTGGAGGCCTAGAAAGGAGTGTACTTTAGACTCAGCCCAGTCCCTTCCTTTTAAAATCCCCACCCTCGTCGTTTCTCTGTGTGTCGAGAGCTAACTGGCTGTTAAACTACCCAGGACAGTTGATTTGGGGGCAGAAAATAAAAATCAGGCCTTGTTTCTACCTCTTTGCTCTCCATGATTTCAAGGAGAATGCCCCTGATGTTGTGTCGAAATGCACATAGTGGGGTATCCTCTAGGGCAGCAACTTACTGGTTAACTGGTCTGGTTATAAATGCTTTATAACTTGATTTGAATACATGTTAAGAGTCAGTAGATTTGTTATTGCAAGGAGAAACAAACAGGAATTTTGGAGGGGTTAGGTGTATTTTTAGGGGAAGTAGAGACTAGGAATTAAGCACCTTAGATTTGAGAAAGAAAAGGGTAAGGAAAAAATTACTTCAGTTTTATCAAGAACCAGAAAAATAAACAGATTTTCCTAAATTTGTAGTCCAAATGGCAGGCAAAATTCCATGCAGAGAATACTCACTTAAACACTTATAAAGTCACTGAGATTAGCATGTACTTGTTCATAGGGACGTTTCTGGGTCACACTAAAGAAAGTCTTCCCAGAGACACACGTTCATTTTTCTATTCATTCAACTACTGTGTATTCCAAGCCCTCTGTGTGCCAAGAATCATGCTGAGTATTGGGGATTCAACATCAAATAAAGGTTTACCTTCTCTGAGGAGCCCGGTTCTAGTGGGCAGATGGGTTAGACGCTAGCTACTGTAGAAGATCTGTGTGAGCCTGTGGATATGCTGTGGCGGTGTCTACCACGACTCCCTGTGAATTCATCTAGGGAAAGCTCTGTGAGGTGGGAAGATTAACAGTGTGAGCTCAGAAGGCTCAGAAAGAACAAGGATGGGTCAGCATCTCTCGATGAAGGATGGGTGGATGGCACTCAGATAGTTGTATTAAAAGGGGATAGAGGGGCTGGGGATTTAGCTCAGTGGCATAAGCGCCTGCCTTGCAAGCAGGCAGTCGTGAGTTCGATCCCTGGTACCGATAAAAACAAAAAAAGGCAAAAAAAAATAAATAAATAAAAAAAAAAAAAGGGGGGACAGAAAGCCAGGTGTGGTGGCATACATACTTGGAATTCTAGTACTCTGAGAGGCTGAGGCAGGAGGATTGTAAGTTCCTGGGCAACTTGGTGACAGTGAGACCTGTCTCGAACAAAAAAATAAAAAGGGCTCAGATTGTAGTTCAGTGTAAAGGCCCTGCAAAAACATTAAAATAAATTTACAAATAAATACAAAAAGAGACAAAAGGCATATATGTGTATAGGAACACCTACTTTCATTTGCTGCTGAATTAGCTTCTCTTCCTTTGCTCCCTATTTAGTTGCAATTAAAAAATCTGGGTGTTTAAAAAATCTGAGTGTTGCCAGCGAGGCATGTGGTGGGTTGTGGTACACACCTGTTATCCCAACAGTCAGGAAGCTGAGGGTCTTACTGTGTAGCCCAGGCTGGCCTCAAACTCAGTGATCAACTTGACATCTTTGACATGCCCATTTTCACCCTTATACCCATCATTCAACTTTCTGTCTCTTTCTCTCTTCCTCCCTACCCTTCTCTTCTCCTTTCCTTCCATGTGATTGTGTGTGTGTGTATGTGTGTGTGTGTGTGTGTGTGTGGTGTAGTAGTGGAGATTGCACCCAGGGCTCTACTAGATAAGTACTCTACTGCCAAGATACAATCCCAGCCCCATGTCTTGTTGATTTTATTGCCTAAAAATCTCTTGAATTTTCTCATTTATTTCCATTGGCAGTTCTCTAGCCTAAGCTTAGAGTACAATAGTTAGTCCAGCTGATCTTTGTGCTTTGATTCCTTGATCCTTCTTGGACCTCTGCCCTCTTAACCCAACAGTCAGAACAACCTATTCTCTTTTACCTTTCTTTTGTGCATGCATTTGTATGTATGTATGTACATGCATATGTGAATGCTTGTATATGTGTGCGTGTGTGCGTGTGCGTGTGTGTGTGTGTGTGTGTGTGTGTGTGTGTGTGGTGTACTGGGGATTGAATACAGGGCCTTCACATGAACTATATCCACAGCGAGCCTTTTTCATATGTTTTTGTTTTTGAGACAGAGTCTCACTAAGTCACTAAATTGGCCAAGTTGAATTAGAACTTTTTTTTCATTTTGAGACAGGGTTTTCCTATGCAGTTCAGGCTGGACTCAAACTCATAGCAATCCTCTGTCTTAGCCTCTAAGGGTGCTATGATTATAGGCATGTGCTACAACAGGAGACCTCTTTAAAATGCACCTATAATCATGCCCCCACATCAAATCATTCAGTGGCTTCTTATTGCTTGCATTAGAACTAACATTTATCCTGGCCTCCAATGCCTTGTCTCCTCCCACTTCCTGGCTTCTTCGTGGTGCTTATTGGCCTTTTATCAGTTTGGAAAAGCTACTTTGATGTTCCCCCTTCAAGACTTCACATGGGCTGTGCTTTCTGAAGCCCTCTTACCATAATACATTTGTCACTGCTTAGCTCAAGAGTCACTTTCAAAGGAAGGCTACATGGATGCCTTTGCCCTTCTACCAAGTACTGGATGTGGCCATGCTGACTAGTCTCATGTTAAATTTATCACTGACCTCAAGTGGGTCCTAAGTGCTGCCGAGCTAGCCTATTATACTTCCCTTGTCTGTTTATTTTTCTGCTCTTCTAAACATGGGTTTTTACCTTCTTGTTCAAACTTGTAAATCCTTTTTCTGCTATTGTTGCCCTCAGCTGATGAGTTAACTTCCTATTTTCCTATGGCTTCTCTCCCACCTCATGGCTTCCTTTTTCCTCAGAAACTATTCATGTGTTCATATCATAGCATCTCCTTACCTGTGTCTGTGTCTGTATGCGCTGCCTACCATCTTAACACCATAGATGAGCAGATGTGCTATCTAAATCCAAGCCCTCTACTTTATACAAGGCCTTTAAACCTTCCACCTGCTCAAAGACACTTCCAGCAACCTTCCCCCTCTCCTGCAGTATCAGTTCAGTTTTCCCTTCTCTCTGGGCCATTTTTACTCCCTCCCACCTTCCCTTCACGTATATATGCACATAATATACTGTGAATTCTCCTTTCTCAGCAAAAATATTCTGATCCTGTATCTGATCCTGGTAATCTTCAGTTACCAAGACATTTTTCTGCTCTGCTTTAAAAGAAAACAACTCAGAAGAGTAACTATTCACTCTCTCTCGTTCCTTTCCTCTATGTTTCTAGTCTGTTCCAATAAGACTTTCATTCCCCTGTGCCTCCTTCACTCCAGTTGCTCTGGTTAACACTGAGTTTTACTTCCAGTTCCATGTTGTTAAACCAGGAATCACTTCTCAGGGCCGGGGATGTGGCTCAGTTGTAGAGCTCTTGACTTGCATGCACAGGGCTCTGGGTTCATCGCCAACATTATGGAAAAAAACAAAACAGAAAACAATCAGTTCTCAGCCTACCTCAGTTGGCTTTGCATTTGACATGGATACTCCTTCCTCCTTGAAACATCCTTTGCTTTTGGGGGCACCACACTTCTGGGTTCTACCTCACCAGCATACTTTCTGTTCTCTTGCTGGTTCTTTTTCTTCCTTACAATTGAAACTTTGAGTGCCCCAGAGCTCAGGAATAGTCCTTTGACCCCTTCTCCTATCTGTGAACTCCCACCTAAGCAATTCCATTGCTGTGGCTTTGAATGTTCTTTGCTGATGACTCTGATTCTCCCATTTTTATCTCTAAAATATATCTATATAACCCACTGCCTACTCAGTGTCTTCCTGTAGTTGTCTGATGATCATCTCAAATGCAATGTGCTAGAAATGAAATCATAAGCTCCTTTAGTCCTCCTCATTTATCCATGTAGCCATCTAGGTCCTCTAGCTGGTCAGGCCAAACAGCTGAAATTTCTCATTCTCTTTATGTGTGGTTTTTTTTTTTTTTTTTTGGTCTCCATCTCTCTCTGTCTCTGTATCTCACATTCAATCTGTGATAAATCCTATTGACTCTACCTTCAAAATATATTCAGAATCTCACTATTTTTAGCCACCATGACCATTTATTTAGACCATCATCATCTCTCATCTAACTAGTCTCCTTGCCTGCCATTTTGTAACTTATTTATTTATTTATTTTTAAAAGACAGAGTCTCTGTAGTTCTGGTTGGCCTTGAACTCACTATGTAGCCCAGACTAGCCTGGCCTTGAACTCTGAGTGATCCTCCTGCCGTAGCTCCCAGGTGCAGGTATTACAGGCATGCATCACCATACCCTGCAATCTTTTCTAATGAGAGCAACCAGAATGCTTCTTTTAAATCACAAGTCAACTTCCACTGCCATTCTTCCATTTAGGATTCTTCCACTGGTTTTCATATCATATAAACTAAAAGCCTTTTAGTTTTCTCTCCTTGCGAAGAATCCAACCTCTGCTATTACTCTCTTCACTCATTCTGCTCCAGCTGTCACCTCCCCCACGAATTCTCTCGCATGTCAGGTGCTGTTTTGCCTCAAAGTCTCAGTGCTTGCTGGCCTGTGGTTTGGTAGACTTTAGCCTGAGAGATCCACGTGGTGTGTGTCACGGCTGCCTCCAGGTCTTTGCCCAAACATAATCTGCTTAGTGAGGCTTTCCCCTACTATCCTGTTTAAAATTCTGTTCCCTGTCTTGACCCTCAAGTAGTCCTTTTTTTTCTTTTGGTCGAACTCAAGATCTCACGCTTGCCAGACAGGCACTGTTTCTCTGAGCCATATCCCTGGCCTCCTCAAGAGGTTCTTATTTCCTCTCTCTACTTGGTGTTTCACTGTAGCACTTACTGTCATTTGACATGCAGTATGTTTATTTTGTATTTCATTATTGTCTTCTATTGCTTGCCACTAGACTGTAAGCACCATAAAGAAGGAAATTCTTGTCCGTCTTGTCCATCTGCAGTATTCTCAGTACCTGGCATGTATAGGTACATGGTAAAAACGAATGAATGAAGGCTTATATTTCCTGCTTCTCTTTCTGTAATACTTAACCATGATTAGGATTAGACTATTATTTTTGCAGACTATGTATGTTTCTGCCCCTGGAATGAAACTCAAGGAAAGGCAAGATTTTGTTTTGCTATTTAGTGTATATCTAGCTTTTAGTAGACCCTCAACACACATATATTGCATGGATAACGCTTTCTGAAACGCTTTCTGAATCTTTACTCCTGCTTTAACTCTTTTTTTTTTTTTTTTTTTTGTATGTTTGTTTTTGTGTTTTGTAACAGGGTCTCACTTTGTACTTCAGGCTGGCCTTGAACTCACTGTGTAGCCCAGGTTGGCCTCACACTCACAGTGATCAGGACCCTGAGGTTCTGAGTACTGGGATGATAGCCATCATTCCTGGCTTTCTCTGCTTTAACTCTTAAGCCCTCTTACCCTCATCATTAAACTTGAATCTCCTGAACCTTTTTTCCTCTGTGATTAGCATGGCATAATCCTTTAGTCTTATGTTTTGGCATTTTTCTCCTTCCCACATTCTCTGAGATGAAGCTTTCCAGCTGGGTGGAGCAGTGCCTGCCTATAATCCCAGCAATCTGGGGAGGCTGAGGAAGGAGGACTGCAAATTTGAACCCAGCCTTGGCAGTTTAGCAGTTTTCAAGATCCTGTCTCAAGATTTTAAAAATCTCTTAAAAAGGGCTGGGGTGATATCTCAGTAAATTCAACCACCAGTACTGGGTTCAATCCTTAATATCGAAAGGGGAAGACAAAACAGAAAAAACAAAAAACAGATTACAATTTTTCTGGGCTATGCCATGCTGTTTCCCTGCCAAACCTTTGTATTTAAGATGCACCTAAATAACTCCTGCTTATTCTTTAGGGCTCAGCTGAGGTTGCATCTCCTGGAAGGCTTTCCAGACCCCTGCAGACAGGTTTGTGTCACAGTGGGGAGATGTGTAGCCTGTCCCCAGTCTAATCCTACCAGGCTTCTGCTGACATCTGTTGTTGTGTGTGGGGCAGACAGGTTGAAGATTAGCTCAGAGAGAATGTGATGTTGTAGAATGTAGAGTAATGAGAATGCCAGTGGGTAACATGGAGTTAGGGGAACTAAGAGTCAGTGTGGACTTTGGGCTGTCAAAACATTGGCCTTTATACCTTGAGGTCTCTGGACCATCCAAACTGGAGCCAAGAGCCCATGGCTGGGCCTTCTGACTTGCATTTCTCCCCCTTGCTCTCTCTCAGGGGGGGATGTTACCATCACTGACCTGCCTCTGGTCCTAGAGCAGATCCAGGGCAACGTCCAGGCTAATGTGCCAGCTGGAGGCCGGGCCCGGGTCTGCGCTTTGTCCTGGGGGATTGACCAGCATGTCTTCCCTGGAGACTATGACCTGGTGCTGGGGGCAGATATCGTGTACCTGGAGCCCACCTTCCCACTGCTGCTGGGGACCCTACAACACCTGTGCGGGCCTCATGGCACCATCTATCTGGCCTCCAAGATGAGAGAGGAGCATGGGACAGAGAGCTTCTTTCAGCACCTTCTGCCCCAGCACTTTCAACTGGAGCTGGCCCAGCGGGATGAGGATGAGAATGTCAACATCTATAGAGCCAGGCACAGGGAATCAAGACCTGCTTGACATCAGCACTCCTGTTTTCAACCCCTTGTCCCAGTGAAGGAACTGAAATCTCCAAAGCCATCTCTTCAGAACGATAAACATGAGGACCAAAACGGATCAATTTCTCTCCCTTCTTTCTTTCTCCCTTCCTTTTTTATTCCTTATTACAGGGAGGTGCCTGCTTGGTGAGAATCCATTAGTACTGGCAGTGCTGGCTTTTAGAGCACAAAGGAAGTTCCTAGCTCCTGTTCTTAAAAGAGATTTTTAAGAATCAGGGAAGTAAATAGGATGATTGATCAGTGGCTGCAAACTATCCTTGATAATATCCAGTCCTGCTCTTGTCTATTGTCTTTTTATACAGGATGGACTTTAAAAAAATTCTATGGATTTTTTTCAGTGTTGGGGATTGAACCTAGGGCCTTCCCTTGCTAGACAAGTGCTCTATCACTGAGCTACATCCCCAGTCCTTTTCAAAATTTATATTTTGAGGCAGGGTCTTGCTAAGTTACTCAAGTTGGTATTGAACTTGCAATCCTCCTGGCTCAGCCTTTTGAATACCTCAATTATAGTCATCTACTACCATGCCCAGCTTTATGTAATTTCTTTATTTTTTCCTGAGATAGGGTCTTACTGTGTATTCCAGATTGGCCTTGAACTCAGTATGTAGCCCAGGCTGGCCTCAAACTCATGGCAGTCCTGTTGCCTCTGTTTCCCAAGTGCTGGGATTACAGGATTGCAACACCATACCTGGCTGGAATTTTTGTGGCTTTTTTGTTGTTGTTTTGTTTTTTGAGACAGGGTCTCACTATGCAGTTCAGGCTGGCCTTGAATTTGTGATTGTCCCTCCTCAGGCTCTTAAGTGCTATGATTACAGATGTGTACCACCACACCTGGTTTGAAATTTTAAAAATTATTACTAACGATCTCTTTTGAATCCAACAAACTCAGCTTTTGCTGGGAAGATGAAGTCTTCAGACTACCTGTTTCCTATATATAGTAAGGAAATGCTAGTAGGACTTTGGCTCTAATTTGGTCAAGTCCTAGCTCTGCAGAGCTGCCTTTTGGGCTATAATGTCTTCCTTCTTTCCAGAGTTGGAGTCCCGATCTCAGAACATATGCTGTGCAGAACACTGACCCGAGTACTAAGTTTTCATTTTTGATTTTTCTTCCCCACTTCCATCAGTCCTTCCTTTGTAATTTACCTTCACTTTTTGCCTCTTCTTATTGTGGAAGCTCTGTCTGGTTGGGGCTTTCTTTACTAATTGCTTAGCCACATACCTCCTCTGGACCTCTGCTATCATTTTCTCATTTTCAAGCCATTCTGCCAACTTTTGCAGTCTTCCAGAGTCAGCTCTTACTGGTTTCCATTCTAGCAGAAACTAGAACAAGCTCCTCTGCTTGGTATTCGGTCTGTCCTCATGTGAGCACAAATTCTCTCTCATTCACTTTGTACTCTTCTTACATGTATTGGACCTCTGGCCAAGTTACAAAGGCCTGTTTTTCGTTTTCTAAATCCACATCAAGGTTCCTGACTTCCTCTCCACTCTTTATGATGGTTTCCTGATGGGAAAGGGTATGGTATATATCACAAATCTTCCTTACTCTTTGCCTCTTTCCTGAAAAAAGCTTTTCTGAGCCTCTTGCTTGAATGTGACTCTCGTTCCCTGACCTTCAACTGTTCATTTTATGGGACCTATCTTGTCTTGGGTGGACATTTGTCTGATCCTTATTTTCCTCACCATTAGGTTAGCTCAGAGTATATGACTGAGGTTTATTCATCCCTAATTCCCTGAGGCCTAGCACAGTTCCTGGCACACAGGTGCTAAGCAGATAGTTTGTTCATTCAACAAATATTTACTCAGTTTGTTGAAGCGACTCTACCTTTACCTCTCTAGATCCTAGGCAATTTTCTAAACCTATCCACCTACCTCACAAGTTTGTTGTGAGTAATAAACTGATACTAAATACAGAAGCGCATTGGAAATAAAGAAACATAGTGTTACCCATCATGTTGTATGCACTGTTATCTTTTGACTTTTCTTATTTTACCTGTCAGGGGTAATTCCATACAAAATAATTCAATGAAGCAAGATAGGGAAGACGACTGTGTGCCTCCAGCCGGCAGGTGGCGCCTACGCCATTGGACGTTGTAGTGGAGAGTTTTGGCCCTTGAGCTATTCCGTAGTCTGTCGCCTCATCTGCGCGCCAGCAGGCGGTAGAGTGGTACGGTTACAGATATGTCGCTGTTGCGGTCTCTGCGCCTATTCCTGGTCGCGCGGACCCGGAGCCGCCAGGTGAGGACCCCTAGGTCCGGTGCTGACCTGCCTGATTTGCAGTTCCCTGCCCCGAAGCGCGCCCGTCCCTTCTGACCCCCATTTGACTCCCGACTCCCGCTCTTTGCCCGAGGGTGTTGCTGCTTCTGTTCAGCCTCGGTGCGCTTCGCTTCCCACACCCCCTGAGCCTTCAGGTCGCCTTGCTGCTCAAGTACTCTCTCCTTCACCCAGCTCCTTGCTGCTTTTGCTTTCTCATTTCCTTTTTATTCCAGCAGGCAGGATCCTTTTTGCTTCAGTCGGCCCAGCCCTGGCACATACTGCAGCAGGCTGGGCCCCGGTTGTCTTCCTCGGCCTCCAGCAAGGATCTCCTTATGAAGCTGCGGCGGAAAACGGGTTACTCCTTTGTAAACTGCAAAAAAGCTCTGGAGACTTGTGGCGAGGATCTCGAACAGGTGGGGAAAGCTTGGATACTAGCATGTGACCTCAGATTCCTGAGAAGTCAGATTTGCTGCTCTTTAACGCGTACACAGGTCCTAAGTAGATTCTACCTTAAATAATAATCTTTGACTTCATCTTACTTGGAAGTAATTAACTCAGTGTCCCAGGGTTTACAACCCCTATTCAGTGAAAGACTGGTTTTATTCTGCTGCTTAAAGTTGAAGGGTTTGTGTGAACTTTGGAGGCAGTCCAACAGGACCATATTGCGGTGGCCTGTCACCTTGGACATGTTGATATTTAAGAGTTGTGTTATTTTTGTCTATATAATGAAAATACTGCCGTCTGCTCCCACAGGAACGTGATAAACTGCCCATAGATGATAAATTGCTTTAGTTTTATTGCAGAACTTAGGAGAAGTGAAAAGGATGGCTAACTTTAATATATTTTAGAGCTTCATTCAGTTCTAAATTCTATGACTTTGTCATCTGCTCCTTATAGGCAGAGATCTGGCTCCATAAGCAGGCCCAGAAGGAGGGCTGGAGCAAAGCTGCCAAGCTTCACGGGAGGAAAACTAAAGAAGGCCTGATTGGGCTGCTGCAGGAAGGAAACACTGCTGTGTTGGTGGAGGTGCGTTTTTGGGAATGCCATACTGTGGGTGTAAAATCCTGTTAAATCCTTTGCATCTTTTAAAGAAGAATCCTGTTTGAAAACAATAAAGGGTAGTTGGAGTTAAACTTGGGAAACCTCATTTATTAGCTATGGATTCACTAAAGTATAGAAATGCACAGGTCTGTTGATGAGAAATGGCCTAGCAGTCTAGAATGTAACTCCTAATGAGAGTCTAGTGTAGTCTTGCATCTGGTCACTGCCTATTTCCTGAAAACTTAGATTTTATTTTCAATTTTTTTATTAGTATATGTTTGTAATTCATAAATATACTCGTTGTAGGATACTGTATGTATACGTATTAGATCTTGATTCTTTCCCAAGTTAGGTTTTAAAGCTAGTAATTATATTAATTAGTTGTTGAGTACTTGTTAGCGAATACTTCTTTTAGAGGCTTGGGGTAGTTGTTGAAGTGGATTAATTTATCATAAGAAGGGGAGAAACAAAGGGCTGGGGATTTAGCTCAGTGGCATAAGCGCCTGCCTTGCAAGCAGGCAGTCGTGAGTTCGATCCCCAGTACCGATGAAAACGAAAAAGACAAAAAAAAAAAAAAAAAAAAGAAGGGGAGAAACAGCAAAGATGGTTTGGATTTAGGAGAGCTGGAGTATGAGGTGATTATCATGTGCAGCCACAGGCAGGTAATGAACTTGTAGTGAGTCCTTCTGAACATTACAGAACCTTCTCTGAATGTATAGGTTATTGCTAACTCATTGGCGCAGCAAGAATCACTTCAATCAGTTTCTGGCCTCAACAAAGGAAATGCAGCTTTAAAATTTCGGGGCCATTGCTGGGGATTTAGCTCAGTGGCATAAACACCCGCCTGGCAAGCACCAGGTCATGAGTTCAATCCTCGGTACAAAAAAATAAAATTAAAAAAAAATTGAAAGTCACTTATTTCTGTGGAGTCTACAGCTTGTCCTATCAATATCTGGGCTTACTCTACACTTCAGGCACATTTGGAAACAATCAGCATACAGCTCATATAGCAATATCAATTTATTCCCACAGGTAAACTGTGAGACGGATTTTGTTTCCAGAAATTTAAAATTTCAACAATTGGTCCAGCAGGTAGCTCTGGGAACCATGCTGCACTGTCAGAACTTAAAGGATCAACTTTCCACATACAGCAAGGTGAGTTTTGAGTTGTGCCCAGCATGCTGAATTTGACCCCTTCTTCCTTTAGGCTCTTTGCTGTTCTTATTTTTGATGTTAAGGACTGAACCCAGGGCCTTATGTATGCTAAGCACATAGTCTGCTACTGATTACATCCCTAGTCCCTTCTGCCCCCGCCATCCAATACTTTTTCATTGTGTTATTTCATATCTCTGCTTAAATGCTGTTTTTGGGGAGGGAGGAGTACCCTTCTCCTGTTGTTCTCTTTATTTTGTAGGGTTTTTTTAGTTGTTGTTTTGGTCTTTTCGAGACAGAGTCTCACTATGCAGTTCAGGCTGGGCTGGAGCTCATTTTGTAGCTCAGGCTGGTCTTAGGCTTGCAGCCGTCCTCTTGCCTCAGCCTCCCAAGTACTTGTTTATTTATGTTGGCTTAGCTAAAACTCTTTATTATATAGTGCCTATATATTATATATTTTTTGATTTCTGTATTATCTGTCTTGCCCAGTAGAATGTAAGCTTCATGAGGCAAGGAATATGTTCCTTCAGTACTATATCTGTAATGCAGAAAAGTAGACACAGAATTTAGTTGGGGCTCAGTTAATCTGTTTGTTGAATGCCAGTGAGGTGGAGTTAGCCTTTTTGTTTGAGGCAAGGTTTCACTGTTCAGCTGAGACTGGCCTTAAACTCACTATGTAGGCCAGGCTGCCTCAAACTCACAGCGATCCTTCTGCATCAGCCTCACAAGTGCTGGGATTACAAACATGCATCACCATACCCAGCTGAGTTAGCCACATTTGGAGAAACCATCTGAGGCTTTTGTTTAGAAATCTGAAATGGTCTGAGGGAGGGTTTCTAAATGGAGAGTTTGGGAAAAGCACAGTTTAAGAGAGTAAGTACACTTACTCTCCTAAGTGTCCTTAAGAGGATAAAGGAAGAGATTATATCAGTTTCCCTTTGATTCAGCCTTATCAAGGCAGAAGTAAACTAACCACTCACAATTTTTATTACTACTTTATTTCTCTTATTTATCCTTCTCTTGAGCTTGCTTAGTAAAATTACCTTGAGATTATGGGGGGTGGGTATGGGGCACTGAGCTTTGAACCCAGGTCTTCACATATGCTAAGCAGGCACTCAATACTCTACTGTTTTCTAGAATTGTATAGGTGAACCACTTGAGGTATAACCTTTTTTTTTTTTTCTTTAAATGGTCCTAAGGATCAAATCAAGGTCTAACAAATGCTAGGTAAATGCTTTACCCCTGAGCTACATCTCAACCCTAAATTCTATTGATTTTGCCAGCAACTACTTACAATTCTAAGGCATTAATTTACTTTCTGGACCTCTTTTTAAATTTAATTATGCTTTTTTTTCCCCCAGCACTGGGGATTAAAACCAGAACCTATACACTGAGCTGTATCCCCAACCCTTTTTTATTTTTTTATTTTGAGGCAATGCCTTGCTAAGTTGCACAGGCTGGACTCAAACTTCTGATCCTTCCTCAGCCTCCCAGAGTACTGGTATTATAGATGTTTGCCACCATACCTTCCAAGTTGCCAGTACTCTGTAATAATTTCCAGATCACTCAGTCCAAATTCACCATTTGTTAGCATTTTGTTACATTGCTTCCTTTCTTTGTTTCATTTTTTTTTTTCTTTTCCTTTTCTTTTTTTCTTTTTTCTTTTTCTTTTTTTTTGTTTTTTGAGACACAGTTGCTATGTAGTTTGGCTGTCCTGGACTTCCTGTGTAGACAGGTTGGCCTTGAACTTATGATGATCCTCTTGCCTCAGCCTCCCAAGTGCTGGGATTGCAGCAGGCATGCACTGCTGTGCCTGGCAGCTTTATCTTTTATCTCTTTATGTACCTATTAACCTTTTTTTTTTTTTTTTTTGAGACGGAGTCTCCCTATGCAGTTCAGGCTGGTCATAGCTTACTTTGTAGCCCAGGCTGGTCTCAAACTTGCAATGATCCTCCCACCTCAGCCTCCCGAGTGCTGGGATTGCAGGCATGAGCCACCACACCCGGCGCTATTATCCTTTTTTAAAAAAATCCTTCTGCACATTGTAGATATCAGAAGTCTTTATTCCTTCAGCATATATCTCCTAATAATAAGGATGAGGACATTCTCTTATATAACCACTGTGCATTGGTGACATTTAGAAATTTTTAAAAACTTTTTTTATTTTTTCCCCATATCCATTTTATTTCATGAAGAAAAAGAAAAAGAAGGAATAAAAACTAAAAAAAGTTTCAAAACGTGTCAGTCAAGAGGCAACAGTGGTACATACATTGTGCATTGTCATCCCCAAATCATTCATCCAGAGCTCAAGATAATTGCATTCAATACCAACACAAATCTTTCTCTTCAGTGAACTCAGAGAAATCAGTAGTATGATTATCTTAACTATATTTTATGCACATATACATATATAAATGTTGTCTTTCACCTTCTCACACTGAGATAATATTTACATATGTGTAACTTATTAATGAGTACATACATTGTTTTTATTTATGTAACATACAGTGTGTATTCATTTTTTTGTTTTGAGGGGTTTTTTTTTGTCTGTTGGAGACAAGGTTTCACTATGCAGTTCAGATTGACCTTGAAATCATGTTGTTACCTAGGCTGGTCTTGAACTCACAGCCATTTTCCTGCCTTAGCCTCCCTAGTGCTGGGATTACATGCATGCACCACTACACCTAGCTTATATTCATATTTTATCAACTGCCAGTTTTCCTTATGGTCCAGGTTCAAAGCTAATGTGTTGCATTTATTTATCATTTGTATTTAGTCTCTTTTTGTTCTTTAGCCTCTCATTGGATTTCAATGCACGGATATTTTTAGAAGATATGGGATGATTTTGGAGAATAGACCTTACTTTAGGTTTGTCTAATGTGTCTTCATAATTAGACTCAAGAAATATTCCTTTTTGTAGAAAAATTATATAGTATTTTTCTCCAATCATCACACAAGGAAGCACATTGGTTCTGTTATTGATGTTAACTCCAACCTTGTGATTATGGTAATATTTGCTAGGCTTCTCCACTGTAAAGTTGCCACCTCCTCTTTGTAGTGAATAAATAATGTGTGAGAGACTCTCTGAGATTAAATAAAAATTCAATTTGTCAGAATACTTTTGCATAATGCTAGTTTTAGCATTTATTGATGATTCTTGCCAGGCCAATTTTTATTCCTACTGATTTTTTTTTTAATAATTTTTTCTATATGCATTAATCTGTTCACATTTTACTGTTAATTTTGTCTTCTTTCTCCTGTATTTAATGACTAATTTAGTACCAGTGTTGACTCACAGATTCATTCAATAGGTTATAATTTATTATATGACACATTATCCATTTTAATGCTCAAATTGTTTGTGGATTTGGCCAGCATGTGCCAAGCCTTTGCAAGCTGGCTCTAGTGTCCTTTCCATATGTCTTGATTTTTTTCTAAGTACTTCTTTTTGGCATAGCAAGACATTCTGGATTTATATTTTATTTTCCATGCTCCCACAGTAGAATTGGCCACTTCTTCATGGAGTCCTGATCCTTTTAGTGATGATTTTTAAAACCAGATTTGAATACTAGGTATGCTTTTTTTCTATTGACACATGATTGTTTCTCTGTTCTTTGATCCCACAGTTTGTGCGAGTGTGTGTGCGTGTGTATGTGCGTGCGTGTGTGTGTTTCACTTCTAAATCAGCACTTCAGGGTTCCTTCCTTATTCTGTATTTGCATCTTCTCTCATAATGAGAAAGCTATCTCCTAGTAATTTCAGTATTTATTCAGTGTTATGTACAGGGTTTTTCAGTTGCTACACCTAGCTACTGTGAATGACAAAACCTATCAAGCAACCTTTCAGATTGCTTTGTAATCCTTTTTGTTTTTGCATTGAAGTTATGTGGTCAAATGACTATACTGACAGTTATTTGGGTTAGTGGATTTTTTTTCCTTCTATAAGATTATCTTAATCAGTTGAAATACAATTAGAACAAAAAAAAAATACTGTACAATTAGTCTTATGTTCCTGCTTAGTTAATTTTTGTTTTCATCCCAAACCTTTATTGATTTCACTTTTGTTTTTTGTTTGTTGGTTTGTTTTTTTTGAGACAGGGTCTCACTATCCAAGGTGGCCTTGAATTTATAGTCTGCCTGCCCCAGCTTTCAAAGTGCTGGGATTATAGATGTGTGTCACTGCATCCAACTAGAAAATAAAATCTTGGGGGCTGGGGATTTAACTCAGCGGCATAAGCGCCTGCCTTGCAAGTGCACAGTCGTGAGTTCGATCCCTGTACCGGTAAAAACAAAAAACAAAAAAAGAAAATAGAATTTTGACTTTCTTATTTTGGGGAAGGGGGGAAAGGATAATTGAACACAGGGCCTTGGGATGTGCTAGGTAAATGCTCTACCACTAAGCTACTTTCTAGCCCCTTAATTTTATTAAAAAAAAATTTTTTTTTTAATTTTGTTTTTAGGAATCAGTAATTTAGTTCAGTGGTGTAAGCGCCTGCCTGGTACATGCGAGGTTGTGAGTTTGATACTACCAAAAAAATAAAAATAAAAAAATAAAATTTTATTTTTAAATTGAAAAACATTAGCTAAGTTCTAAAAGCTAAAATTATTATTTTTAAAAAGTGTGCTCCAAGAAGTCTTATTTCTTCCAACCCATTATTGCTTCTGTAGATGACCAACTTCAGTAGATTATAGTTACATTTTCAGTATTTATTTTTGCAAAAATAAGCATATTTATACAGATATTTCTTAGACAAATGATGATATAATTTGTATATATTTTATGTTTTGTTTTGTTTTGTTTTGTTTAAGATAGGGTCTCACTGTAATCCAGGCTGGCTTTGGACTCACTATGTAGCCCAGGCTGACCTTGAACTCTCTGCAGTCCTCCTGCCTGCACTTCCCAAATGCTAGAATTAAGGAAATGCACCACCATATCTGACTGTGTATATTCTGTTAATTTGCTTTTTATTTTTTGGTATGTGAGTTGTGGTGCTGGAGCCTCCTGCGTGCCAGGCTAGTGCTGTACCTTTGGGCTACCCCTACTCACTTTTTTTTCACTGAATATATATCTTGGAAATACTATATAACAAGAAATCTGTTACAGAAATGGAAATTTCCCTTTTTCTTGTTTTTTGTTTTTGTTTTTGTGTTTTTGAGACAGGTCTCACTATGGCCTTGAATTCAAGGTGATCCTCCTCCCTCAGCCTCCTGAAAATCTTCCTTTTTCTTTTTTCCAGTTGTGCTGTATTCTGTAATGTGGTTGTGCCGTGATTTACTCAACCATTTTTTCTGTGTGTGGGCATTTATGCTGTTTCCAAAATTTTATGATTAGAAATAACAGCTCAGTAAGTGAATGTCTACATACTTTTGTAGCATTGGAAGTATGTCAAATCCCTAGAAACAGAATTGAAGGGTAAAAGGATAATGCATACATAATTTTGTTAGATATTGTCCAATTTCTCCACTGTTGGATTTGCACTGTTTTGCAATCCCACCAACAATCTGTGAGTCTCCTATCTGGAAAAAAAAGTTTTTCCTTTTGGTACTGGGAATTGAACTCATGACCTCAACGCTTGCCAGGCAGACTTGTGCCACTGAGCTATATTTTTGGCCTTTTCCTTTTTTTGGTACTCAGAATTTAACCTAGGATTTTGTGGATGCTAGACATGCTCTCTTATCACTGAACTATACCCCTGCCTCTCCTTTCTTTTACATTTTATGACTGTATGAAAACATTGTTCCTGGTTTCTAGGAAATTACATTCCAAGAAGCAAAGTAGAGAATGGGAATGGAATGGAGTGGGAGTATAACAGTAGTAGAAAAAGTGTTTATAATCAATTTTCTTTCTTTCTTTCTTTTTTTTTTTTTTTGGTCTTTTTATCGGTACCGGGGATCGAACTCATGACTGCCTGCTTGCAAGGCAGGTGCTTATGCCGCTGAGCTAAATCCCCAGCCCCTCTTTTTTTTTTTTTTTTTTTTGTCAGTACCTAGGATCAAACTCATGACCACACACTTGCAAGGCAGGCGCTTATGCCTGCTGAGCTAAATCCCCAGCCCTATAATCCATTTTCAACATTCATGGCTTAATGAAATTTTACCCAGTTGTCTTCACATTTTCTTAGAAATAGGCTATTTTTTGCTTGTTCTCTCGATACTTTCAGGTGTGTAGAACTGGCCTGTTTGTTTTCTTGTGAACTTAGGGCTTCTTGAGTTCCTCTGAACTTTCTGAACTTCCAGCTGGGCCTGACAGAAATGGTTCTCTGAAGGATCAGTTGGCCTCAGCAATTGGTGAGTATTTATAAGGATTTTGGTAACTATAAATTAAAGATTAAAGATTTTGGTAACTAAACTAAAGATTGGATATTTTGGTGTCTTGATGTTCTTCCAAGTCTAGATAAAAAATTGCAAGCTCATATGTCTACAAGATCCAGATGATCTGAGGAGAAGTGAGTTGTGTGTTAGGTGTTAGGAAGCAGTGGGCATTCTGAAGAGCCCCTTCTCTGCAGTCACCAAGCTCCAGGGATTGTTACACTGAGGGAAATGGAGTTCCACTCTCATCACAATTTCTAAATTCCTTAGAAGAATTTAGATTTGTATGCAACAATTGCAGAGTTTTAGTGTTTTGCAATTTACTAAAATTTTCATCACTATACCAAGCAAATTAGTGCATCCTTATGCAGAGATAGCCCTTTGGCTTCCAGTTGACTACATCTAAATATGATAAAAGGAAAGTAGTACATTCAACACCTGAATTTTTGAAGGTACAATCTTTTAGAGCCTGCTTGTGACAGGAATAACATCTGGGTCACCATGGTGGGGCTAGTGGGAATTTTGCTTTCTTTCTACGCATTTTTGACAGAGTAAAAGAAGCAGGGCTAGGGTTGGAGTTGCTGGGAATTCTGTAAAGATCTGAGGTTTCTAATCAAGGCATCGATTTTTATTTTATTTTTTTTTTTTGAGACTGAGTCTTGCCTTCAGGCTGGCCTTGAGGTCACTTTGTAGTCTTGGCTGGTTTTAAACTTGTGGTGATCCTCCTGCCTCAGCCTCCCAAGTACTGAGATTATAGGTATGTGCCCCATACCTGGCAAGGCATCAGTTGTGTTTTTATCAGGTCATCCTGTGGTATCTGTGATGCTTGAGTGAGTCATGGATGAGAACCAGATAAGACAGCTGTGTATTAAAAAATGGGACTTATTATCCTAAAAGAACTGCTTGTCAATTTCTGGGAATCAACTACTTTGTAGGTGTTTTTGAGCTATTTAAAATTTTGTTTTGGTTTCTGGAATCTCCCTTTTCATAATTTTTAGTTATAACTATGCCAGATCCAGGCATATTAATCCGAATTCATTTATATATCCTCCTGCTTCTTCCTACTTTGGCTTATTTGGAATTCATTAGAAGGGAATGGCTTCCTGAGGGAGGAAAAAATTGGAATGTGTTTTTGGTTCTCATAAACACTCTGCAAATGTTTTTTTATTTTTGATGAGAGCAAGTTGAAGCTATCTGATGGCATGAATTTTAGATTTTTTTTGTAGTTTTTAGCTGTGGGCCCTTGCCTGATACAGTGGATGTTTAGGAGTTGTCTTGCATCAGCTAGGGTACTATATATTTGGGAGGAATGATAATTTGGTGGGAAATTTAGAGTCAAATATGAGCTTTTAATTCCAGCTCTGCACATATTATTGAATGGATTACTTAAGCTAAGTCTAAATTTAATGTAATAATGATAGCAGTTGAATGTTTACTTTATGCCAGGTCTTACAATAAATGTTTTTACACACTTCACCTTATGTATTTCTTCCAGTAATCCTGACAGATAGGTAATATCTTCATTATGGAGATTAGGGAATGATGAGTTAGTAAGTGGTGTTATGTCATTAAGACTTTTGCCCAATGTTAAGGTCAGAAAGAAGTAGAAGTTAGATCTGAGTCTGTGATTCCACAGCCTCTATTAAATACCAGTGTCCCTTACATGTAGTGGAAGCTCCTTAAAATACTTCCCACTCCATTTCTTGAAGCAAAAACTGAAAATTATGTATCTTCATCTTACTCTATATCTAGTATAAATACAGAAGGACTAGTTTCCAAGCTTGGTATAACCATCTGCACTTGGTGCATATGTTAGTATAACCACAGGCATCATATTCTGGTGGCATTTTTTTTTTAATAGGGAAACTGGGAGAAAACATGACCCTTAAACGAGCTGCATGGGTAAAGGTGCCATCTGGGTTCTACATTGGCTCTTACGTCCATGGAGCAGAACACAGTACTTCATTCCACAACTTGGTGCTTGGGAAGTATGGAGCCCTGGTCATCTGTGAGACGTCTGAGCAGAAAGCAAACCTTGAAGATGTTGGTCGCCGCCTTGGGCAGCATGTAGTGGGAATGGCCCCTCTCTCTGTTGGTTCACTGGACGATGAGCCTGGGGGAGAGGCAGAGACCAAGATGCTGTCCCAGCCATACTTGCTGGATCCCTCCATCACACTGGGACAATATGTACAGCCCCAGGGCGTGTCTGTAGTAGACTTTGTGAGGTTTGAATGTGGAGAAGGTGAAGAGGCAGCAGAGGCCCAATAGGTTCCAGAGACACTTTGGCCCAGGAGGAAATATTTATTTTTAGCTCTGGACATCATCACAAGAAGTTATTTCTCCTAAGTCTTTTGAAACCCAAATTGTTTTTTCATTTGAGTTTATGATGAAACTATATACTTCACAGGTAAAGTTACTAAATAAAATAATTATACAATTGAGAGTAGAGTGTTTTCCTGTTTGCATAACAACTTTAGCTTTTTCTCACCTTTCTTGTAACAGGGCCCAGGAATCAATAGTTGCATCTTACTGATGCAACTGACAATGTCTGGAGAACAATCATCAATTGTATTGCTGCCTCCTTCAACATAGATTTATTTTAGTGTCCCTGAAATTCTGAAGTTATACATTCTGTCTCATTCCTATGACACAGACGTCTCTTGTTTTGCTTTTGCTTTGTAACACTTCAGGCAAGCTTCTTCGTGGAGCTTCCCCAGTTACATCTGCTATGTAGGTTTCTTTGGAACTGTTGATTCAAACTAGTTATCTGGAAAATGTAGGTTCATTTGTTGATCCCTGTAGCATCCTTCAAAGCTGTTTGCAGTGCTCTACTCACCTGTTCTGACCTGTTACAGAAATTAGTAATGTCTCTGTACTTCTGTTTGAGATGATGGAGTGTAGGTGAATGAGTGCTGAGGTTTCCTGGACAGATATAAGGAAGAATTCTGACACTCTTGTGCCAGAGATAGGAATTATTTTGGTCCAGTTTCCAGATAATTCACTCAACATTGACTATGTATTTTCTCAGTACATTGCTTCAAACATAACATAAAATTACTGTAATAAGCATGCTCCAAATACTAGAAAGAACTCTGTTTGCTCTAACAAGTATCTTTATTTGAAAAGTTAAAAATAGTTTGGTACATAATAGATCTGGGCATTGGATTTGGATGTTAGGATAAATGTATATGCAAATAACTTCAGTGCTTTGTAGGTTAAATAGGTTTTAAAAATATTGATCTTAAAGTAAATGTAAGTCCTACATACTATTAAATATTTTAAGGTTAGTTTTTTTGATTCTGTCTTTTATTTCTCTAGATTCATGCAGTTTTTAAGTCTTTAGCTAAAAGGCCACAAAAGCCCCAAAATGGGTTATTATAGGTATATAACAACCAAGGAGTACAAGAATAAGACAAAATGGAGAACATGCTGTGATTTTGCAGACTCTTGCATCTAGATAAGTAGCTGAATGCCAGACAAAAGTTGATAAATTCTTTCCCAATATTGACACTCTCTGCACTCTTGTGGTCTTGCAATAAGCATAAGCCTTCTTGCCTTAGAAAAGCCCCCTTTGTTTCTTCAGTTGGAGCTGTTTCCAGCCAGGCAAAGCAGCAAATTGTCCTCTTGTGATGCCAAACACAGACACAAAGTCACTTTCAGAGAGGTAATTCTAAGACAGAAAACAAAGTTTCTAGTTAGAAGACAGGGCGCTTTTTTTTTTTTTTTTTTTTTTTTTTGGTACCAGGGATCGAACTCATGACCTTGTGCTTGCCAGCCAGGTGCTTATGCCACTGAGCTAAATCCCTGACCTGACAGGGTGCTCTTAAGGCCAACAGAAGTGGGGGAGTAGGGACAAGAGGAAGGCCTAGGTAGCTTTGAAGGGGATGTAGGAAGAATTTTTCAGAAAGACTGTAATGGACTTAAATTTTTCAGTGCAGAAGTTTCTTCAGGTGGAGCTCCCCTGTTACCTGTGGAAGAACTTGGACTACCTAGTCTCATGGTCCCTGTGTTTTGCTGGTACATTATGGATTAGATTTTGGCAGAATGGGAAACTAAACTGAGCGATGTCTTTTCTTGCTTAATGGTAGTTATGTCCTCAACTATCACTTTTATTCAGAACTTTAAAAAAAATCGGGGAAGGGGGTTTGCTGGAACCTAAGTCCAAGGCTTGGTGCATGCTAACTAAGCACGTTTTTCCACTGAGCTACACTGAGTTCCTTAGAACTTTTCAAATATGTGCATGATCAGATGGATCTTAATACATTTCTAACGTTTATTGATAGGAATATTTTGTATTCAAGTAAAGATTATTTGTATGGGGACTCTTTTCAAGAATTTTAAGTCCAGATACTTAAAATTTGGTTAGATAAGTCATTGTGAGAACCCCAGAACCCTTTCCCAAATTAACTTTTAAGGAGAAAATAATTCATTCAAAATAAATGTATAGCTCTGTGGCACAGCATCTGCCTGGCAAGTACAAAGTACTGAGTTCGATTACGGTACAAAACAAAAACCAAAAAAACCCTCCAAAGTAAATATGTTAATTCATTCAACCAAAGCTTTAGAAGTGCCTAGTCTCTTCTTGGCACTGTGTTAGGTGCTGAAAAGCTGAAAATATGAATAGGACAGATGAGGGCCTTCCAAGGATATTACTAGAGGGAGAGATAAGCAATGAAGGTGTTTAAATGAACCGGAACAAGCTTAAACACCATGTATTGTCTGTCATTTGAGTAAGTCATAGTACAAGGAGCAAAATAAGGGATTGTAGAAGGAAATAAGAGGTTGGATCTCTTGCCAGTGGCAGAGGCCCAGGAGATGGAGGGGAAAGGCAAGTAAGAGTTAAGATATGCCATGTACAGGAACCTGACAGCCACTATGAGTGTGAATATTGTATGTCATAAATATGAACTAAGAATAATTCAAAAATGGGAAAAGAGGACTAAGAAATGGAAGGAAGAAGGAGAAGGGAACTTAAAAACAATAGTGTTATGTTCACGTTCATAACTCCCAAGATGAATGTTAACTTCATGTAGTACAAACAGGCACAAATGTAATCCAAAGATAACAACTGGAGGGGGAGAGGAAAGCCTCACTGGGGAGACGGTGGAGCTGAGACCTAAAAGGTGAGAAGGAGCTGGCTCGGACTGTTTGGGCAGGAGCACTAGAGCAGGGATGGGATGAGCATATCCAGCGAACAGAAGGGCGGCTTAAGAGTAATGAGCAAAGAGGACAGTACATGAGATGGAACCTGAGGGAGGGCCAGGGGCCAGGGTATAGGCCTTTGCATTTTTTCTGAGTGTATTGGGAAGCCAGCTAGGGTGTTTTAACAGGGAAGTGACATCTTTAGAGAATCCCTTTGATCTTGGGGGTGGTAGTACTGAGGATTGAACCTATGGCCTTCACACTGAGATAAATCTCTAACCCTTTTTTTATTTTTTGAGACAGTGTCTTACTAAAGTTATTAAACTACTCAGGCTGGGCTCTTGTATATTCCTCCTGCCTGTGTTTCCCAGGGTGCTGGGATTACAGGCTTTCACTACTAGACCCATCTTGGCCATTATTCATAATTGTGTTTATATGAGATGGAGACTGGTTGGATCCCAGTAGTCCAGAATAACTGGACTAGAGTAGCAGTGGAGAGATGGACAGAGTAGATAGAGGCTCCCAGATGGATTGGATGGATTCATGTGAGAAGTGAAAAAAGAATCAAGGAGTCCTTATTTTGAAGGTTGAGCCACTGGGTAGCTGCTCAGGTTTCCCTTGAGTGATTGTCTATGATAGGTCAGAACTGTCCTGGGCCATTGACTAAGATGGGTGCTTTACTAAGAATGGGATGTGTGTGTTGTGTGGTGTGTATGAGTTCTACTTCTGACAATTCCTTCAGCCGCTTACCTCCTTTTTGGCAGGGTTGACATCCTCAGGTAGCCCCTGATTCTGACTTTTTAACAGAACTTCCATAGAGTAATATTTTGGCTCACTGTCATCAGAATTTAGGGACAGGGTAGCATTCTTCATGTCCTAGGTAAAAGAAAAACTATTTAGCATCTTATGTAATCACAGTTCTACACTATGTGTAACTTTCAACATTTTGCCTTATGCCACTTCACCCTTTGTAATCATCTTTCAGAAGGATGGTCCCCAAAGCTGGCTGTATGTCGGTATCATTTGGGACTAATACACTTTATAGTCCTTGGGAAAGCTGATTGAGTCTGGGATGGATCTTTATAGTTGACCTGGCATACATTCTGTACTTAAGTCTAATGATGATGATGATGAGGAGGAGGAGGAGGAGGAAGAGGAGTTGGTGCTGGGAATTAAATCCAGGGCTTCATACATGATGAGCAAGTGCTCTACCACCAAGTATACTCTTACCTAAATCTCTTGAACATTTTGATCACATACCTCCTCATGGCATTTTTATTTAAGCCTTACATGTCCAACTTTTAAATGTCTTCAAATTGAACCCATTTTTTTCTTAAGTATCATTTAAAAACAACTGCATGAACTTTAGCCTTGGACTCTAACTTTGTAGACCACAAAGGATAACATTGCCAGGTGATGCAACATCTGGTGCTGTACACTAATCCTGACATGAATGAGCTATTGGGTTCTTGGCTGAAGGTCCACTTCTTTTAGCTGTTGAGACAGGGGTACATGCCTTAAGTTTGTGTGGACTTTGCTGTCAGAAAAATGATAAAAAAAATTATTTGTGTTAGAAACTTTTTTTCTGAAAAATACTGCCAAAAGTCTGTCTCTCTGTTTCTTTCTCTCTCTCAATCTTGAATGGCAGAGTGGGATAATAAAGTTTTATTTTTGTTTCTTTTTTAGATAGTCTGTTCTAAATTCTGGAAGGCAGTAAAATAAGGAACTTGGCTCTGCTGATTTTTAAAAAAATGTTGGGCCAGGTGCTGCCTGTAATCCCAAGATTTGAGATGCTGAGGCAAGAACATGGTGAATTTAAGGCCAGCCTGGACTACATAATGAGATTTCATCTAGAAAACAAACCAAAACAAAGGAGTGGTTTAGTGGTAAAGCCCTTGTGTAGCATGCATGACATCCTGGGTTCAGGCTCCACTACTGTGATAAATGAACAAACGACTTTATATCAAAATAGACAACTCCAAGAGTCCTGAGAAGGACTTGAGAGGCTTTTGCCTATGTGGCATCTGTAGCATTTGCTGTTTCTCTTTGGCCTTGAGGCTTCTGTAAGAGCAAAGCCCACTTACGGCAGTGATTTGTATGATAGCAGCAGCGTCTCCCAGCTCTTCCTTTAACTGTTCGTATGATTTTCCTGCCTAAGAGAGAGAAATCACAGGTTGATAGGGAAGTGCCATCTTTAACCTGGTGTGTTTTTTGTTGTTGTTGTTTTGGTTTTTGGTGCCAGGAATCAAACTCAGGACCTTGCACTTGCCAAGCAGGTGCTTGTGCCACTGAGCTATATCTGCACTCCTTAAGCTTGGTCTGTATTTTCAAGGAAAGCAAAAAAGCCAGAGAATCAGAAGGCATTTTGAAGATAAGTGTAATATAAAAATTCCTCCCTCTAGGTCTATGTAGGTTCTTAAACATGGTATTCATTTTTTGATCTTACCCTTTGAAACCTCCCTATAAGATCTAAGACAGAGCAGCTGAATATGAGAAAACCTGGCTTCCTTCTACTAGATTACTGTGACTTTGGACAAATAACTTGTCCTCCTACCTTCATCATTTATAAAATGGGAAGCAAAATACCTGCATTGACTATCAGGGTAGTTATAAAAATCAGAAAGCTGATGATATGCATGGGTACATGTTATAAACCAGTGATGGGGAACCTATCAGAGACCAAGTGCCCAAACTACAACTCAAAATCCACTTATTTATTGCAGTGTCAATACTGCAATTAAACCTGAATACTGACTTTTTAGTTTAGAAAAAACAAAAACAAACTCATACCTTAACATCTTTTGTCTTAAAAACAACACACGTGCCATAGGTTCACCTCTACTCTTATAAACTATTATTTCACACTGCTCACTGCTTAGACAACTGTAACTGGACTTACTGCAATGGGTAAGAAAGTAGAGAAGGAAAGTGAAAAGCAGGAAGTGGAACGGGAATGGGGAAGAGGAGGTTTTACTAGGCCCTTTACCCCACCTGCCCCAACTTCTTAATTCTGTGCTCCCTGGCAAAAACCTCTTTCCCCGTCTCTGTTCTTACACTCCAAATGTGAGGGTCCCAGGCCAGGAACCAGCCAGTGAAGGTGGGAGGCTCAAACCCCTGTTTGATGATCAGGATGGGCGTAGCAGGGTCTCGGCCACTGGGGTGAGTTTGCAGGTATTCCTGTGCAGTAGCAAGGGCCCTCTCCTTCTCTGTGGCATTGGCCTCAGCTCCAGTCCACAAGAACACCTGGTGTGCGGATTTAATATTTGTTAATGTGTTTGTACCAAGGACCAAGTACTAGATCAGTAACACTGCTCGTCTTTTGCCCTTGGCAATTCACAGCCACAGAAAATGTTCTCAACCTCACTTGCTGAGTGGGGAGAAAGATTGAACCAGCTTGATACTGGTGATTTGAATTGCCAGATATATCTCCCAAATCTACATCTCTATACCTGAGTGCTCGATGAACTTTAGTTCCGGAACCTAACATCTTGGGGAGCCACAGCAGCTCTTCCTGGACCCCCATCCTTCTGTGCTCACAGGAGAGACCTATCTAAAGCACAGTGTGACCAACTCACTCATAAACTACTTGATGTGGGAAGTCAGGCCTATACTTACTTCAGCTTCACCTCTACCAGGCTTCCTGACTCTATCCTCTGTCCTGATTATATTTCCTATCTTGATCTTATATGTGGTATTTCCTTTGCCCAGAAGGTCTTCTGCATTTTCTTTGCCAGTTAAAGCCCACAAATCCTTTGAGAGTGAGCCTGGAAGACTTCTTAGAGCCCCTAAACTGTGTTGAATGCATTAATTTGTGCTCCTGTGGCCCTTAGATGTATTGTTGTAGTGCAATGACATTTCTCTGGTCACTCGCAGAAGCCTGTAGATTCTGAGAGCAGGAACCCTTCACCTTGGTGACACCCGCCTGCTCAGCATGTTTTTCAAGCTGAAGAAAATAGCATGTAGAAGAGGTTGCCTTGAAGGTATCTTGTTTACACCCCTTCTGCCCCTAAAGGGCTCATATTCTCTGGATTTGGTACCTGTTGCTACTGATTCTAAGATAAAGAAGGGCAGGATGATAAGATGGCCTGACTTTCTCAAAGCAAGCTGGGAATGCTCCCAAGGTGATGGATTTTTTTTTCTTTTGTCTTTTTCCTTTTTATTGGTACCAGGGATTGAACTCACAACTGCCTGCTTGCAAGGAAGGCAGGTGCTTATGCCGCTGAGCTAAATCCCCAGCCCCAAGGTGATGGGTTTTAAACATCATTCTTTTCTGTGTCCTTGGAAAAAGTAAGCTGTTCTCTTGGTCTTCACTGACAAGTGTTTTACTTCAGAATTTCTCAGGCTTCTTTGGGCTTATTCTGTGTGGGGATACTACACAAAGCAGTGTAAACAATGGGAATTTTGGCCATTTGTTCAGAGTTCTTTTACAGTATCTTACCTGGTCCCAGGTATCCAGGAGCATCACATCACTTGGGTTCAGGTCATCCTGAGTAAAGTCTGTGATCTCAGTGACAATGAAGCAGCCGGTCTTATTGGAGCATTCAAAGAGACGGGACTGGACATCTAGGATTTCCTGCTGTAGTCTACAAGACAGTTCATTTAGAGGTTTGGAGTCCCACAGAAATCATGTTTTTAATGCTGAAAAAGATCTTAAAGTTCATGCAGTTTGTAGTAGCTAAATCTTAGAATCATCCTGAAGGCCCTGACTCATGAATGGATAAAGAAGATGTGGTTTTCTTATACAATGGAGTGCTGCTATGCCATAAAGAAGGATAAGCATGAGACATTCCTAACTAAATGGATGCACCCGAGGCCATACTGTTAAATGAAATAAATTAGACACACATGCATTGTTTCTTGGGCATGAGAAACTGAAAGTGTAAATAAGGACAAAAATGTGTAGTGGATATTGGGAAATGGAAATATAATGTTTAAATGAGAAGAGGAACAAGAAAGGAGGGAAGGAGAAAGAAGGAGCAAGGAAAGGGGCTGGGGATTTAGCTCAGTGGCATAAGCGCCTGCCTTGCAAGTGTGCAGTCGTGAGTTTGATGCCTGGTACCAATAAAAACGAAAATGACAAAAAATAAAAAAATAAAAAAGAGGAGCAAGGAAAAATGGAAACAAAGCTTTTGTAAATGTGGAGGGAAGGGGGGTTGAAGAGAGAAGAGGAGAATGGGGAAAAAAGCAGCAAGATATATCATTTTTTGATACAAATTCCTTATGATGAGTGTGATCATTATGTACATCTAAAATGCACCAGTAAAATAAAAAAAATTTTTTGAGACAGGGTCTTGCTATGCAGTTCAGGCTGGCCTTGAGCTCACTTCGTAGCCCAGGCTGGTCTCAAACTTGCAGTGATCCTCCTGCCTCAGCCTCCCGAGTGCTGGGATTTAAAATTAAAATTTTAAAAAGGCAAAACAAAACAGAATGGATGTTTGTGCAGCCTAGAGGGAGTCCAGGAAAGAGGAGGCTGTTTCTATACCTTTTATCATTGGCATAGGGAGCTTTTCCTCCCAGCAGGTCCCAGAACTCAGCCGACTCCTGACCTTCGGCCACAGTTTCCTCGGTGCCTCCACAGAGCTGTGTGGCCAGCTCCTTGGCCATGGACCGCTCATCCCCACTGGACCCCTGAGAGTGGGACAAGGAGAGCACAGACACAAGTCACAGCGTGCACTAAGGTGGAGAAGGCAGCTCCTGAAACGCCCGCCGGCTGTGGTCTGGGTCTGCTGCTGTGCCGCAGCGCCTCAGGACTCAGGACAGGGCGATGGGCTTTTCCTAGGGCTGGGAGTAAAAGGAAGACAGACTGAATAGACTCCAGAATCCCACTGAATGCTGATGAGTCACCTTTGCTTCAGCTTCAACTGGAATTTTAGTACCTATTTTTGATTATTTTCTTTTTAGGGAAAAAATTTAAATTATGTAAATATATGACTGTCTTTGTCACACAGTTCCATGAAGCTTGACAGACACGTGGAATCGTGTTAGCACAGTGACAAAACAAAACTGTTTCCTCAGTCTTTGCCAAAATTTCCTGGGACTACTCCTTTAGCATCAAACCCTCCCCAAATTCTTAATCACTGGGAACCACTCATCTGTTCTCCATCACTATAGTTTCACCTTTTCCGGAGTGCCATAATATTAGCCTTTGAGTATTACTTCTGTCACTTAGGATGAACTGGAGATTCACTCATCATGCTTATCAGTTGTTAATTCTTTTGTGTTGCTAAATAATATTTCAATGTATGACATACCACTATCTGTTTATCTGTTTTCCAATTGGATTCTTCTTTCTTTCTTTTCTTTCTTGGTACCGGAATCAGATGACCTCATGCTTGCCAGGCAGGTACTATGCCGCTAAGCTATGTCCCTGGCCCTGGATTGTTTCTAATTCTAGGTGATTATCAGTAAACGTGCTATATACATTTATATACAGTTTTTTTTGTGTGTGTCTTTTTCATTTTTATCGGTACCAGGGATCGAACTCATGACTGCCTGCTTGCAAGGCAGGTGCTTATGCCGCTGAGCTAAATCCCTAGCCCCTATATACAGTTTTTTGTTTGAAGCTTGTTTTCTAAAATTTTAGTTGAGTAAATTCTCAAAGGAGCAAGCTGGTTGGATCATGTTATAAATATCTGCTTAACTTTGTAAGAAACTGCCAAACTGTTCTCTAAAATCTGTACCACTTTGCAGTCTCACCAGCCATGCCTGGGTGTTCCTATTGCTTTGTATCCTGGCTCTTACACTGTTGGCATTTTTGCCATCCTAATAGATGTGTAGTGGTATCTCACTGTGGTTTTGATTTGTATCTCCCTAATGATTAATGATGTTAAGCATCTTTTGCTAGTCAGTTGCTCCCCCGCAGCCCCACACACCCTAAGTTGGGGTCTCAAACTATGTTGTCCAGCTTGGCAACTAGTAGTCCCCATTCCTCAGCCTCCCAGGAACAGCACCTAGGACTATAGGCACATGCCACTATGCCTGGCTTCCATTTTCTTTTGTAAAGCAGTTTTAGTGCTTTTAAAGGAACTAACAAATCCACATCATTGTGTGTGTGTGTGTTTTAATCCTGTATTAGCACTTGTCCTGTTATGAACCTCCAAGCTCACATGGGAGGATGGACTTATGTAGCCCTCATGAGTGTAGAAATGTATGGGATGTCTCCTGGGTATAAACAGGGATGTCAGTGAGTTTCTAATGGAGCCCAGATTGTGGATAATGTTGGTACTTCCTTTGAAAGTTCTATAGGAAAAAGGCTCTTCTCTTTGAGAACAGCACTAGTCTGTTCTTGATCCTGCTGACCAGGTACAAAGATGGGGGGTGAGAGGGGAAAGGAGTGGGTTCCAGGGGGGCTCAACTGACCCCCAGGCCAGCCCTCCTACCTTGCCATACCACAGGTAGTACTCTGCCTGGGTTTGAAGCAGGAAGACATCATTGGAATTTAAGGAGGAGGCAAAGGCTGAAACTTCCACTGCTTTGGTGTTAAATTTGTCATTTCCTTGAATCTGGAAGAGTCTTACTGGAGGGTCAGGCTCAGAATTTCCTTTTCTAGATGTCCCACCCTAGAGAAAAGGAGAAAAACAGAGACCAGAGATCTATAGAGCACCATGTGAGCACTAGGCTGTCTGCTACAGAGATGTAGATGAATCTGGACACCATCTCTGCCCTTCAGGAGCGTCTACGTTAACTGGAAAGGATCGGGGTGAGCTGGGGTATTGACACCAGTAATGGTTCCTACAATCCTCCCCTCCCCTTCTTTCCTTCCATCCTTTCTTCCTTCCTTCCTTCCTTTCTTCCTTCCTTCTAGATCACACTAAACATTCCAGTAATCCAGGTTAGTAATCCTCCAGCCTTAGCCTCCCAAGTGCTGGGATTACAGATTTGCTATCTTATCAAGTGATAGCAGCTTTCATTCTGAGAACTTTATTGTATTCAGGCTCTGTGACTGGTGTCTTACATAGGTGCATTAGTTCACTGATGAGCTCAGAGCTAAGTATAATGTTGGGAGGTAGAGCCTGCTCCAAGGAGGTGGCTCATTGGAGGCATGACCTTGAAGGGTCTATCTCCTTCACTCCTTTTTGGTCTCTCTCTGCTTCCTGTTGCCATGCCATGGACTATTTCTCCTCTGCTATGCCCCTCTGCCATGCTGCCCTGCCTTGGGGACAGCAGACTATGGGTTGAAATCTCTACAAATCATGAACCAAAATAAACCTTTTCTTCTGAGAGCTGTGGGTGTCCAGTATTGTGTCTCAAGGATAAAAAAGTAGCTAAGACATATAGCTTGAGTTTAAGGGGTACATCAGAGGGTGGGTTAAGTATGACACTTGTGGAGGTCTAGCAAGGAGACCCACCTGACTGGAAGCATGCGCATGCCTGCAGTGGAGGGTATTGCCCTGTACAGGGGCAACTTATGGAAGCCCTTGAATATGAATTAGAATGCTTTCAACTTGAATCCCAGGTAATTGGGATTTACTTGAGTGTCTTACATTCACCCCTTACTGTCTGTATCTAAGTCAAACTTAACTTCCTACCCTACACCATCTCATGCCTCCTCATTTCTTGGGTTTTATGATTTCGAGCTTTGTGTTCATGGTGCAATTTTACCTCATAAATAACAAGCTTTCCTTGGAAGATGGCCATGAAGTGGCGTGGCTCCTTCCCCATGCTGACCCGAACCTGCACCAGGGCTCCATCAAACTGCCGATCCAGCTCTACTGCCTGGTATGCTGAGGCTGCTAGCTCGTCCTGTGAGGCATGCCGGCCCTGCAGAGGTGAGTGGGGTGTGGTGTTCTCATCAGCTGGGCAGCCTAGGGAATATTCGGTCCAAAGCTGAGACCCTGCACCAGGCCTACCTGCCAGATGTATAAGATGTAATGCGGCCTCCCATTCACCTCATATGTATAGTGCACCAAATAGCAGTCTCCTCCATAGAAGAATCCATACCACTGGTGCTCCACGGGCATCAGCTCAAGGTTCTCAATTCGCCAGACCTGGGCACAAGAGACACAGTTCCCCAGAGATGGGTGTCCTGTTCAGAGAGCACTGCTGAAGGGAAGTTGACCATATTTAATAGAGAACCAGATGGGCGAGGTGCTAACATTCACTCCGAGGACCCCACCATATTCTGTTCTTCTCTGCCAGTGCTCAGGGCTCATCATATTTGCATGATTTGAATCCTGAGACTGTGTCGTCCCTGTCAGGTGCATCCCGGTGTTACCAGCTGGTTCTCTGCAGGCTGACTGATGATTTGAATATATCTGCCAGGTGAGTGATTGATAGCACATGTGGGGAGGTGACTTTTACTTCCCTGAAGCATTGTGGGGACACCCTATCTGCTCAGAAGCCTCTATGAGAATAGAGGAAAAGAAGCAAAGCAGACAGACTGACCTGCCCTCCAGTATAGCAGGGAGAGCCCAGAGGGCCAAGGCTGCTCTCGCTGAGCTCACCTCAACTTTCCCGCTGCCATCGTCTACCATTCTCTCCTGGGCAGCTACCTCTGGCTTGGTGTGTAGCACGGTCACATCAAACTTGTCCTGGAAAATCTTAGCTGAGGAGAAGGGGTTGGGAAAATCCAAGTAAGCAAGAAACACCCACGCCTGTCTTCTTAAGCTGGCAGTAAGAGGGCACTCTAGGGAGAATCTCACCAATTTTACCAATGTTGAATGTTTTCCCCAGGCCCGTGGTCTGGTCCTTCACTGACCACTTCTGGAACAGCTGCTTGAACATGGCTGACTCAGCTCCGTCATTGACAGTCTCCACGTTGGTGCTGCTGGGATAGCCCTTCATCTTGATGAAGCTCTGTACCCCAACACATACAAAGGCAGGTAAGGCAGGTCAGTCAGAGGCTACACTGAGTTCTTCGCTTCAGGTAATTCACCCTTTTGAAATCAGTTGGAGGATTCTTCTCTTCTGGGAGTCACAATCAAGTTCTAATTCACTTCCATTTGACTCCCAAGTTACCTGTCTCAAAAAAGTAACTGAGTGGAACATTTTGACTTCTCTTCATTAGCCTGTTGTGATTAGGTAATTACTGTTTTTGCAAGACTTAAACTGTAACTCTACTGACTTTCTGTCACAATCACTTGCTCATTTATTGCTTTGAACATGCCCCTTGCTTGGGTCATCTGCTGTGTCTGCACAAATATCATAAGCTCTTTGAGGACAGGACCATTAACCTCGATGTAACATTCCTTCATGGTAATAGTCTCCTATTACAGATCAGGTGCTGTGTGCCGAGTACTATTCTGAGTGCTTTATAAGTGGTACTTAATCCTCACAACTGCCCCGGAAGATAGGTATTAACCTTTTTTTTTTTTTTGTCTTTTTCCCTTTTTATCGGTACCAGGGATCAAACTCACGACTGCCTACTTGCAAGGCAGGCGCTTATGCCGCTGAGCTAAATGGTATTAACCTTGTGGTAGGTATAAGGAAACTGAGGCTTAATGGTGTTCAGTAGTCTTCCCCAGAACACTTGGATGAAAAATGATATAACTGGACCCTTTTCTCCAATAAATTTTCTCACTCTTAAAAAAAAAGGATATAACTGAATTTGAAGCCCAATTTGTATGTGTCTGACTTTGAAGGCTATGCACTAGCCATGATGTTCTATGCTCAAGTGCTTAGGATGGCCCCTCTGCGCATGTCTGTAATGACACTGGCAGAATTACAGCACATTTGTAGCTCCTACCAGGGCTTTTGACATGGCCGCCTGTTTCTCAACCTTTGTGGCTCCTTTTCCTTTCCACACATATATCTTGGCTCCACCTTGGTCCAGGATGTAGCAGTCCTGAAATAGTCAGAGATAAATGTGGTTATGGTTGCTCCAGACCAAAAGGAAGGATTTGCCCAAGGTCTGCTTCTGATACCAGGTCTGGATACCCCAAGATAGTCCCTTCAAGCTCTACTTACATCATGGTTCAGTAAGTCCTGGACCAGAGGCCTCGTGGATACCTCTGTGACTGCCAGCTGCCCGTCTGAGTCCGAGACACTGGAGAAGGGGAGAGGTTAGGTCATACCTTCTCTTTTATAAAGCATCTTGCAGTCACCTTGATGTTTTAGTGTGGAGTTTCTGGTCAGGGTTTGACTTCTTATGAGACACACATGGCTTGTACACAGACAGGAATGTATAGATTTTGTTTTGTGGAAGAGACTTCTGTATCTCTCTATTCCAAACTGAATCCCTTCCACCTCCCTGGGCCTATATGGACTATAGTACAGGGAAGGTCTCTAGAAGAGTTCAGGATAATTGCTACAAACAGAACACAGCTGACTCTGGTGGGGAGAGGGGGTCTCTGGACTCCTTCCAGGAGCTGAATTTTTTTCTCAAATCCATTTTATTTCAAGGAAAAAAAAGAAAGAAGAAGAAGAAGAAGAAGGAGGAGGAGGAGGAGGAGGAGGAGGAGGAGGAGGAGGAGGAGGAGGAGAAGAAGAAGAAGAAGAAGAAGAAGAAGAAGAAGAAGAAGAAGAAGAAGAAGAAGAAGAAGAAGAAGAAGAAGAAGAAAAAGAAACTAAAGCTAAATTTCAAAACCCATCCATTGGGGACAACAATGGCACATACATCGTGCACTGTCATCCCTGAATCGTTCACCCAGAGCACAGTATATTTGCATTCATTGTCTGAACAACACCAGCACAAATCTTTCTCTTCAGTGAGCTCAGAGAAATCAGTAGTATAACTATCTTAACTGATTTTTATATACATACACATATACATATATTGTTTCTTTCCAGGAGCTGAGTTTGAAAAGGGCCAAGTAGACAGGCACAGTAGAGCATGCCTATAATCTTGTGACTCTGGGAGGCTGAGGCAGGAAGATTACAAGTTCAAACCCAGGTCAGGCATCTAAGTGAGACTATGTCTCAAAATAAAACATTAGAAAAGGGGTTGGAGGGGATGGGGATTTAGCTCAGCGGCATAAGCACCTGCCTTGCAAGCAGGCAGTCCTGAGTTCGATCCCTGGTACCAATAAAAAGGAAAAAGACAAAAAAAAAAAATAAATAAATAAAAGGGGTTGGCAATACAGCTCAATATGAAGGCTATGGAAACACACACACACACACACACACACACACACACACACACACACACAGAATACTACCAGACTGCTGCACCCAAACGAAGGAGCCCAACTAAATGCCTGGTTTTCTAGGGAACATTTTCCCTCCACCAACTTCCAACCAGCAGCCAAGTTGTGCTACTCACTGATACAACGTGATATTTGACTTCTGCTGCTGATCTATGATTTCATCAGGTACTGCAGGCTTGATAATAGAGCGTCGGCCAAGGGTGTCCTGAAGGACCGTCATCAGCTCCGGGCTGGCTGCCTCCTTGTCCCCCTCAATCACTCCTATTTCAGCACGGCCCCCTCGCTCTCTGTCTCGAATATCCTTTGCCAGAAGCATAGCCTGTCAATGAAGCCCAAGAAAGCATTTGGCTCATCTGGACCCCTTTCTGCTTGATGGCTCTATTGGGTAGAATACTGGAACCCAGGCACAGAGTTATTCTGATGCTGAGGCACCCTGAGGTGAGTCTTGTACTTGATATGTCGGCTTACTAGCCATGGTTATGCATGCCTGTAATCCCAGCACTTGGCAGTCTGAGGCAAGTGGATCTCTGCAAGTTTGAGGCTAGCTTGAACTACACAGTGAGCCCCTGTCTCAAAAAACAAAGCAGAGCTGGGTGTGTTAGGGGGCATACCTGTAATCTCAGGAATTGAGAAGCTGAGGCTGGAGGATCACTTTGAGTTCAAGGCCAGCCTGGACTACACAGTAAGACTCTGACTCAAACCGAACTGAACCAAACCAAACCGAACCAAACCAAACCTAACCAAACCAAACCAAACCAAACCAAACCAAACCAACAAACAAAAAACACGGACTGCTCAGAAGCCAGGATCCACTATGAATCTTGGGGATCATCATAGAAAGAAAGGGGAAAAGAAACCAGAGTTTAGCCCCAGGATGAGGCCTGATGCTGAGGACAGAGCTTTAAGCAAGAGCCATACCTTCAGGCGCTCCCCACTGTTGCTTTCTGGGCCATTCCACTGGATGATGACTTTCCCAAGGTCTAGCAAAAAGACATCCCCTCGGTTAAAACTGTCCCAGCTCACTTCCACCTGCAAATGAGAGGTAAACATACTTAGAAAGATTCTTAGGTACTAGGTGGAGAAGCCTGGGCCCAGGACAGCCAATAGAACTTACTTCAGTGGCCCTGATGTTTCTCTTCCCTTTCACATGTAACAGCCGCTTCACATCGTAGGTGTTGGTCTCCACATGCTTCATCCCAGAGGCCACACCCCCTTTTTTATAGCTGAGGAAACATCCATTATTTAGGGAGCATCTGCTCTGTGCTAGGTTCAGGGAGACTGCTGTGAATTATGTTGCAGTAGCCTCCGCCCAGGAGGGAGATGACAAACCCTCAACCCTCGAGGTAACTGTTGCCCCACAAGTGATTCATACTTTGCAACACAGAAGGGCTTGTTCTGTTCTAGAAGCTGTCTAAATATCAGTGTGCAGTGAGAGAGAGCCATAAGTCAGGCAGAGGCAGAAACATTAATGGATCCCTTGGCCTTGAGACCACCTACCCCAGCAGTCCCCGATCCTGCCTCTGCACTCATGCTGACCTTGCTCCAACCCAGGTGCCCCATACTCCAAGGAATGCAGCCAGCACCCCTGCAGCAGAGAGGCATATCTTAGGCTTCCTGCAGGTGGTACCCTGTGCCTGGCAGGTCCTCAGTGAAGACTTCCAACCTGCAAGGAGCTGGCCTTGACTCAGGCTCAGAGTTCTGGAGCTCACTGGAATTCCCCTTTCTGTTTTATTCTCAAGTGTAAAGTTTTACGTGAACTCCTCAGTTCCTGGAATATTATCATCCCTGGTCTCATAATCCCCTCCTGTGTGGAGTTCTGTGCATTCCCTTTGATCTGTGTACCTCCTCCCATTCCTCTTCCCATCTCAGGCATCCATTCTACAAATTTAGCAGTTCCCTTTTATTTTTATTCTAATAAAATATGTCCTGCTGCTTTTATGCTTTATATTTATAAAACAGAGGTTGATATTCATGTTTCTTGCTCTGCTCACTGGGCACCATGTCGTTGTGTCCCAGTGTCAGGTGTGCGTCTAGTCTGGTGCTTCTGGAATCCACGCCCAGGGTGATCCTGGTGATGACATCGATGTTGCCCACATCTTTCTATCACCATTAATCATTCTACTGTATTCTGGTTTGTGTGTTCCTGTAGACCTGGGAATGTGAGAATTCTTTGAGTTACACACCTATAAGTGGGATTTGTTTTAGTGGCACTGACACTTTTCAGACTGAAGTGCCAGGCCACACTCCCACCAACAGTATATCCTTCTCCACTGCCTGACAAGCAGTTGGCATCGCCCCACTCTAATCTGTGCTATTCTGATAGACTCAAGTGAAAGCTTTGTTTTGCTTTGCATTTCCTGGGTTACTTTCTTTCTACATGTACTGGGTTTCCTCTTCTGTAGACTTCTGTTTCTGTCTGCTCTGTGTGTCAGTACTACTCACATGATGCCCTGCTTGAAGTAGCCACGGAAGGTGTCAGACTCATGGTACTGGACCTCTCGGTGCTGCACAGGGCTGCCTCCCAGGTAGTCATCTAGCTGTATGGTGTAGATGGCTGCACAGCTCTGCTCATCCTGAGAGGAGTCCTTCCCAATCCAGAAGTGGATGTTCTGGGAGAGGAGGTTGCCCACTTTCCGAGTCTAAGGTATAGCCAGAACGACCAGGTCAGGGACCAGCTCACCTTCTCTTTGCTGCTGGGCCCTCTGGCATGAGGAAGATGCAGTATACAGTAGCCTGAGTCCTGCCTTGGTAGGGTCAGAGCCCTTGTGTGTCCCTGGACTGGGGAATAGAACTGCCTTGTCCCCTGTGTAGATCTGTTATTGTGACTCAAGCTTTGGCAGCTTGAATTCCTTTCCACACTTGAGAAAATTTACAGCTTGTTATTCCTTAAAAAAAAAAAAAAAAAAAAAAAAAAAAAAGAATAGAGACCGCAGGGAACCTTTTATCAAATAGACTATGGACTCGCCCTGCAGGTCTCAGCTGTACACCTGGTCATGAGCAGCTGGTGAGTATGTCTGTGTGTGGGTCTGTCGGTGCTGTTCGTGGGAGAAATTGTTTCCTCCACTAGAATGAACACTTTGATGTTACAGGCAGGCCTTATATTTGACCTTCCTTAACCCCTCTTAAGTGTGGTACTTGGGCCTGGGAGAGAGAAGTGGTACATGTGGGCACTATGCTGAGGGTCAGGCTGAGGGCCCCGTGCCTGCCATCTGATGTCACATGGAAAGCTCAGGACTAGCAGTAACCTTTCAGTCAGACTAGAGGCACACTCCACCCCGTACTGGGCATGAACTGTGACTGACACCAGGAACCCGCATTCTTCCCTTACCAGCAGATCACTCAGCAGAGCCCAGGAATTGGCTCTGCGGGGAAAAGCCCGCAGGAAAGGGGAGGGTGGTGCTCACCGAGAGGACAATGTAGCAGTCGCCCTCGTAGAAGTTGCCATGGGCACTCAGAGGCACCAGTGCCAGCTCCATTTTCTGGAAGGACAAGGGACATACAAAGGCAGCATTCCCTCTCTTCCACACAACCTCCCTCAACCCTGTCACTGGCCTAAGTGGTGGGAGAGAAGGGAGATGTCCCCAGAAAAGGGTTCATATGGCTGGGGGGGGTGGGTTAGCTCAGCGGCATAAGTGCCTGCTTGGCAAACACGAAGTCATGAGTTCGATCCCCAGTATCAAAAAACAAAACAAAACAAAACAAAGATTCATATGGCTGCTGTTCTGGCTTCTATGAGTGCTGCCTACAAAACCCCAGATCCAAATCTAGGTCCCATCCTGATTTTCCTTTCCCTGCTCGGCCTCATCTCACCATACTGTGTGGAGGTGCCCCTGCAGCCCTTTGCAGGGACAGGAGGAAGATGTGAACTGTCCAATACCCCACCTCCAACCCCAGCAGCCAGGCCACCAATGCTCATCCACTCTGACCACCCACGCTGGCCAGGCCTGCTCTGCCGGGAGCATGGAGGTGGGGAAGCTGATGGCCTAGAGTGCCTGCAGGTGCCAGACTCCATGCTGTGTGTCCTACTTTTGGAGTCGGCTGGGGCTCTCAGTTGTCACTGTGTGTACTGCTTGTCCTGGAAGGACCATCCATACAGCCTCAGATATGTTTTCATCACTCTCTCCAAGTGAGGTGAACCTGCAGGCATACTGTGTGTTCTATGTAAAGCCTGTGTGCTGAATGTAAAAAGATTAAATATACTACAATTTCTGTAACTCCACCTTAGGATTCATTTTTAAGTAAAGTGGGACACTTAAAATGATGGAAGTGGTATGGGTCTCTCCAAGCTCTGAGAGCCTGGCTGAAGACTGACCCACACTTCCTAATTGAGGGGAGTGAAGGGAGGTATCATTGCTGGTTTAATACAGCAGCAAAGGACTGGATTGGGAGCAGAGGGGTCCTCACATTGGGGAACTACCCAGCCCAGGACTGCAGAGTCTCTGAGGGAGCCATGCCTGGGGTGGGGTAGGAGGAGGGATGAGCCATGACCCATCTATGCTGTGTCACCATCCACCATCCACGCTTTGTAGGAGCCGGAGTCCAGTAAGACTCCATGTCTTTGATGGAGTCTCCTGGGTGAGTCCCACCCATCTTTCCAGGACATTAACTGACAGTACAGACTCAGTTAATGGCTGGATAAAGGACAAGCTGAAGTTGGGCTCAGGGCCTTGCTTTCCAGGACTACAAGTATTTCTCCTGCTTGTCACCTACCTGCTTTGAGTACCAGGGAGAGGACAAGGGGAAATGTCGACTTTGATGCTGCCTCTCACTGTTCTTAAACCACAGACTCAGGAGGGCTGGAAGGCTGTTATCTAGCAGGCACTGGCAGCCAGATTCCGCTAACAGATGCCAGTGGTCAGGAGTAGCGTTCTGGCTCACCTCGATCCTCCAGGTGATGATCCCAGGGTCGTTGCCCACAGCTCTGAAGGCACTGCTTAGAGACATGGTGCTTGTCTTCCCAGGACTGAAACATCACAGAGCAAGAGGTGATGCCTCTCATGCTGGGCATCAATCCTGTTTGCCTCCTAAGTCAGTTCCCAATCTCACTGGCCATCCTGCCATGTCCTTGTGGTATGCACATCTACACCTGGTCACCATGACCAGGGAAACAACTTGATCAAGGTCACAGTGAGCTTGGCTGACTTGGTCCCACCTGCAATTCCTGGTTCAAACCCACCACAGCCTTTGCGGTAAAAATGTTAAACCCGGGAGCAGGGCGTGGTAAAACGTTAAACCCTCTGCTCACATTGCACACATTATCTTACTTAGTTTTCAGGTGAACTTTTCTTCACCTCATGCTGTAATAAGTTGAGGCTTAGAGAGGTTAAAGAAGCTGCTCATGGGCACACAGAATGAGCTCCGCATCCGATCTTAAAGCCTGGGCTTTCAGCCACTTTGACATATTGAGACCCTTCATAGGCTTATCTAAATTCTGCAGCAAGTTGGGATAAAATCTAAGAAAAACTATTTCCAAACTGAGTAGCTTTCTACCAAGATCTCTGCTTTCAAGGTCCTCTCATGTCACCTCTTTTGACTGTTCCTTGGGATTTTATTTATTCTTTTAAGTGAACTATCCTACAGCTCTACCCACTTTGCCTCTGTTGTATGACTCACATATTCCCTGAGCTTCTCGGCTGGGCTGGGACAAAGGACTCAGGACCTCTGCAAAGGGATAGGTGTGGCCTAGGCTTGCCTGTCCCTGTCTCTCCAACACAGAAAATGTGGAGGTCTCCACTTCCTTGAGCTGAGCAAGGCAGAGTTGGGAGATGAGGAAGCAGTGAAGAGTAGTCTCAGTGGATTCTGGGCTTTCTGTAGTTAAGGTGTGGTGTGGTTTATTAGGAACCTATACATGTCTGGATCTCCTGTGTGTTTTATGTCATTTGTCTCCCTCACTAATTCCTGCTCCAGGGAGTTTTCAGTATGACAATATGCAATACAGATAAATACTAGTTTCTCCCAAGAGGTCAAGGAAAAATTATGGGATTGATGGGTTTACATAAGACTGTAAAAATGTACCAAGGGAGCGTTGTATGGATTTTTACTATTGGGAGGCATGTAGCACCTGTTAGAGGAAAATAATGCAGGGTTGGGAACGCAGCTCAGGCCATTTTCCCAGCGTACTCCAGGTCCTGGGTTCAATCCCCACCCACTTGCCCACACAAACACAAGTATATCTGACCATTTTTTCCTTGAGCCTTGATGGACGAAACCAGATTTGGAGAATATGTGCCATTATCTAGTATGGACTTTGGCAAAGAATAAAACAAAACAGAAAGAGCAAACTCCCTTTGTGTACTGCTAGGACAAGACTAAATGAGAGCAATGCGTTGGAGCAGCCAGTGTTTGAGGATTTAATTCAATAACTTACGTAGCCCCACCCTGTGCTGCTCAGAACTGCCAGGAAATGTTTGGATTTTCTCCAAACCCTAGATTTCAGACATTAAAGGCAAAAGCATAGCCCAACTAGGAAAAGGGGACTGGGCCAATTAGTTCATTCCTTGGAGACAGGAGAAGTGTCAATTTGGTAAAAGCCAAACCAACTGGTATTAATTAGGACTGAGTCTCAGAGCCCAAAATCAGTGTTTTGCTTTCCAGTACACTTCAAAATTGTGAAGGAGCTCAAAGCGCCAGGAACCTCAAATGAACAGTATGTGTTCCAAGAGGGGTCCACACTGGAACACCCAGAAAACGTAATTCCATCTCAATATCAAAATTCCCTCAAAGGTCAGTCTTTCAAGTACTAGTTTGTTAATTCAGTATCCTGAGAGGACTGCAGAGGTCCCTCGGGCTCATAACCCTCCCTCTCACACATGCCCCCGTCTCACAGAGACGGCTCCCAGAGGAAGCTAGTTTTAACTTTTACCTTGTCTTCCCCAATTTGAAAATGTGCCCAACCCCTTCAGTGGGTTAACAGTGGCCTCTATATTTCTCAACAGGAAATTTGCAAAACTGCTCACAAACACTTTGTTGAATCATTTTAAAGCCTCATCCCAGAAGACAATGCCAAAGAAATTTCCATTTCCTGCTTTTTTTCCTTTAGTAGCATTGTCACCTGAGGAACAGCCATAAACCAAAGACCTTACCTTCTGTCTTCCCAGTATTCTAGTAAGTGAACAGCAGCAGGACCGAAGAACTACCCCAAAGCAGCAGCCTCCAGGTCTGGCCGTCCCAGCCTAATGGCTGCAGACTCTGGGTTATATTTGCTTGTGTTTGCATCTTTACCGCATTTTCCTAGTCCTGGCCAATCACGGGCTTGACTTATTCAAACCAGAGGGAAAGCTAATTATTCAAAGCAGCAAAAACAAGGAGAGTGGACTTTTAAGGGCTTCTTTTAACTCTAGCTCCACGCCCTTATCTATTGATTTTTTTAAGTGTAGAGTCCATCAATAATGCAAAGAGAGACAGGGAGGATATGAAATTTGCCATATTGTAGATATGAATGCATTAAGCTGATGACAGGAGGAGAGTCTAGAGCTGCTGGCTACGTGTGCCTGGATGTCCAGGCTGCTGAAGCTGTCCTGAGAAGCTTCTGGCCAATTCTTAAGAGTGGGGGAGTCAGGAGGGTCTCCATCAGCCCAGTGCGTATCAGAATGCCTACTATGTGCAAGGAGCAATGCTGGGCTCTCAATTTCAGGACGCTGGGTTTGGAAATAACAGAAAGGCACAAAAGAGAGTTGAGACTCAGTTTTCTTAGGGCTTCTGGTTCATGCTCAGCAGTCAATAGGACACCAAGGTGCTTGTTAAGCACCTGGATAGCAATGAGTTGGCTCCAAGAAGGAGAAACTAATGGAATTCGGCTTCTGTGACCTTGACTGGGAGCCCAGTGCTTATCCCACCTGGGTGATTCTTGGGTCACTGTGACCCAAAAGCCAGCAAGGGAAGAAGTTTTGTGCCCACTACACTCCCCAATACATGACAGGACAGAAAGGCAGTCCCATACCTGGATAGGTTTTTAAAAACCCACTTTTATTAATTAATTGTAAGTAATACAAATATTCCAAAAATATAAACAGACACTTAATGGCGTCCTACATTTCAAGTTTTTGAATACAACAAATTTATCAAATCATGAAGCAAGGTAGTCAGAATCCCATAGCCCAGTCACAGTGGGAAGCAGACCTTCTCCCCTTCAAATGGCAGCTTGAAAGGGGATCACAGCAAACTTGGGGTAATTAAAAGCAAAGAAGCTCATGGGATGAAGAGGTGAGTCTGCTCCAGGAACAGTTGGCTAGACCCCTACACCTCTTCTCCTGTGGTTGAATATGCAGATATTTACTGGCATTTAAAAAAAGGAAAGACAAAACCAAGCCCCTCGTTTCAGAAAAAAGCTGGTTGAAGAACAGTAATGGTTAAGAAACCAACTGAAGACCAGAAAGGGAAAGTGGGCTTACCTTTCTCAAATACTTGGCCTGCCTGGGCCATTTGATGCAGGCCAGCTGTACATGGGGCTGCCCCACTAATAAGGACTCAGAAGTGGGGAGGGCAGCAGAATTGCATGGGTCCATTCCCCCAGAGGACCACTGCCTTGCGACTCCCATACTTTTAGTACAAAGAAACTTCTGGGCCACTGTTAACAGAAGTGAATTCATACATTTACACAAAAATCTTTGGGAGGGAGGAAACTAAAGATCCCAGGTTAACTGAAGGCAAACCCCCTCTAGCAAGGGACCCATGGGCCTATAGAGCGTCCCCTCTACAATGTGCAGAGAGGAAACCCTTATCTGACCCTTTACCAAACTGGTCCTGTGTCCAAAGCTCCCCCTATAAGAGGGACGAGAACATCAGGCTTTTGATTTAGAAGCCCAATCAGAGAGACACACTGTGTCCCTGAAGAGGCACCTTAAAGAACTGAACCTGGCAGGTGGGCAGATTCTGGCATGGCTTGAGTTGGTGCTGACACCAGGCACAGTGGCCTACTGACTCCTGAAGACCAGTCACAAGTGGGACAGGCTAGTGGCAAGCCCCAGCACAGGCTGCAGAAGTGGCTTTCTCTCAGTCTTGCCCTCCTCCATTAAGTGCCTGATTCCTCCGAGAAGCGAGCTACACAGTCACCACTTTGCCCAGCACACTGTGAAACTAGAAAGCCGACAACAAATGACGACTTCAGATTGGCGCTGGCCCACGAGGACCGCTCTTGTTTAGGTTTGGCCACGATGCTTTTCTGGGAAGGGAAAGGGGAGAGAGGAGGTGGCATTACCATGGAAAATCTGCAAGTGAGCAGGTGGGGTTCTGACAGGAGCAGGGCTTGGGAAGTGGGGGCTTCATGTGGAAGCAGCAGGGACACTTCCAACCAAGCCATCCTAGGCTTTGGTCACGGGTCACACTTCAAGCACTGGGTCAAGCCTGATGGGAATCAGGCTGGCAGAGGCTCGCTCTCTGTAAGAGAAAACATGAAAGAGGGCAAAAAGGGTTCTTGGAACTCAATCAGCTCAGAGCCTCTTATTGCTTAGTCAGAAAAGGGTGGCCAGGTCTAGTGACAGAAGACTTGGCTGAGGCTAATCCCCTCAGAGCAGGGGTTGGGAAAGACGCCCCTCCCTCCTGTAATAAAATGGCAGTAGGCCAGGACCTGGGTCTCAAGCCGCAGCTGTCCTTAGCTTCTGAGTGCCCCCTTTCCGTGAAGAGATGGCCTTCTGGCTAGCACATGGAGCCCTCTCTGCCTTTACCTGAGGTGGGACCCCACAGGCACAGGGAATTATCCTGGGGAATGACTAGAGGAGGGCTGGGTGCTCTGTTCCACTTCTGTGACAATGAAGAGAAAGACAAGGCCACCCGCACTGGGACAAAGAGGGAAGGTGACACCACAAAAGATCCAGCTACCCAGCTACCACTCAGGATACTCAGCTGCTGCTCCACCACCTGGTTTCCCAAACTGGTTAGTTTCTGAGGCTGGATCTAGCGTGTAGAAACTGAAAAGGTCAATAGGATGAGTCCTGAGTGGGCAGTGTACCCTCACCAGAAGCAATTCACAAATGCTTTACCGTATCGCCTCCAGGGAACACAGAGATGGGGAGAAGGGAGGGAGGGAAGCAAGGACCCCACCCAGCCCCAGAGGAGGCCTTAAGGCAGTGATGCAGAGGTAGAGTCCCCCTTGTGGGGGCCCCTTTGTGCTCCCAATTACAGCAGCACTTCTTCCTCTGTTTTCCATCCCAGGGGAAACTTCTGTTTTGTGACTATTTTTTAAAACATTCACTATTAATAATCTTTGAAAGCAAGAGACACCCAGAGTGCAGGTCCGTGAGGGGTTCATTCTTGTTATGGGGCAGGGAAGGTTGGCAAACCAAATGTTAAGAATACCTGTCCCCCTCCATTCTGGCAAAGCAGGAGTTCTGAGCCTTTGAGAGGAACAGTGACAGCCAGGAAGGATAAAAACAGGAACACACAGACTTCAGCATAGAGCAGACACCCAGGAAGACACAGTAAGAAAGAACTCTGCCCAAGCAATGGGAGAGGCTGGGGTAGCTTAGACAGCCTTTCCCAACCTTTGGAACAAAAGTTCCTGTGCCAGCACCAGCACCAGCGGAGAATCCCTGAAGAGCAGACTTACGGAAAGAAGCTGATCTACAAGGCCAGAGATCACACACTCACACTTTGGCGATTTAACTCTTCCCTGCACCCCAGCACCTCCCACATTCATCGCAGGCCCAGAATCACAGCTTTGCCAGAAACAAGTCAGGCCCAATGCTCCATGTTTGGAAAGGGAATTTCAGTAGAGTCAGAAGAACGGAAATCTGTTATCTGTCCTCTTCCAGGGGAGGCAGCAGGCCTCCTTCCCCACAGGGTCAGGAGTATGGCTAGGTGGTGAGGAAGGTAACTCAGTGCCCAAACCTTGGGAAGACACAGGGCCCCACGGCAGGCACTCGGCTGGAGGCAAGTGCAACCCCTGGGCCACAGGACCTGATAGTCACGGGGTTACTGGTTCTGGAAAACAAGTCCTCATCTTCTCAGAAATGGCATCTTTTTATCTGCAGCAGCCGGGCCGGAGAGTTTTTAGAAAGGTGTGCACCTGGGGCACCAAGGCAGTCTCTGACCCTTCCTTTCCCCTTTCCATAGGCCTTCCAACCCTAAGGAAAGGCCATGGTTTGGCAAAAAGCCTGCCAATAATAGTCCTATTCCTGTAAAGCTCAGTGGCTCATAGGGTGGCAGTAGAGGAGATGAACCAACTTGGGAAAAAGCCTCAATCTTTTAGCTTCTTCCCTGTTGAAATACTGAATTCCCTGGATCGGTCTCTGGTCTCTCTCTCTCTCTCTCACACACACACACACTCTCTCTCTCTCTCTATCTTGGGAACCTGGCTTGGAACAGGCATCTCTGGATATTATTGGTCTGACCCACCCAGCTGGCATCTAACCTGCCCCACAGCTCTTTCCAATCACATCTATTTCCAGGCCCCATCTGCTGAGCTGCTCCAGCTTCACTCCGTCCGTCAGGTTGATCAAAAAGGCACAGTGTAGCAAAGTCCCCTGCTGGGGTCGCCACTGCTTGGAAGCAGGAAGGCTAAGGGGCCCGCAGCTGCCCAAGGCTGGTGTAGACGTCATCTGCTCCGCTTAGCTCCTCAAAGATTGGGATCAGGTTGAGCAACTCAGTATCTGCCATGTCATCAAACCAGGACTGCACAGGCACCTGGGACAGGAGAAAGTGGCATCAATCTGACGGCCACTTCTTCCCACCTCCACCTGGTATGCAGCTGGGGCAGCCGGGGGGTAGGGGGAGCATTCCTCTGCTCTGGGGAAGCCCACAGTTCCCAAGGCCACTCCCTCTCCCAGTCCCTGCTGTGTGGGTGAGGCAGGGCCACTCACTGCATTCTCCGGGTGGAAGATGTAAGAAGCAGGCGAGTTGTCCAGGATGAGGGTTTTCCTTAGATCCCTCCCTAGGCGGCTGAGGTCCTTGACATAGCAGCCCTGATGGAACACACAGGACTCCCGGAACAGGCGGGCCCGGAACACCCCACACCGGTCCAGCAGGTCTGTCACAGGGTCAGCGTACTGGGAGAGGAAGAGGCCCGAGTCTGGATGCAGTCCTGGTCTCTCTGGCATCCCGAACACCACCCTGTGGCTGCTACACTTCTTGTATTTTCCTCCCCTCCGACTGACTCCCTGGTACCTTGGCCAGGCTGGCAGTGAAGAGAACACATTCAAAGAGTTCCCCCATTCGTCTCAGGAACTCATCCACATAAGGCCTCTTGAGCACGTACACCTGAAGAAAAGCACAGCGGGCTGCTGGGGAAATCTGTGCTGACGCAGCTCGGCATCTGTGCCCTTCACTGCCAGCAGAGAGAACGGCAGGCAGGGCCAGGCTCCCACATCCAGGGCCTTGGGCCAGCTGGCTGGAACTACCCCAGCCCAGGCTGGCCTCACCGTTCACCAGGCTTCTGCCGGCTCAGTGGTCTCAGCCTTAGCTCAGGAAGGACAACGTACCATGTCCCGGGAGCCATCTCTGATTCCGACGGTGGGCCATCAGCTGCCTCCGGAAACAAGTAATCAAGAATAGGCCTCACAGATGGAAACAGCCTATCCTGGATTACTTGAATCCAGCCACAGCCTCTGTGGGAGCATTGTGTCCTTGGCTCCAGCAGGACAGTTTGTCCAAGTTCCTATTAGGCAAGGCCACAGATATTTCCTGACACCTCATAACCACACGTGGTTTCTCCATGGTACTGGGGAGAAGTGACTTTTCCCCTGATGACCACAGACTAGAATCCCTGCCCCCTCTTGCTCTATAGCCTCCTTTTGTGCATGTTCCTGCTGGCCGCACCTAACACCCACACCCATCTTTCATGACTTGCAGGTTTGCTCTCAAAGGTTCTCTGGCCACATGTCCCCCCCTCCGTCAGTCTGTGGTCTACTACCTGATGCCTTCAGCCTACACAGGCTTCTAGGACCATTTACTTCCTCAAAGATCTTTTTGCTCATGCTACTCCCTAGCTCACAGTGCACCCCTGCCGTAACTCCCTCCTACAGCAGGCCCAAATCCACCCCCAGATCAGCAGACCCTGTTTAGCTCCTTAGCAGGAATCCTCCGCTCCAGGCAGCCCTTCTTCCTGGCTATCCATCACCATTCTTTCTTAAAACATTGGGCAGGTAGCCTTTCTTCATCTTAATTTTATCATTTCATTATTATTCATGCCTCCCTGTTAACTAGGAGCTTACAGTATGTATGTCCTTTTGTCTTTCCCCCGGGGGTTTTGTAACTCTCTCAAGCCTCTGCTGGACTGTGAAGAGCTGCTGCCTATGGCGGTGGCAGGCAAGAAAGTCCTAATAAAGGTGGGACTGTGATGCCAACCCATTGAAGCCTCAAACTCGTTTTTCCATGAGTGCCCAGCCATACAAACAAGTGTCAGTGCCACCAGGGCACTTGCTCCAGAGGTCGGTGCCCCTCAGGCCAACTGGCAACATTTGGAATGGACAGTCTGTCCCCTACCAACTTCACATAATCCTTAACCCTGGACAGGGCGGACTGTCAGGGCTGGAGCCTGCTCTGCTTTATATTCATGCTCTTTGACAGACGCCTACCAGGCATTTACTTGGACAGGAACCACCATTAAGGACCCAAGGAGAGGAAGTCAGAGGAGGTTTCATGGAGGAGCTGCCTAGGCAAGGGAGGGAGAAATTCAATAGTTCTGCACAGACTGGGGTGTGGGCAGGAGGGCCTTCCAGCAGAGAAACACCACTGCTGGATTCCTGGACTGTAACAGGCGCAAACACCATCTACTTAGGAAAACAGAAAATGCAGTAAACTCTGGTAGACACTGGCTACACACAGAGGGATGGAGATAAATAACAGACAGCTGTTACTACCACTGAATAATGTAAACTGCCCTTTCAGATGCCTTGGCTTTATTATTATTGTTGTTGTTGTTATTACGTTTGGTTTTTTGAGATGGCTTTGTTTTATGTAGTTCCAGCTGGCCTTGAACTAGGCGGGTGGCACTAGGCGGGTGGCGTGAGCCTCTTGCCTCAGGCAAACAGCCTGGCTTTAACGAAGATAACCTAGGGAGAGTCATGGGGCTGAAAGGTATGTTTTGTTTTCCTTTTTAAAAGTATTTTTATCTTGGCTATCAAAGGTAGCAATAAAGTGGGAGGGGCTGAAGTTACAGAAAAGGAAATCAACTGATGGAACACAAGCACCAGGAGGACAAAGGAGCCCAGCACAAGTGGAGCAGAGGGCAGATCCCCAGCCCTGGGTGGGTGTGGCCGGGCAGGAAGCTCACCTGGTGAGTGGTCCCCTCAATCTCTACAGGCACTATGAAGTCCGCATTGTTGATTGGCTGGAAGGCAGAAGAGTTAATGAGGTCAGCAGGGGAGAAACAAGAAGCCTGGGAAAACCCAGGCTGTCTGTGGGGGGAAAGTGACACTAGAGGCTCCCGAAGCTCCTCCTGCCAGGCCACTAAGGGCTTCTCAGCCTAGCACAGGGTCCAGTACCTCCCTCCCCGCAGGTTTCCCTGCTCCTCAGCATTACTGTGCCATCCTGCCAAATCCAATCTAAGTTGAGTTTCAGGGCGTCCCTGAGTGAACAAACACTCTCATAAAACAAAACAAGACACAAAACACCACCACACATGGGGCAAGGCCAAGGCTGATTCAACCCTTTTTAAGGCTGACTAATGTGAAGTCATTATGGCACTGTGTGGGCAGGTGCATGAGAATGCACGTGCGCATGTGTGCGTGCATGCGTGTGTGCAGCCTGTGGGCAGTGATGTGGATGGAGGGAGGCAGAGCAGGGAGGTCCCACCTAACCATCTGCAGTATGGCCTGTCCGTATCTGTGGTACCAGGGTGGCCTAGCCTCTCCCGTCCAATTACTTCAATCCTCACCTTCAGGCCACCTCCGGCACCTCTGGCAGGCCCAGGATGGGGGCAGGAAGGGTTCCACATGTCAACTTACCTTAAAGGAACTGTGTACAAGGGTTTCATCCAGGTCAATGACCACACAGATCCTTCCTTGATCTTCCTCCGTCACCTCTGGGAGTAGGCAGGTCCCTGGGATCTAAAACCAGAGCCAGACTGCTGAGATGCATCCACGAGGAAAGCCCGTCACTCTCCCTGGCAGAACTCTGGGAAACCCTCGGCTGTTTGTGGCGAAGGAATCACCAACCCAGGGCAGGCACTACTTGAAAGGCAGAGGACAAAGGACGCAGAGTGGCTTGGGTTTCGGTCTCCCGCTGACACTGGGAGGCAGATCTGGACAATGAGGTGGCAGCTACAGAAAGCCCTGGCCATCCCCTTAAGCAGCAGCCCTCAGTGGACACCTAGAATAAAGGCTTCCTGGGGTACAGAGGATGCTGGCCAGGCACCAAAGAGGAAGGGACCGCCATGCCTGCCAGACTGCTAGGGGCTGCAGGGTCAGCAGATTCACATACCTGGTAAAACTGGTACTGGAGACATTGGAGCAGATCCGACTAGAGAAAAAGAGGTGGCAGTGAGTCCGACTTCCTTAGTCCCAAGTTCCTGCCCCATCTAAACCACTGCTTCTGCCTCAAGACCCAGACAGTTCCTTACATGACAAAAGTGGCTTTTTTAGGAGCTGGGCAGAAAGGTAGGTTAGTGCTTCCTTTCCACATCAGACCTGGCAAAATACAGAGAAGATGGTGTCCTTGTACCCACTTGCCTAACTGCCTCTCAGTTACACAAAGTAAGGAACAAAGAACTTAAGAGGTCAATCTAGGGACACACAGAGGCAGAACCATGATCTGAACGCCTCACTTTTTTTTTGAGACAGAGTCTCACTTTGTAGTCCAGGTTGGCCTCAAACTCATGGCAATCTTCCTACCTTAGTCTCCCAAGTACTGAGATTATAGGCATTCACTACCACGATGTGGCGCTGTGAAGCCACTGTGTGCACCAAAATGTGAAGTGCAGCCAGCTGTGTGCATACAGGGGAGCAGGGGTGTACCTATAATTTAGCACTTAGGAGGCTGAGGCAGGAGAATCACCTGAGCTTGAAGCCAGCCTGAACTACAGTGAGACCCTGTCTCCAAAAACCAAACCAAGCCAAAACCCCCAAAATATGAAGTGTGAAATCAAAATGGACACCTCTTATAATTAAAATGTTATGATTATAAAAAGTAGTTGGTAGTTCTAATAACAACTTTGAAGAAATAATACAATTCTGGGGTTGGGACTATATCTCAATAGTAGTGTGCTGGCCTCACAAGTAGAGTATGAACCCTGGGCTCAATGCCCAGGACTACAAAATAAATAAAATCAGCAAGGCATGATGGTACATGTCTAGCACTCCGGGAGGCTGAGGCAGGAGAACTGCAAGTTTGACCCTAGTTTAGGCAACTCGGTGACTTTGCAAGACCTCATCTCAAAAAGAAAAAAAGGCTGGGGTAATAGCTCAGCACAGAGGCCCTGCCTTTAATCCCCAGCATTAGTAAATAAGTAAAATCTTAACTGAAAACCTTAGTGCTGGCATGTTAGTATATATTTCCTTCAAGTGGGTGTTAGGAGTCTTTTGTTCCCTAAGATTAACACTATGTAATTTCTAATTTCACATTTGGCTTTTCGCTAAATGGCATAGTTCAGTATCTCCATGTTACTGAGAACTCTTCATAAAAATTAATTGCTTAGTAATCCTGTCATGTTGTACTTTAGCCATTTGTCCCCACTGGGTAAGTGATTTTCCACTGATGTTCACGTCTTAGTCTCATTTAGGAAAGACAGCTGGACCTTGGTGTTTCAGAGAGGTACCACTGGCATGTGGGGCAGAACAGCATTTGCTGGTCAGGCTGACTCCACTCTAAAAACACGAGAAATATCATTTGGTCATTGGACAATCAAACTATCTGCACATCTCCAAGTGCTCTGCACAAGTATAGGTAGGAGCTGCTAGGTAAGGGGCATGGTGGGAGCCAGGCACAAGGGCGCTTGCCTATAAGCCCAGCTACTTGGGAAGCAGAGCAGGAAGATTTAAATCTGAGGCCTGCCTGGGAAACTTAGCAAGACTCTGTCTCAAAATAAAAAGGTCTGGAAATTAGCTCAGTGGTAGAGTATTTGCCCAGGATACAGAAGGCTGTGGGTTCATGTCCCTGTACTGGAGGGGAGAAAAAGCATGGCAGACTTTAGTGCCTTGGTTCCCTGCAAGTCAGGTGAAATATGGAAGGTAGCTTTGCATAGCAGAAAACAAATATAGGCTTTAATGTCAAATCTGTTTGAATTCTGACACCACCATTGGTTAACCATGAACTCTTCAGGGCAGCATACCCTCTGGGACTCAGTTTCTCTACCTGTAAAGTGGGAATCCTGTAAATATCCTTGAGGGGCTGTTGTAAGGATCACAAGAGACAATACGTACAAAACCCTTTGCAAGATCCCTCAGAAATCACAAAGACATCCAGACCAATGACATTGGGACTATTAGGAAACAGACTGCTAAGGAAAGGATAGAGGAAAGGCTTCTAAGTCAGAGAGCTTTGCCACCACAGGCAAGGCACGCTTGCTGTGGTCTGCAGGGATCCCCCGCCATCAGCCTATTCCCTGCCAGCACGACTTCATCCCTTCTGAGCCGCTACCTTAGCAATGGTGTTGGCTTCTTCCTTGTATGCAGCGAGCTCAGTGCAGGAACTGGACTGGCCAACATGCTGGGTACGAAAACAGCAAAAGAGGGCCTTGAAGATGTTACGTCCGCGTGGCTTCTTAGGAGAGGACTTGGAGACCAGACCTAGAGAGGAGGGAATGACCAAGGTGTTAGCTACACAGCTACCCTGTGTTCTCTGTTAACCGCTACCCTATGTGCTCCCTGCTTCCAGTCTGTAAGTTTTGCTGGGCACACGGTATATGCTTGGCAGACAGCCACACGCACTTGACAGTAAAATGGGCACTTTATTCCAGCATCTTTTTTTTTCAAAGCAGAAATGGCAGGAAACCCTGTTCTCTGGTTTGGGAAATGGGAGACTTGAATTACAGATTTGGTCTTCATTCTGTGGGGGCCGGAGGAAAACATGGACCAGGTACAGAATCTGAGTCACAGCACACTGAAGATGCACTCAACATCAGCTCACACATAAATCTTCCCCAACACCAGCTCTGGAAGGTCACCTGTTCTCAGCATCATCTTTCCTAGACACTGAGCAGCTGGCAGCAGAACTGAGCCCAAACTGCCTAAGAACTCCAGACCTGAAACTGCAGGCTGATGACAGCCGCAGAAGGAAAATGCATCCTATTTACACCCGACCTCTGTGCCATGCCCCAGCCACTGTCTTCAACATACCCTTCCCTCAGACACATGGAACCTGACTGGGAAAACAAAGCTTTATTACAGCCCATGGACAGAAACACCCACTCCCCAAGTCCTAAGCTGAGCCTCTGCGTCTACACTGCAGCTGCTTAGTCCTACTATGACAATTTGGGCTTTGAAATCATAAGGCCTTTTTTCTTTTATTAAAAAAATTTTTTTAAACTTTTTTTTTTTAAATTATCGGTACCGGGGATCGAACTCATGACCGCCTGCTTGCAAGGCAGGTGCTTACGCCGCTGAGCTAAATCCCCAGCCCCCAAAAATTTTTTTTAAAGACAGGATCTAGATATGAGGTTCAGGCTGGCCTTGGGCTTACTCTGTAGCTTCAAACTCACAGCAATCTTCCTGCTTCAGCCTCCTACATACTGAGATTACAGGCATGTGCCATCACGCCTGGTCATGAAGTCTTATTTGTTTATTTATTTATAGTAAGGATCAAATTCACAGCCTTCTGCTTACCAGGCAAGTTAAATTCTGCCACTGAGTTAAATTCCCAGCCCTCATAAAGCCATTTTAACAGCAGACTTTGTAAAGCATCCCCAGAAACATCAAGCAGCGACACACAGCTATGGGAATTTCAGGATTAACTGGAAATGAACTTTTAGAATGTTTTACAAATTCCCTTTGCTTCCTTTCAGTGAATTGTCCTGGCCACTGCTGAACAAGACTGAGAAGCTGCAATGGATACTGTGAACAGGAGGTGGCGCTACACGACCACACTCAGTGGTTCCCAGCCATAAATTAGGCTGTGGGTCTTGTGTATCCTAAGGCCTGTGTGGGAACCCAGCCTGGGCCTAAGGATTAAACACAACGAGCAGTCCCAGTTTAAAGTACAGGCAAACTACACAGGAAAATAACACCGGGACAGCGGTATGATGGCTCACATCTGTAACTGCAGCACTCAGAGGCTGAGGCAGGAGGATCACTGCAAGTTTGAGGCCAGCCTGTGCTAAGCAGTGAGTTCAAGGCCAGCCTGAACTACATACCAAAATCCTGTCTCAAAACAAAACAAAAGAATATTGAAAATATCTTGTGTTTGCAGGGAAAGAAAGACAAGACAGAATGTGCCACCAAGGCTTCCTTTGTGTCCTTCCTTGGGAAGGGGACAAAAGAAAAGGCAGGTGGTTGTGGACACCCACAAGCAACGGGAGTACTCAGAACCTTCACTAGGGCAGCCCTTACACTGTGGGTGACAGAAGAGCTGCTTACCAGTTACTGGGCTGCCTGTGACGCTGGAGAACACAGAAACACCAACTGTTCCCAAGCCCAAGGGGGAGGAAATGGGCCTCACTCATCCAGCAGTCCGTGTCACCCAGGGGACACCACCCAAGGGACAAGGGCTCCGCTGAATGAAGAGAAAGGCTGGGGACTGCAGCCAGTGCAGCTGCCTCCCTGGGTGAGGACAGATCCCGGACACTGGGAGGACCCCCAGGAAGCCTTTAGAAAATGACAGAGTCCCCAAGTCAGGTGGTCACTCTCAAGCTCCTGGAGAACCAAACTGAGGGTTTTGGGGATTGTGTCACGCAGCTTTGATGGGCACCTCCCCCAAAGCACCCACACCACAAAGACCGAAGTCAGAGCAGAGCCCAGTACTTACAGTCAGCAAGATGAGAGGTTCCGTGGCCTCCTCCCCCACGCCCATTATTTTAATAATCTACACAGAAATTGGAGGGAAAGAGCAGCCTCCCCACCTGCCTGTTGGCCCACATTAAATTCCAAGCCAGCGAACTCAGGGTAGATGCTGACACAAAGCTTCCAGATCAAAGCTGAACCACTGCTTTTCCTTTGGTTTATGGTTTCTTCATGCAGAACCACAATCGGAGGCTTAACCGGGGCACAGAGCCTTTCTTAAAAGACCACACAGCCCCGGCCTTTCCTGAAGAGAGGGCACCAGGAATGCACTCAGCATCTTAGTGACAGATGCTGTGAAGGCTGAGTAATCCTGAGAGGCAGTGAGGTAAAAGGGGCAGCTGGCTGGGGCCATGGAGAGGCCTCGCCTCTGCCCACCATGGGGGGCCCAACAAGCACAAGCGCCTGGCCCTGGATGGGGAGCTTGGGGATGATGACTCTGCAGGGGATGAGTGTCTTCTCAAAAGCACAGTGGGACTGGCAGCCCCTGTGCTTTGGAGATCACAAACATGCTGACCTTGGGGCAGGCGCTAGAAGCAGAATACCCCAGACCCACAACAGCTGGGTCAGTACCCCAGTCATTTCTCTCACTTCCCCAACCCCTCCTATCCTGCTATCCTCCATCCTCCAGGCTGTCTGTCCCCCTTCCCCTTACAAACAGCTCCTGAGAACTCATCAGGGCCTGTGTCAGCCTCCCTCAACATGGCTGCCTCCCCGAGAGGCCTCAAAGGCCTCAGGCCTGGTACATTTGTCTGTCTCCAGCTTCTGTGAGGCCAGTACTCAAATAACTTCAAGGGTTTCTGCCAGTTCTATAGAGCCAGGACTCAGAGAAGCCTCCCCAAGTTTGTAACAGTTCAAAAGCTGCAGAAACAGGAAAACCTTTCAAGTGAGGAAAGGTGGCACACAGGAGCTGAGTGCCTGAGGCAAGATACTGAGTCTTTCTGGGCCTCTGCCATGCTTACTGGGCACTGAGCTGTGCCAGGTCTTTGTTAGACACTTGCATCACTACAGTTAATCCTCATGACAAACCCAACTGCAGGCAATGATCCCTCAGTTTACAGGAGGGAAATGACAGAGGTCACGCTGGGAATATGACGGCAGAGCCAGAACTTGAACCAAGTCTGCCCATACCCAGAGCCAAGGCTCTTAACCAATATCCCAGAGGACCTTCGACAGGTCAGGGACACTGTGTGCATGTATGCACGCAACGGCCGGGAGGCCAGCAAGCACTGTCAAGGTCTCTCCATGGGAACACTTGCTCTACTGCTCTCTGGAGCGAACTGAGGAGAGATCAGTTTGGGGACCACCTCGTACTTCCTTCAATCCTCCTGGGCAGGCTAGCTATCAAAAGCGCAGGGTAACAGTGAAAGGCTCTGGAGTCCCTTGGACTCCAGTGACCCCACCTGCTCTGACTGGCAGATACCAAGGACAGGGAAGGACTGGAGCCTTTTGTCTGGTGAGTTTAAGAGTGAAGGGGAACCACATACCACAGTGGGATCTGAAAGTTTCAATGACTCCTTTCAGCCAGCACTCAGCACTGTGCCCAAGAGCCAAGTTGCAGCCACCCGAAAACCCTCTGCATATGATGGGCAGGGAGCCTAGCCCGCTCCACAGGACAGGAGCACTGGACACAGAAAGATCCACAGGTCTGAAGAGCTTCCACTGCACGAGTTCATCAGCGAGGGAAGAAGGGCTTCCAGGGTGTGCCATGGAGCTCCACGACCAGTTGCTCTCCATCCTTCCTCTTGCAGCTACACCATGGACACCCAGTGCCCCTCTCCTGCCCAGACGCTGATGTGTGCCTGCTCTCTCTGCTCCCAACACTGGTTTGAGGACTAGCTGTCCAAGAGGACCTGTATAAACCCAAGGACAGAGCCAGCTCTGGCGTAAGAAATAGGCAGGCAGGTGGCTGAAGACATGGAGGCCAGGCTACCCCAACGTACCCTTCTCACTGAGACAGGGTGTACAGAGAGGTACCTGCTCACCTGAGGGTCACTGGGGCTTGAGTCTAGGCTCTGCCTGTTATTGACTTAACCACACAGCCTGTTGGAGCCTGGCTTCTTTATCTACAAAATGGCATAGGGGATAAACAAAAAGATGCACAAAACTTACAGCAAGCTACTCTGTAAACTCTAAATGCCATGCTTTTTTGTTTGTTTGTTTGTGTTTGTCTTTTTGAGTCAGGGTCTTGTTCTATAGTTCAGGCTGGCCTTGAGCTCAGTTTGTGGCCCAGGCTGGTCTCAAACTTGCAGTGATCTTCGTGCCTCAGTCTCCAGAGTGCTGGGATTACAGGACTACGCCACCACACCTGGGTCACACTTAAGTTTAATTAATTATCTGGGTGGCAAATCCTGGGTCTCATCATGGACCACTAACTGCCACATCAAGGGTCTCATTCAAGGAGACCAGAAACAAAAGATTAGGACTTGTGCACACCCATTATATATGGCTGAGTGTCAAGAACAGAAAACATAGGAAAAGTGCCTGGGAACTTTCATTACGGGCGGGTTTCAAAGTCAAAACTGCCTCCAAACCTTCTTCCTACACGTACCACCACAAAAGCGGTGTTCCAAATCACAACCGCACTGTCTGGCATTCTATGGGTTATGGGAAAGCAGAAAAGGCTGTTCCACATGGTGTCAACATTGCCCCTAGCACCCCATAGCACCATTCTGTCTCCTCCAGCAAACAGCGTGCCCATAGCCTGGTGGGGGACACACACCTGCAATGCTAGCACTTCTCTGTGGACTGCAAATCTGAGCCCAGTCTGGGCAACTTAGTGATTTAGAGTCTCT